CACAACATAATTAATGCGAACACTTTTTCTCCCTTTATAATAATTTTTAAAAGATATTGAAAATAATTAGTGAACATCGTCAATATGGAGACGCTGAATCATAATTGTATAAAGTTCACTTGTGTCATTTTAGTTCTCGCCACTTTAATGTCTTTGGGTAGTCTCTGTACTTATATTTACCTTATATTTTTAGTTTCAAACAATAAGTCTTGACTTTTAGGTGTTATATTAATTATTATTGTTGTTCACCTTTAGGTATATTCCTTAAATTATATTAATTATAACTATTATGTTATCTCGGTATTTAAATTTTGTAGATTTTTTAGTAACAATAGTTTTTGTCCGTAAAATAAAGAATGTATTAAAAATATAGCAAAATCTACATCTATGAAGAAATATAACTGTTTTCCATAATTAAAATCTTAACCATAACCTAAGGGTATATTTAAAATTTTATTATTTTTTTTTTTTTAGTAAGAGTACATAATACATAATTTCCTTCAAACTATCGTTTCGAACACAATATTTTGTAGCCATGACATACCGAAAACAACAATACACAAAATTTATATATACCTAATAATATATTATGATCTATTGTGAACAGACAATAGCATAACTCGTATACAACGTCATACAGCCGTTAATAAATATTTTTATCTCTGACAAAAAAAAACGTATCGGAATAGAATAATTATACTTTAAAAATCTCTAAACTCTAAAGCACATTTTTAAGTGTTAATTAATGTCGTAAACACGCCAATGCGCTGACAAGAATCCATATTTTTTTGTCGCCAATTACATGAAAATTGTGCCAAAATTAAAATAAAAAATAGCAGTAGGTATGAATTATAATAATTGTACTAGTAATACTCGTTACAGTAGAAACATATTTTAGACACCACAACAGCTGTGCGGTGGTGCGTGACGATTATTTATGAATGAAAGCCGATTCGAATCGTTTTCTCATCATTAAAATATTATTATGTGTACGATTTATTTTTAATGTCACCAGAAACTCGTGTGTTTTACCATAGGTTAAAATATGTATATTTATTAATCTGTATGGTATTACCACATAGAATATTATTATCGAACACGAATCTTGGCTGCGTTTTGTGTGTACCAAACAAGAATGTATATAATCCGTCGCCAGAGCGCAGTATCCGCTTGGTTATGTAATTAATAATAATAGTAACAAAAACAAATAAATACACTATCGACAAAAAATGTTCACATTAATTCTTTAAGGACACAAAACAGTGACTATTCATTGTCGGCGTACTAATAAAATATTGCAATATAAATGTGAACGTGATTCGATCACGAAAAAAAACCTTCATAAATATCTCAAAGTACACACTTATCTTTTGATCATTGTTTTTTACTATTTATTTGGTTAGTCGCATAATTCCAGCGAAAACCACGTTGTCGATAAACGAGAAACAAATAATAATAATAATAATAATAATAATAATAATATTGATTTGACAATGTAAAAGTGTGTAAAACCGTGTTCGAATTCAAGATATCTAATCGATTTTCCGTCGAAATAAATATTTTATTCGTGAAAAATCTTTAAATATATGTTCGTTTTCGTGTTTTGAGACTAATGCGAAACGATACGGCAAGAAAATCATGTTAGACAATCGAATTTTTTTATTTAACTTTTGCTCTTTATCCAAATAATTGGTGTAATGATGGATAGCATAGCTAAAAAAATAACGTCATGCAAAGATAATAAATCAATTGAACATGAAAAAGTTATTCTTAATTTTTTTAATAGAACTGTCAAGTCAGAGATAATTGATAATATAAAAAAAAATCAACACAATAGCATTGTGCCTTTACTGACTTGTAAACATCTATTTTATAAGTATACGTTTAATAGTTTAATTATATAGTTGTTTTTTTTCAAATATTCCTCAAAAAAAATTATGAAAATCCAATCATTCTACAAGGCGTCATTCCATTTTTCATAAATTAATTGTCCACTGCCAAAACTACTATAGCAAACTAAAATATGATTTGTCAAATATTGCCAATATTTTTTTTACTCTAACAGACTGTATTAGTCACAAAGAAATAATGTATAGAGACTTGATAAGACTAAACAAATTTATCCAAACTTAATGCAAACATATCATAGATTTTACTGATACTGGATACACTTATGCTTAACCACTAGCAGAGTATCTGACTGATGAAATTGTTTTTTTATATATTCAATAAAGCAAAATATAGAAATGAATTATTACAAGCTACAGCCAACTACCGATGGTGGTTAGTAGGCTCGGCAAGTGGCTTTGGTACGAATTAAACTTTCATGACATTATATTACAAAGAAAAAACAACCACTGGGCTTAGTCAAAGAAATAAATTAAGCTAAGATATAACAAACATTAATATTACATAACAATTTTTACAGTTCATGAATAATAGTTACTACCATACAAAATAATATACATTTTTCTGAGAAAAAAAAAATTAATATAAATCTTTACAAGCACGTAATGTTATGGCATAAGTATTGTACAAATGTTATAATACCATAATAATATAACGATAATTATTAAAAGACTGGTTCAGCAAATTCAGTCCCCAAAATTCTTCCTTAAACTGTATAGCGAAAGTACTCTGAGGACGCTCCTGCAGAACTTTGATTAGTCCTAAAAAACTTATATTTTAATCCAAAAGCAAGCTCTTAGACGTGTAATAATTCGAATTGTCCTAATTAGGATAGTCTAGGAGTGTCGAAATAAACCAAAAACATGAGCCATGGCATCCTGTAACCTTTCTTGTAGCGAGAAGAAAATGGGAGAATCAGTCAGTCAACCGACATTTTGGTGTTTCTAGGGAAGATATGGTTTGATAACAGGGTTGAAAATACCCTTAAAAACCCTTAGTCAAGAAACCACTAAAAATGGAAACATCGAATACTCCCAAATGAGACTTAAAAGCTATGACCAGAGGATTTTAACCTAAAGAGACGCTTAGTAGAGACACAATTTACAATAAAAATTTTATCATAGAAAAAAACCAAATATCTTATTTATTTAACATAATAATAATTTGTACAATTATTTCAGTAATTGAATAATTATTGATATACTAAAGTTACTCCTGAATAAATACTTTAAAATCTCACTATTTTTAAATTTATAATATTATTATATTATTAGTTATCTAATTATAAAAATTCCAACAGACGATTTCGCATTTTTAAATAACTAATTTATGTACATAACTATTTTTTTTTTTGCTAATAAACTGGTCGCTACTATAATTATAATATATTTCAATAATATTACATCTTGAGTTGTTATTTTGAAGCCAACAGTAAGAAAATACTAATGGCTAAGTTAATGTTATTGTTAATATATTATACTTACATGTTTTACCTAATCTTTAAAAAACACAATAATAAGTCTCATAGCCTATCGATTTTTTACTTACAATAAGAAAAGGAAGACATTATTACGTATTTGTTAAAAGTGCCACAAATAAATGAATATACATATCATACATATGTACACACTTTTTTATTGCTTAGATAATGTTACTACCATAATATGTAAGGTAGTTTTAAGTGTTTAACAACCTACACAAGTTATAATCTCGAGTACTGATGACAAACTGCCAAAGTGCTTACGTTTAACTAAATCTATTATTCATAATGTTGAAGTACAATTGGATATAACAGCCGATAGCATTCTAGTGGACGAAGCACTTACGCACATTGCCTGATGAGACTAACAAAATTGTTGACTAAGCATTAAATTTAAAATTTTTTAATAAAATAATAAATATACTAATTATGAAAAAACTAGAGTTGTAAAATTATTAAGATCTTTAAAAGATTTAATAAATATTATGAATTATGACCGCAGTAATACATTTTTTAGTTTGTATAAAAAAAAAACCAACTTCTAAGTAGGATAAATTTATCATTGGCAAAAAACATGTGAGTAATAAATGAGTAATAATAACCCAATCAATGATTTTAGTAAAAATTATACTAACATTGGCCAGTATATAGTTTGTATTACATTTAGAAAAAAAAACAAATATTTAGATAGGTACAAAATATTTTTGTATCAGCAAAACAAGTTAAATATTTGTTTACTGTTCCCCTGCAAATGTATTTATGTTTTGTGTAAACAAACTAATTTAAATAAAACAAAACATTTTAGATGCATAAAATATAGCAAGCTTACATAAATCGGATAATAAATGAAAAACATAAAATCTCAAGTTTTTTAATTTAAGTAATGTTTTTTCTTTCAAGTGAATGATAATTTTGAAAAGTACGGATTTGTTTGATATCAAAAGTATGATGGCCAATTGGTGTGAAATAAGATTTCTATTTTTAACACGTATTTGACTACCTGCTATGCTTGATAATTTAATCCGAAAAAGTATAAACTGATCCTCGTACTATCATAGTTTTTGTTCTTTTACCAGCATCAGTGTAAGGAATTGTAAGTAGAAAAAGTTTTTCACAACAACTATAACTTAACATCAAAGATATGGTGTTGTTATTTAAATTACCTTAAGGAGATCATCATTAAGGAAGAGATTTCTTAATCTCACTAAAGAATTTATTACATACTTTTTAAAATAAAATGTAATTTTTTTTTTAAACAAAACTTAGTCAACAATATAATTTCAAAGAATAATAATATGTGAAATACGAGGGGAAAAAAAAAAGTAATTTATTTAAATTTTTTCAAGAGAAGCAGCAGATTGAAAAACAATCGAATTGTAACTTAATACATAATATTACGTAATGCTTTAAACATTTTTTTTTTTTGACAAACCGTACAGGAATAACAAATAAAACAATAAAAATTGAAAATTAAATATATTTCGAAAATGCAGATTTATAATTTTCATTTCCACATTTATTTGCGTTTATTTTTTAAGTACTAATATAGTACTTAGGTACACACACACACACATCCCTTAAACCTATGTAAGTAACGAAATTACAAACTTACCGGAAGTGTTTATGCAACAAAAGAAGCAACCTCGAATGATTAAAAATAAAACTATGACAGTCTCGTGCAGCGATAGGGGATGAAGTCTTGAGTCTTCATGGTCGGACACGCCGTTAATGTTTTGATAATTAAAAACAAAACAAAAAAACCAAAAACTCAATACCGTAATAACACGAGTATAACGTAATTTTACAATATCAACAGTAATGTTAACGCTGTTATCAATATTGTATTATTTTGAAAATTGTGTTTTTTTTTTTTTTTGAAAACAACAAAAATACCGGACTACGGGTAACAGAGTTCGCGCTAAACACAACAGGGTATCGCGTCTAACGTACACATACTAGCGGCGGCGCGGCGGCGGCAAAACAATAGATTCGCTACGGCGGCGTAGATAACGCGCGCGTGGTGGACGGCGGCGGCTGGCGGCTGGCGGCAGCGGACGTTGCTGGTCCCACGCGAGTCTTGGATCGCTGTGGCCGCCGTCAACCGCACCGGTACACTCTCCCCACCACTGCCGCCGCCACCCGACTACCACCACCCGCCAGGCTCCCTTTAATAACAACGTTGGTCCGCCGCGCCGCACGTTATTAAGGTTTTTATTGCCGGCTCGACGGTCTTTTTTTTTATATATATATATATATACATTTTTTTTTAATATTATTATTGATGCAGTCCGTCAGTCGTTGCCCGATCAAACCTTCAAAATAATAAAAACATAATATTGTGTGTTCCAAAATTTCACCCCCCCCCCCCCTTGGAAATCACGCCGACGGGTTTTCGATATTCAATATATTATTATATATATTTTTTTTTTACCTAGGTCTATTCTTCTTAATTTTCGCTTTATCCCGCACGCTATTTTATTCAGGTAGTTTTTTTTATACAACTCTGAGAAATACCATAGTAAACGCACACGTCGCACAGTACGAACGGCCGGGCAGGTGGACAGACCGGAAAAATGTATTACAGGCCGAATTCTCGATGCCCGTTTAATATTATATTATCATTGGTTATTCCCTCCACGACTACCTTTTTGTAAACAGTATTGCATTGCTCGAGAAAAAATTACCATTAGGTAAAAGGGTTTAACAACTTACCGCTCCAAGTTAGCACTTGGCAGTCATCACATCAGAAAAAAAAAATTACACGTGGCTTGGCAAGTGTTGGCACTAGAGAATTAAGAATACTTCTCCCCTCGTTTCTGAAAAAAACACTGAAAAAAAAATCATTGTACTAACTTTTTTAATTCGAGAATATCATCTTTATTTGGAAATGTAATAAATCGAAAGATGAAATTACAGACATACCTAATTGTGTTGTTTTTAATAATTAAGTAAAAATTACTTTGTTGTTCATGAGCGAATACCTACATAATATAAAACATTGATACAGGTGCCATAAGTTTTATTTTTTTAGAAAAATTTAAATATTTAATAAACAATTCATAAGTATACAATTAATATAAACTATAGTTTTAGTTTTAAATTAAGAGATTTCACCAAAAATTACCTAAACTTTAACTGCTCCTAGTATGCATGGAGTCTAGTGTCCTCTTAAGACAGCCTTAAACTTCAAATGCTATTTGATACATTCATACGAGTGACAAGTCACAAATTAAACTTTATTTCTGAAAACTCGTCGGGTAGGCTGGATAAATTTTACAATAATTTCTTTACTACAATGAAACTTTTATTTTACTAATTGTTTAAAAAAATAAAAATTATAGCAACTTCCATAAGAAATTAGAACTTTTAAATTTCTTTTCGAAACATAACTTATTTAGAAGTTTTTTTTAGATTATTTTATAACTGATGAAATATTACTTTAAAAAAAACAGCTCCAAACCTTTTTTGGCCCTGGTCCTTATACATTTTTACACGATGCTATTATAATTGAATGTGTTATTGCCGTAGCCAGGGCCCCCTGGATACACTTATGTTATATTGATAGACGAGGCCGGTACAATCATATTTAGACACTCCTTTTTTTTAACATATAAGTAGGTACATAGGATTTTCATAACCATATAATAAACCATTGCGTCACCCAAGCTTACGGGCTTTTTTTTTTCTTAATAAAATAACGTTACCGGTTGATACCATTGGTGACCTAGGTTAGTCTATTTATGTTTTAATAGTGCTTGTTTAATCTAGGATAAGACTGAATGACCGGCAGGCCATTTTCCGGTGCATGACCCGGTGGGTGTAAGTATCCATCTATATACATACCTACTCAAGTCTCAACAGTCAACACGTACGTATTGAGCTCTGTGTGTATATACTATTATTACTGATGGTATTGCGGCAAACCGTGTTAGCAACGGTATAGGTATACATATGTACATCTGTATAGTGTTATGCTGTGGACAGAAATAGAAAAGGAAAGCAGTTAACGGTTGCTAGGTGTAGCTGAAATATTATCATGTGCCGTTTATGGGTCTGCAAGCCATTAAAAAAGCCCATCCAGCTAGTCCTATAAACCCGTAACCGAATATAGCTAGCTGTCCATCCTACGGACGGTTAGAGCTACGTGTGGATTATATTGTGTAAAAATAAATGTGTATAATATTATATTAAAATATATTATATTAATAAAAAAAAAAGCAATAAGAAAATAATGCCTTGATCGTATATCTTGCCGTAGGCCAACAAACCCGACGACGCAGTGTAATAATTTTGATAAAAAAAACCGAGTAGGTGGTCGTCGATGCCCACCAACATTGGCATGACAATTATCTAGGGCCTATCTAGTAGGCGAGTAAGTCAATTTTTGGCAATTTGAGTTAAAGCTGTTAGACAACTAGACGTGTAAATCATTACAACCCTTGTACACAGTGTACAGCCTCAGCACTCAGCCTTCATCCGAGAATGAAAAGGTTAAAATTGTAACAGTATTATAAAAATCTATAAACATGTTTGTATTTAGGACAAGTGACAACCTTATTAGAATACTTAACTGAATTTCTACTGTATTATTTTACAAAACATCTAATTCAATTCTACGTTAATATTAATAGGTAGGTACCTACCTTATGCAATTATCTTATTTAAAAAATAAACCTTACCTATGTAAATGTATCGTTTATAGATTCACATCAAAACGTTGTTTAAATGTGATTTTAGGTATATTTTTATATTATACCACTTTCAGTGATAATAATCCATAACTTGGTATTAGACCTGTATTTTAAACTTTTATCATTATCAAACCTAAAAAGTTTCAATATTTAAAAATGTGTTAATCTTAAAAAAAATTCGCTCTTTTATGTGGTAAAACGTATGTAAATATAATGAGTGACAATAATGTGAAAATTATTTCGTGTGGATACTGGAAAATTCTAAATCAAAAAATGGCTAAACCAATCAGGTTTAGCTTCAAAGTAACATTTTAATTTTTATCAAAATGTTGATACAACTTTAGGGAGTTTTTAAAGGAGTTACACATACCCAGCCTCCGTCTTGTTGCACCAATAACTTATATTGAGAGGTACTTTGAAGCATTTTGCCCATTTCTGGCCTCCGTTAATAGTATTAGATGCTTGCAAGAAATATAGTTTGGTAGAATAGTGAATACTCAATTTGATTGGCATTGGCAAAAAAATACCATTTACAAATCAATACATACTTTGTTACTTAGTGAATTTTTTTTTTTAGCACGCAATGCGGCCCAGATTCTATGGACAAAGATCAAATAATTTATTATCTTTTATTTAAGTGCTGTATAACTAGAAAAGGTCATAAAGAAATCAGAATAGAGATACGATTTAATCTATCCATTGTCGATGAACAATTCATGTTGATATTTTCATGTAAAATAATCTTACTATCAAAATGTATTAATAAAAAAAAAAAAATTATACAAATTAAGTATAAAAATATATTCATGCGTAGGTTTATATTAGTATACTTTACTATTGATATTATAATTAACATTTATAATCAATGATATTACTATATTTTCTACTTATAATGAATTAAAGGCTTTCTTTTTAAAACAATTTAAGTTTTGTTAAATAATATTTGATATATAACTACTTTTTTTTTTTTTGCTAAATCTTCAGTTCAATAATGACATTGTTCCTCGAAGACAATCGGAGATGACTAAGGGAAGTTAAAGACCAGAATGTATAAAGATAAGCAATTTTTTTTGCGTATAGGTACATATATATCAAAGAATTCTTACGCACAAATAATTATCTACCTATTCGTGGAAAAAATTATTAAAATTCATAATATGAAATAATAATAATAATAATTATATATATATAAAATATTATGTAATCATTTTATGTTTTTTTTAAGTGCATAAGATAATCAATTATGTAGTTGGTATACTTGGGTAGTGTCCAGATGTTTCCCAAGAATATTGACAAGTATTTTTTTTTCTACCTATATTTATTGAGTTTTTAATTTTATCCAAAAAAAAAGTCGTTCGTTATATTATGTAGCCTGTAGGTACCTTATACTTACACTTAATTGGAAAACAATGTATACAGTCACACGACTGAAATTTGAGCTCTAAGGAGAGTATTTTGTTTTTAAATGGTAATCAGACCTACTGAGTTGTTACAGCCGAATAACGATAATTGCGAAATTTGGAACATTCTAAAACTCTTCAGATTATGTCTATAAATTATCCATACAAAATTGCATTGCTCACAGCTCATATGAGTATAGCGCACATTATTAAATAATATTTTTTAATTAAATTGTAATTTAGAAAAAAAAAAATGATCTCTTGCGATAAATCTACACTTGTTCAAATAATAACTGTACCTATTTAATACATGGATAAAACATTATGAGGAAAAACTTTAATTATTATAATTTATAAACATTAAAAATAACTAACAGACTGCAGTGGCTGTATGAAAATAAAATTGCAAAACAATAATTATTACATGTAAAAGGGCATTTTTGTATTCCAACTTATCTTCCACTAATAAAATATATTAAGAGGTTTAACTGCAAGATGTTGTAAATACGTTGTAGACGTAGGTTGTATATTATAATTTATATATTTATGTAGATATATATTTTTCTATAAAACTCAAAACTACTAGAAGTACCTACCGTGTACGTAAAGTCAATAATTTAACGCCTATCTAGACTTTATAACTTGTTCTATAATCTTAATCGGAATGTGGTCACTAAGTATAATATAATATACCGCACACGGCACTTAACTGTGAACTAAGGAAATGTATTATGTTTTTCAAAGACTATGCTTTAATAGTATTTAACGGAAATCGTTAAATGTTATATTTATTTGTACGTAATATCGCAAATTCGCAATAAATACTATACTTAAACTAGTAAAATAAATTGACATGATAAACGTTTTTAAGGGATAAAACGAACGGTGTGTAAGCATTTGCCATTCGGTATACCTACGTTGTAGATCGTTCCTAGTTTTTTTTTATAACTTGAGTTATTATTTTTTTTATTTTACACTAGTGTTATCGCGGTACCAATAAGCTTAAAATCATTTAATTATAGGCCATAAACTAAACAATTTACGATCAATTGTCTTTAATAAATAGTAAATACCTACTAAATGTAAATTATACATCCATACAATTTACGTGTGCAAGGTTATCACCTCCAAATAGATTGCTACTTAGGCAAAGTCAAATCACTTTCGGCGCTTTGACACTACATGAAATAGCAAATTTGTTTACATCGAGTAAACGTGAGGACAACTGCAACCAATCGAGACAAATGAAAAAACGCTAAATGTTTAATAGAAACAATCAAATTTTTAATTTAACTTCATGGACGAAAATTTAATGTGACTTAAGACACTGAACACTTTAAAGTTAGTCGACCAAAATGTTTTTATTGTCTTAAAAACTTAGTAACTTAAAGAGACATTTTCAAAACAACTATAAAAAATTAATTCTTATCGCAATAATTCGAAGAACTTTGTGTAACGTATTTTCTATCATATTTTTTTATTATTATAAAAAGTTTAAGTTCTTATAAATAATGTAATTTAATACAATTTATTATTAGTACAATACGAAAACTTTTTTAAAAAAAATATACGTCATTCAATTCGTAAGTTGACTTTGGTAGAGACAATTATGCAATAATTGGTTTTAAGTCTTACTCCTGCCTATTTTTTTTTTTGTAGATTCAAACAAGTTGTTATATGTTATAAATACATATTTTTTTTGGCAACAATAATAAAATATAAATCATACACATAGATCAACTTGATATTTAAGCTATGTCCACTACATAAGTGTTTTAATAAAAGTAATATGAATTCGATCTCAAGCATAGAATTTAAATATATAAACATGAACAACATCCATTTTATTGTCGATTACTGACACATGTTGCAGTCGGCAATAAATCACTTAAGTCTTGCCCTTCGTTATACACTTTTTTATGAAGTTCAAACACTCCAGAAGACATTCCAGTACTATTTAAACATAAATAATATTAATCGCGTTATTATAATATCATATGTACGTAGGTATAGCTGATAATATTTTATCTCTGACGAAGAAGCATTAGCCAGATAACACCACATGGCCGCTACGATGTGAATAAATAAATATTATTATTATTCTGGATAGAAACAACAGTATACACTTAAGTATAGTAATAGTTTAAGAATTATGAAATTGAAAATAAAACTATAACTGCATTAAATAACGAGTTCGAATCGATTTAAAGTACACAAACATATTACCATGTCGTAGCGGCCTTAAAAATTGTACTTTTATAAACAATATGGATTTCTTCCAGGCGTCCCCCACACCGATAAATTTCAATTGCATTTTCCTCAGAATATTAGGTTCAGATAAAAGGATTTTTATTTTACAGTAAATATAGAACTTTTTTTTTTAGATTTTTTAATCTACCCACAGAAAAAGTTTTGTATTACATACATTTCTTATATTGATAGTGAAGTGAAATAGACGTGGGATTAAAGTGTATACTAATTTTTTTTTGTTTGGAAAATTATCCATCCAACTAACCTATGTATTCCACTGACATATTTAGGTAAACTTTTCAAAACAATTATTTCTTTTTTTAATAATTTATTTGACGTATAATTTAATAAGTTCTCACCAGACTCGTGACCGCTGATTGAGACACTTTGATTCCCAAGACAAGATGAAAAACGTGACTCTTGTCACTCCGGTTAAGTAACTATGGTCCTGTCCTGGTTATACACCTTTCAATAATAATTAAGTTTTTACCAACACCGTTATAACGGTAACCTAAACACGACTCTTTTAGTTAATTTTTTTTTTTTAAAAATAGGCACTTATCAGTTGTCTATTGCTTAATGGACAAATATACCAATGCCCTGGATTTTAAATGACAACAAGAAAAATTTGTATTTTAAAGTTCAAACTTTGATAGAGATCACTATTGAAATAAGCCAATGTACGTTTTTATTCAAACGATTCTTTATATTCGATCAGATCTATAATTATTATTTATTTGGGTAGTTAAATTATTTTTATGAATCGAAATAGACGGATAAATAAATGAGGATTATTTATAATTTGTCTTAAATTTGAAAACGCGACGACTGATTAAAAGAAATATTATTATCTTAACAAACTGTATTGCAATGGTAAATAGACAACTCGAGTGCAAATAATAAAATCATTAAGATCATAATATTATAGGTCAAAGGTATTGCACCTAATATATCTAAATCAGATAAAATAAAACAAATTGTACATTTTACCAACGATTTATTGGTACCTACGTATGTAAATGTATTACGGAAACGTTGAGTATTGATTAATGAATTAATTTAATTAAGAAAAGCCTAAAACAAATATTTAAGTATAATATTTCGTTAAGAGTTGCCTAACTTACCCCCCCCCCCTTCCCTTTAAGACAACTCCTAACGGTACGATCTTGATAATATTAATTATAACATAAGATGATTTGGTACTCAAGTACAAGATGTTTATATGTTTGTTTAAGCAGAGTGAATTAAACATGCCTAACTTCGCTGAAGGAGTACGTACTATGTGTTTAATGTTTATACTTTGTTTAATGTTAGTTACTATGTTAATTTTTAAATTATGAACAAATATAAACGATACAATTGATTCGATAACGTTCGACCTTTGACCAATGTAATTAGCTACAGGAAAAAGTATCGTACTGTGGTAATATTTGTCTAAATGGTTTTATTGAACTAACTAGGTTTAACCATCGTTAAAATCTTTGAATGCAACACTCGTTTGGATAAATCTACACGGCAAAATTGGCATCATCACTACAGGAACTAGTTATTCAAGAATAATAGCTTTTCTCACGGCCGTGTCAAGTCGACTACAAATTTTACAAACGTAAAATAATTTAAAAGAACAACGTCTTGTTGTGTGCAAGGTTAATCGGATATAGGTAATATTATCGTTGTAATAAAATGACACGTTTAGACGATAACACCAACCAATGCACCGATATTTCATAGTAAATATTGGCACCCAATTTCGACTTGTGCAATTTTTACATAATATTTAAAAACAAATTGTTGGCATAACACTAAACCTGTAATGCTACTGCGGGAGGACTGGTGATTCACTGTATAATCATTTAATAATATTATTCGTCATATGTGGTGAATTCGGCCTCAATTTTCAGATAAAAAAATTATATGTCCTCCCAATGTTTACTACTTGTATAAAATACATACTCTTCAGTCAGCAGTGGTACAGCCGAGAGAACGTCCAACCGGTTGAGCCTAATTAAGAATTATTTTCAGTAAATATAAAGAAGAAATATTTTTTACTCCGTGATTTTCAAATTATTCTCTATAAAAGGTTACACGTATATCATTTAATAGTATCACATGTATATAATACCAAAGAATAAGTATTTTGGTGTTGTCGGTTCATAGTTCTTAATACTTGCACTCCAGTACCCTGACTCTGACGTATAGATAAGTATATTTAAATAACTAAATTTGTCCAAGATTTCTGAAGAATTCATCGTGTCTAAATTTATTAATTTCGAGTAAGTGTAATTCCATGTCTTTTAAACAATTCATAACTTCAAGGGACATCTAAAAAAATTCCTATAATTGATTTAAGTGTAATATATTTCATAATTATTATAAACGTTATAAAAGTTTTATTTAAGTAACATCAGGTGCAGTTAAAAGTTAAAACTTCAAAGTGTAAATGCGTTTTCTTCACATTTTCAAGGTCGGAGACCTCCATAACTCGAATTAAGATAGAACAATATATTTCAAACTTACAATATAAACGTAAGAAATAATGCTTATGCAAAGGATAATTTTAACTATTACAAAAAAAATTGCCTAGTTTTTTATGATAGAGGCAATATTCGAGTAATTTAAATTTCAAACGCGGTGAGTAACTCATAGCTCCTCTTGTGCCCTGACAAAAGTTATTGCTAATTCATTTTTAAGCATGTCACTACTTGAACATAACGTTTTTTAAAATTACAATAGTTTTTATTGGAATTGGATAATATTTTGAATTAATGATACTTCCATTTTACCAAAAAAATTGAGTTTACCATTCATTCAGTTTGCGGTTTCTTTTTTAGGTGAAAACAGTAATTGTCTGATTCAAAATAGTGTAACAAGTGTACAAAAAATAACAAGTAATACTGTTTTTAATTTAAATATAAATTCTTTAAATTGTTAACTGTTTAATGGTTTTTTTTTACCAAAGTAAAAATGTTTTTATAACAAATAATATTAAAATTTAAAACGTTACACATATAAATCAATATAATTACACAATATATTTTAAAAAAATATTCCGAGAAGCAGTAACAAACTTTAAATTTCTTTTATAAAATACATATATTATGGTTTAAATATGTCTGCATAAACCCCTTTTAAAAATTATAAAAAATATTTTATTTAAACATCATAATTCCATTTGTCTTTTTGGTTAAAATAAAATTTATCTTAGTTAAAATATGCTCTTTTACATAACAACAATTCACAAACAACTTTTATCTTATACTCGAGATTCTAACTGTTGAATTTTGACTTGTTTAGCAGCTTTATTCGACTTTGGAGAATCTAGTATACGCTTTTTCATTCTAATTGACGATACAGAAAATTAATTCACAACAGTTAACTTAATGATTATAACAAAAACTAATTAATAGCAGGTGTGACATGCAAAACCTCCACTTAATTGATACTGGGGTTTAATTTCTTTCATTTTTTAGAATGAAAGTTGTCAACTACCATAAAAAAATGTAGGGATGTACATACATAGGGTTTATGTCTTACATACACATAAGAATAATATATAAATAAACTAATACATATATATATATAAAATTTACCCAGATGTGAAAAATCGATGAGACGAAGCAGGCGTTACAGGTTTACTTTGAACTGGCGTGCTGTGAGACGATTCTTCAGACATTGATGTTTCGGTATTAATGACGTTTAGCCAGAATCGCTGAGGCAATTTGAGCAATTCATTGATGACCTGATTTAAGACCAAAACAAAAAAAATGTTCGGTACAATTCAAAAAACAACAGAATAGGTGGTTTAATGACAGCCCCCTTACTTTAGTACTAGTTTTTGATTTAACATGAAGCTCATCCAAATTAGAACTAGAATATCCAATGATTGTTGGTCCAAACACTATAGACAGATTATTAATATCCATATTGCATTTTGTCGAGTTGGCCACTCTAATAAAACAAATGAACGACATTAGTTAGAACGCTTCAGTAAAATTGCAATAATTAATTCTTTTTAGTTTTAAAATGTGCTTATATCTTAGTTATTCACTGAAAACATTTATTAGCATTATTAGACACATTTCTTAATGTATTTTTAATTACAAATATAATTTGGTTTACAAATCTGAAAAAAATTAAGGTAATTTTTATAAAACAATTTTTTTGAAATTTTAACAACCGTTTCATGACTGTAGACAAGAATAAGTTTAGAAAAATTATTTTTGTTAAAGTTGTAGGTATGTTAGCAACATTGCTTCAGACACAACTGCAAGTATTGTTTAGCATTCAGTTTTTGACAAAAAAAAGTATATAAAACAACAATTACAATGTTTTAAACTTTTTAAATATACAGTAGCATATAAATATATGCGTACATTTAATATATGTATATTAGATTAATTTTTTAAATTATGAACAATTTACTTTATTTTTTGCTGACCAATTATAAAATTAACTGTAAAAAACCAACGAAAATATTAAAAAAGAAAGATTTAGAATAATTGCAGATAAAAATATTTTTTAATTGTTTATCAAAGGTTTTTTTGAAAAAATATGTGTCTATCTTAATAATTTAACTATAAATTCAAATAAAAAAAATTTTAAGACCAGTACTTACTTTTGTAAATGCAACATTAAATATGCAAGAGTTACACGATTGACGGGTGATAGCTGAAGCACTTCATGGCTGAGGGACTGAGCGTTATCCTTTTGATTTTCAACAGCTTCATCGAATTTATCGAGATTAGTTTGTGTTATTATATGATTTTTTTGCGTACGAATATATTCTTTAAGGTAGCAACACAAAACATGTATGTCAATGTCACCCAAATAAGGAAGACCTTTACAAAACTTTTCCTTTAACAATTTATTTTCTTTTTCCGAACCACTAATTCTGTACAAGCCAACCGTTTCCAATCCTCGTTTTTCAATTTCACTGATGCAGTGCACTATAACTGGATCAACGCCACACTGTAAATTGATTAAAACAATTATAATAACTGCTCACTCTGACCCCAGAGCGCTGGCTTATTTTACTTATAGTACATCATTTAGTGTATTTAAAAAAAAATGCAGTACAACTAGGTTGTGATAACATTGATCTAAAAAAAACGCTTCAAAAATTACTTTAAAAAAATACTATTTTATCTAATCACTCTTTCCACATCTTCACCAACTGTTATTTTTGAAAGTAGGTTTTTTGTGACTTAGTAACCATATTCTCATTCTACTTCTCTCAACTCAGACTGTCCCCAATACCACCAATTTAGCTGGTCAACTCTGATTCTTCTTCTTTTGTAAACCTAATTTTGTTTAATATAATAACTAGATTACCATATTAATTTGTTTATACAATACTTAATAATTTACATTCAAAATATCCAATCGTTTTTGGTAGTTTGTACACGATACTGTAATAAAATTTTTACATTCTGGGTGAGCTCCAATTTTACAATCCAAGCATTTGCAGATATAATTATTGAATGTCACCCTGAAAATTCGAAACCAAAATCACATATTAATAACATGTAACTATACTCTATAGTATATAAATTAAAGTAAAATTACTAGACAATCAACATAAATCTAAAATTTTTCCATTATGCAAAAGGTTAATCAAATAATAAATAAAGGAAAAACAAAAAAATATCAATACTCTTTTTTTTTTATCTAGAATAGGGTGGACATTTTTCCAAGCGTAGTTTTGGGACTTGAGGTCTAAATATTAGAATAAAAGATCTACAGTAGGGATCTAATACATACAGTTAACTTAATAATATGTAGCCAAACTATTTTTGAATCATTTTTTTTCATTAAAATTTTTTAAAATAATCTATTGATCAAAAACAGGGGGGAATTAGCACAGTGAGGAGGGAGCGTTTTGGGATAGGAGAGGTCACAGGTTTTCAGGAATTATTAGAACTGAAAATCATATAATCACTTTTAAGTAAACCCTTCGATGTAAACCTGTAGATGGTTTTTATCTTCTTTTTTAAAAGAATCTAAGTGATAAAATTGTTTTCAAAACAAATTAATGTAATACAATTATATTAATTAAATATGTTTTGTTTTTCGAGGGAAGAGATAATTAAGTATCAATAAATGTAAGAAGTCATTTTATTTAATGTCATACATTTTTCGATATATTCAAAGTCCAATTTTACTTGTAACATACTTTTTTCGACAGTATCCGCATTTTTCTGCAATAACCACTTTTTTTTCAGAAAAATTGTGAGGTTTCCCAAAACAATTTTCATCTTTTGTGGACGTTGATGAGTCACACAATGAAATTAAAGAATCACACATATCTTAGAAATATAAATTAAATATTAGTAGATTGTAAATTAATTATTTATATTTAATACAGACTTGTGGTAGATATGGGAATTTTTTTGGGTTCTGGCAGATTGTAAGATTCCATTACTGACTTTGCATTTATTTTACCCGATTCCATTGTAAAAGTAGTCGTGGCTACAATGCGGCCCTCTTTAATATTGATTGTCGCATGCTACAAAAAATTAATATGTTCTTTTTTAGGACGATATTATTCACCTTTAACTTTTAAGATATTTATGCAACCAAATGTTGTATAGTATATCTATTAATATATTTATGAAAGTTTGTATGCAAGAAAAATAAATATTTTACTTGTTTTGGTAGAGTATAAACTTCATTGCACTTTTTCAACGGTGTTACTTCTTTCCTGATGTCAATTCCTTTTACTTCGACATCGTTATCCAAACTGACGTCGGAACTGTCGGTTCGACTGTAACTCAAATCAGTCAACAAAGCATCTAAAATATAAAAACACATACACATTAAGGAAAATTGTTGACACTGATTTTAAAATTTTAATGAAAAGGGAATTAGAGTAATTATGTATATATTTATTTATACCTGTGTTATCTAAAACTTTATACTCATTTGATTGTTTTGCTTTATAATGGGAACTCGTCGCTTGAGCCGAACTTTCTTCTGTACTTGGTCTTTGTAAGTAAACATTGTAAAACTTGTCAAGTTGTGATTGCTACAAATGAAATGATCATTATCAAATGATAATACAAAGTTAACTACATTTTGTTGATACCCGATGAAACATTTTTTTTTTTTTTTGGTAATATCTTCCCTAAACTGTACTACAATCAATATTAAATTATATGTAATATTAATATATTTGTATCCTAATTATGTAACAACTTTCTGTGAATTTACAACTCAAAATCAAATGTGTAATTTAAATCCTTCATCATGCCCAGATTAGATTATGGTAATTTAAATTACCTTTAATTTTTACCTGTGTAAATTATTAAATAAATAGTTAAAAATAACAATTACTTACTAAACATTCTTTTTCTAATTCAATTTTTTTTTTTTCCGACTGTACTTCATCATATAACCGTGCGGATGTCTTAAGCTTGAATGATAACTTTGAACACTCTTCCATGTATGAATTCAATTGTTTCTTCATTTGATCTTGATCCTTATCATTTTCGTTGATCTTGTTCATCAACTCATCAATAAGTTTTAACTTAGCAATATAATCTGAAAAAAAACCATTAGAAATAAAAATACACACAATTAGTTATAGTTAAATTAGACTTAGAAAATAATATTAACAAATGTAAGAAATAAAAATCCATTAATACATGAAATCAATAAGTATTTCAAAATAATCTGTAGCAAATAGTTCATTTAAAATCAATTTTTGAAAAGTTGAATTTTGAATTTTAAAAACAATAAAAAATGCCAGAGGTGGCATTCATCTGGTAGGTGAACATTCTAAAGACGGACAATAAAATGTGTCTGAAATGTCAGTGTTGTGACGCAGTGATATTAGGTGTCACTATCTACTAAGGTATTAAAGGTATCCGGTTTCAATTCTCACGACACAACATAACAAAATGTGAGATGACCATTTTGAAAAATATAATAAAAGTAATCCCCAGCTATGGACTATCAAAGAAAATATAAAAAAATAATATATTTTAAAAAATCCAATTAGCCATCACTCTTCTAGTCAGTTCAGCTACCTGTGAATGCTCATTTTTTGCAATTAAGAAGAATTAATATCTCAGATCTAACATGATGCATTCCTAGTTCTCAAAATTAGCAACACTTAATATTGAGAGACACGTTATTGTTGATAATGTAATTATTTGAAATCTTTTAATTTTTTTAGATTTTTCAGTAAGGGGAAAGGGTGGAAGAAAAATTGTGAGGGGTACTGATTAAAAAATAGTTACAGGAGCTTCAGCCTCTCTCCCAAATTCTTTACCCTAATTGTGCATATGCATACAACTTTTTCAGACCTTTCTCTTTTGGTCTAAATGACAAAAGTTCAGATTGGTTATTATTTTACCAAATACCTACTTACATGACGGATTTGAAACTTATGATGTTGAGTAAGTAGGTACTTCAATTTGATTTTATTAAAGAATACCATAGGTGTAGTGTTTATAAATAATTTGACTACAATTATTGCCTTTCGAGTGACCGCATAAGCGCAATTTGGAAGAAGCTTGGATATTGTGCTTAGAACCCCTAGTATTGTGCTTGGCACACTTAAATTTTTTTTTGTTTCATACCATACCTATTAACCTGTGTATTAGTAAGAAAATTATAATACATCCAGCGCACAAACAGCCCCATTTATTTCACCGAAACTGCGACCATGTTAAATTAGACAGACCTACCTAAATACAACGAAGTAAACGTGTACTTACCTCTTTCGACGGACGTATCGAAAAGGGACTGTACTTTGGTGAAGAACAAGTCGTATTGCAACGCCAGAGATTTACCCTGATTTTCCATTATTCGGTTACTTAGTTTCCATTAACTTGTATTTTGTAAAATCTGGATAATGGATTTTAGTTAAGACGAAAACGAGGAAAATAGAATCAATAAAAAATTAACAAACAAAATAACACATACCGAAATCTCAACACAAACCAAGTACCGACCGGCGACGCGACGTTGTAAGCAGTTTGAACACTGGTTATGATTGGCTCGTTTGAAAATTATATTTGTAAATAGTAATACAGATTACAGGCTGATCGTGGTAATAAAAAAAACCCAGGGAAATTGAAAAAACAACAACGATAAAAATATATCAGATTGATACTGCAAAATTACAATTGATAACGACTTAAACATTGTTTTACGAAGTGCGTATAATATTGCGTACGTTATTTCAATATTTTACCCGGTAGACGTGTATGATAATATATTACTTACATATAAAGCAAATTTGAAATAAAATGTACATTTGGCCTTTAAAAAACAATCAATAGACAAAAACGGTACCTAGTTAATTTGCTGGACTTAGCCTTAAATTTAGAACTCTAAAATTTGAGCATTTTATAGTTACATTAATAAATAATAATCAATACGAGCCGAACTACCGTAATTTATTGAAAATGGAAACCGCGTATTCAAATCCAAATTTTTCTGATTTAAGACTTATTTAGGCATTACATATTCGAACACGGCGAGAAAAAATGATTTATTTAAAACATGATTTTTTTAGGCAACTAAAATTGTTTTTAATCAGTTGCAAATCAATTTTCTGATTTGCTTTTTTTATCGTGTAGACTGTGGAACCCCAAATTGGCATCGGGAAGTGTTTTGAAATGATGTAATTTCGCTTAGCTTAAGTAAAAATTTTCGCAAGAGAAGGAAAGTTTTTTATTTGAGCTAGCTCATAGGAAATATAAAGGAGTATAATATGTTGGAGACCGCCGTGTTGTTAATACAAAAAAGCGTTTTCCGAAGTAAATAATAGTCATCTTCCGAAACCAAACCTAAAATTTTATCGTGTTTATTTTAAACAAATGATTAAAAAAGCGAAACAAGTAATTAAATTTAAATAAATAATAAAAATGTTTTCATAGGGATTTGGTTTGTTAAAGAATATTTTGATATTTTTTATTCTTTTAACTTTGTCAATTATTACTCATGTAAATTAAAAAATATGAGACGTTTAAGTTGAAAATGGACTTGGTCTACTGAAAAAAATAATTCCCCTAACTGTTATTAACGTCAACCAATTTTTATAGTTCAACATTTAAAGTCTGAACGTTGATAAAGTTGTCAAGTTGAATTAAATAAAAAAAGTTGTCATAAATTAAGTTTTTAGTTTAGTCAGTCATTTAAATAATTTTGTTTTTCATTTCTACTGAAAACAATCTTTAGCATAACAATGTGTTTAACATTTTGTTGCAATTAAATTTAAATTAACATTGATTAAAATTGATTAGTAAAGTAAATTGACTCTGAACCATAATAAAATATATTTTTTTTTTATAATAATATAGTGTTTGTGAATGAGAGTACCCCCTCAAGGTTAACCAATTGGAAGAGGGCAAGTATCTACGGCTCAATCTGTACACATCTCCCTTGAAAACTCACTACACTGAATATGCTCAACTAAATTGATGTTAAAAAAACAAAAAAGTGAAAAAATGAACTTTTTTTTTATTGCTACATTTCAAATTAGTTTACTCATATTGTTTGGGAACAATAACGATATCCATGGTTTTTTTAAGGTGCATAATAATTAAATGTAACAACAATGCGTTCAGCAATATTATATATTATTAAGATAATGTATTTCATTTATAGCCGATCGTTCTCAACTGTTCACCACATGTTCATATTACTACACATAGTGACGGTAATCAATTCCCAATCCGTCTGTCAAGCAGAAGGTGTATTTACTACCGATTATCCATCCGAGAACACGGCCGAAGACCCATCAAAAGTTCAGCAACATTACTCTATTACTGACAGTAAGCATACTGTGCATTATGCATTTTTCCAACAGTTTGTTTGTGACTGTTGACGAACACACGTGATCGATATCGATCCATAAACATTTTAATTGACACAGATGAAAACCTGGAACAAAAGCATACCAACGATCAACCGATCCAAGAAAAAGACAGATCCGTAGTGTACATGCACTTGTCGTGTCATCAAAACGATAAGTGCGACGACGATTTGGAATTTAAACGACCCGAAAACATTTGGGGTAATAATTATACGATACTTTTTATACAAGTATCCACATCAGATTGCAACTGCTAACTATAAATAGTAGCAATCTTTGTTCTCTATATATATATATATATAGAGAACAAAGATTATATACTGATATATATATATATATATATATCAGTAAAGTTAGCAAGCCCGTTCATATGGATAGAGCCATATTTTGATTAATTAATGTCTAAGGGCAAAGTGGCCGCCCCCCTGCCCGATCCTTAGTCCTTAGACATTAATTTATCAAAATAAATAAGACGTGTATACACAGCTTATACCTTTACAAGTAGGTATATTATTGTTTTATAGGGATATTTTCGCAGAATATTACGTTACGTTTTTTTTTATTATAAATGCATGCGGTTAGTTTGTTTTTGCAATCGGTTATCGCTGACCGTGTATATATAATATATATATATATATATATATATATAGCTCCTTTTATAGCTTACAATACATACGGGAAACCCGATAACGTCTCGTACAGCACAAGGATTTTCATAATTGTCGGTTTTGTTTGAAAGAGTTAATTATCATAGACCTATATATAGGTATATATTTGTTTATAACATATTATTATGAATATTTATTATCGTGTATGTATATTTTATATTTGCAAATTGCACAGTGTATATTGAAAGTGATTTATATAGTACTGTCTTCCTGTCGAACAAAACAGAAAAAATACCAAAATCCTTTACCGCGCGAGGCGTTAATTTTCACCTTGTTTTAAAGCTATAAAGACTGCATGTTGAGCTTTCTTATAAATATAACTTTTGGCTAGCACGAACTTATTGTTCATTTGCGAACGAGGAGGAAACAATTTAGATTTTTTACTTAATTTTTAAAGCTTGTGAGATATCAACTGTATGTTGTGATACTATCAGCTATGCTGATTGGGGGCACCTAAATAATATTTTTTTTTTTCACCTTTGTCCAGGCAAAGAGTTCAACACGTCGATTTCGAAAACCTTGTGCGAGGCTTGCGTGTACCCCCGTGGTTCGATCGTGGACAGAGTACAGTTTACCAAGAGGGGTACGTGCATGTGTGAGAAAGTCTGCAACAGACAGGACCAGATTACAACAAGAGTGCCCCCCACGGAGGCCACTTTGAAAGACTCGTATTGCACCAAGAGTCATCTTAGGGCGGCAGCTTGCGTGTGTATGTTTAAGGTGACGTTTCAATCCAACATGCACTATGTGTTCATACATTTCATTCCCAACCGGGACGGCCATGTCGCTACGCAGTACTACGAGTCGGGACACGCGTTGAAGGTGCCATTGTGATTTGACATGAAAAGGCTACCAAGGGACACCGAGTGCACTCTTAAATGTTTCTTATCCCAAACCTACTTCTTGTCCGCCATATGAAATTAGGTTGGATTTTCTGGAGAATAAATAACAAAAAAAAATGTGATATGCCATAACGAGAAGGGTATTACAGCAAGTGTCGCTGTTATGACGTTTAAACATAGGTCCGTCCGTTAACTGCATATACCCCATAATTGTTTCATCGGTAAACTGTCGACTAAACGAGACTCTAATTTTTGAATATTGAATTTATGTAATCAAATTTTTTTTATACATTACTTTTGTATTTACTAGTTATTAGTATATTTACTAGTTTATCTTTGTAAGTAGTTATAAGCATCACCGTTTAAACTTTGAAAAAAAAATTGCTCATTATGTAAAACTATTACTCTAGTATAATTTTGTTCCACACTCGCTCATAGTGTAATTACTGTAGCCCTAGTAGGAATTTGAAAAAGTTTATATTTTAAATTTGTCTCTCCTATTTTTAAAGGGAGCTTATTAATATTCAGGTTGAATTCCGATTAAATTACATAATCGTTTGAATGTTAATTAAAATCACCACCCTTTTACTGCATTTGTCATGTAAGATGACATATTTAAACTTAGTATATATTTTTTATCTTGGTAGCTAAATCAAAGAAAAATAGCTCATAGGTTTCTGTAGCATGATGAAGTATATTAATTGCTCGTCAATATCGCCTCCCATAAAAATATTAAAATATTACAGGTCTAGTTTGGTTGTTGTTGTACATATGGTTAAAACAAACTGTATTTTTTATTAATTGCAATTTTTTGAGTATTCCGTGTAATTTAAGTTGCAATACATATTATTAATATTAGTACTAAAGACGCAATAAAAAAAAGCCAAATAGTATGATTGTGAGACCCAAACGTCAAATAATTACATTGTCAAATACTTTATTTGTTGTTTTAAAAACCTACTTTTACAATAAAGATCAAAATTAAATAAATTAAAAGTTAAACAAACTGAAAGGTATTTCAATAAATAAATTTGGCAATCTTTCTAAAATCTATCATAAAAACTTGTAAATTCTGAATTTACACCATACAAAAAAAAAAAAAAAAATACAAACAAACAAACCAATGTTATTAATTATAACTTATAAAATTTTAAGTCAATTTGTTAAGAGTTAAGTACTTGTTTAAAGATAAGAGTTACATATAATATAGTAAATTTACTTATAGCTTTATCATTTGATTGCAAGTGTTAAAAAGTCTTATTTTCTCCACAAACTTTTGAAAAATCCACGTTTTGACTGACTGGTTTCACATTCTTCACTTATTTCACCTAAATCATCATATAATATTTTAATTAAAATTTAATAGTATTAATAAAATAAAAAAGATTGTGATATAATAATATTAGACAGACTTAGGGCTGTGCGATTTGAAGTAACAACCAAATAAGTCCATTTTTTTCAAAAATGATTTTTTTGTGGAAAATTGTTTTACATTTTGGTACAACAAACAGTAAAATAGGAATACTATTTACAAAGTTATTACAAAACATATTTTGTCCAGTTCATTGTAGTAAATGGGATAAAGAATTTTCTTTTAATCGTTTTGAACATTTTTATTAATCTGATTGTTGCTTCATGCCCTAATTGTTTTTCGATAATTAAAATCCATATTAGTTAATCAAATATTTTTCGGTTAAATAAGATTAAACTAAATGATTAATCATAGAATAATCATTTAAAGGTTACATACCAGTTTTCTAGTTATTACATGTGATACCAGCTTATTTTTAAATAACCAAAGTTTAGAATAATCATTTATTAAATTATAAATTATCGATTTCTATCATTTTTTTCCAATTACTATTTTTTTTTTTACTGTCATCAAATACATCAAATTGTTATCAGATAAATAAACAATCGCAAAGCTTCCAAGATTAGTCATTATAATATTATATATCAAGCATTAAGTAATTACCGTGAGGGCCGATCACTGAAGAAGCAAATACCGTTTTAGTTTTGTTATTTTTATTTGTGTTACCTGTAAATTCAAAGCATTAACATCAAATTAGAATAGTTTAACTAATATTGAGTATTCTTTTAAATAATCCCTTGGCTGTAGTTGACAAACTATTTTCTTTCGATCACTTACCCCTACGAATTAGCAAACTAGTAACGCGACGTAGCGCTTCTCTCGGAGATCGGTTGAAGAATTTTGGTGAAAGATTAGGAGGCAACGTGACGGGTTTATGTCTATCTCCGGCCGCCCATTGAGAATGTCCCACTGGACTTTGGCACGCTGCTAGTTTGTCGAGCTGTTCCACCGATACGGGCCGAAACTGTCGCTGCCGTGGGTACCATCCCCTGCCGGGACCATTCAAGTGCAATAACTCGGCCCCAGCCATAGCTTGACCTAAACCAATACTAGATCCGTGTCCAGCACCTCTCATGTTAATGCTCAAGCTATCTGAAAAAAGCCCAAAATGTAATCATTGTTACACTTTTCACAAAATCAGTAGCTTTTGATAGATTAAGCTTACTTGTCATTTGAGACATAGTTTTAGTACTAGTTCCAGAGTATTGACGTGGAAAATCACATCGGCCCATTAGCGGTGTGTCAGGCAATGAATTTGAAATGTCTGATAATTTTTCAATGGTGCTGGGGTGAACACCACTTCTATATTGTAGGGGTCTTGGGTATTCATCTGTAACTGGAAGTTCAGACGGGTAAGTTCTTCTTTCTGATTGGACCTATAATTTACATAACAGGTTTTATAATATGATAATTATAGGTAAAAAAAAAGTTAACGAAGTTAATATCACTAACAGATCGTGTTCCGATTTTTTGATGTTGCTGAAAATTTTGTGAAAATTCTGCATCAATGGATCGAGACTTAATTATTGAATTGTTCGGCTCGTTTTTATAAAGGTTAAAAGCAAATGGAACTTGTGTTGCTTCAATTTCTTTTATTGATTCAGCACTTTTTAATTTTGGTAACGTCGGAACTAAACAATAGAAAAAACAGTAATTAAAGAACATTTTTTTATTTTTTATACTTAAAGATTAAAATATGAAAATATTTTTACCAATTTCTTCGACAGGCGATGGTGGTAATGGTCCAAATAAAAATGAATCAAAATCTCCATCAATATTATTTAAGCTCAATTGTTCGTTTACAAATTCTTCCAAAATATTAGCATTTGCATAGTTTGCACAGTCTTCATCAATGGTTTTGAGTTCAATATCTTTGTTAAATGTGTTCAAATTTGTATAACAAACAGCATCTTCTGTCTTGTTTGGTACAGTGTGGTTTTCTTGAACTTTTTTAAGAGATGTGTTAATAATCTGCTCACTACCATGCAAGACAATCTGTTCAATTTTCTTCTGCAAAATATCTAAATCTTCGGCTTTTTTTTGTGACATGCAGTTTTTTTCAACTTGTTTATCAATTACTTTGCCTTTGCCTTTTGCATACAACAATATGTTGGTTTCTTCAACTTCCTTAAGCAGCTTGTTGTTTTCTTCGATTTCTTTAAGTAACAAATTGTGTTCGACTTCCTTAAGTAAAATTTTTGTTTGTTCTATTTCTTTAGGCAATAATAAAACATTGTCTACTTCTCTTTCTGGTGTGATGACGTTGTTACCTTCAATACCTTCCGGGAGTATGTCTTTATTGACAATATCTTTGGTGGACAGATTAGTGTTTACTTCTATGTTCACAAAAATATCTTCAGTTTGACAACTCATGTCGCGAAGCGTTTTCTTTACATTATTATCGTTTTTGAATAATTCGGTAGACACTTGTACAGACATGTCTTGTTTTGTCACAGAGTTCTTGGTGAGCTTGTTCATTAATAATTCGTGTTTGGTTGCACACATTGTCAAATAAGAATGTTGGTTTTTTGTACTATCATGACTTAGAATATTTGGTAACGATGATACTCTATACAATTTAGGAGGGTTCGGAGGCTGGAAGTCTGGTGGCATTTCGTCCAGACCATCTACCAAACCTTCTTTGAGTAACGTTTTAATGTCTTCGAATGTCGAACTAAATCTATTCAGTTCAGCTTCGTCCAGCAAAGATGGTTTTCTGCTACTACAAGTACTGACGTTTGTGATTACGTTTACCGAGGAATCCCCACAGTAGGTGGGATAATATTGCACGTGGATATTGCTTTGGTCACAGTCTTCATATAACATTCTATCACACTCGTCCTGTTCCAATGGCACATTTTCACTGACTAGAGGTAAAACGATTTTCAATACGTTATTTGTTGGACTTTCGAAATAGGTTTTGCCGTTACAATTCAATTGTAGATCGTCCTGAAAAACAGTTACACAGCCATTATGGCGCGACAGTGGCATTCCATCAACTATGTCCGTTTCCATTTCGTTTTTAGGTGGTGAAATGTGGGATACGGCTCCAAATGTTACACATTCCACCACCTGTGATAATGGCCAACTTTTGCGATTATTTTGGCAGTCTAAAGACTTTGAACACGTGATACTATTTACAACGTCATCATCGTCGTATTCCTTGGTTTTGACTCTGGGCTAAAATTACATGCAGGTAATTAGTAAAACATAGTTATGTTTAATTATTATATTAACTTACTAAAGTCGACGATAAAGATTCAGTGTTGGTAAACATAGTAATATTTTTTAATCGCTTGTATTAAAATTATCAGCTACACAATATTTCATTTGATATTCTGAAACAAAAATATATATACATAAATTATTAACTTTCAATAATTAAGAAGAAACATTTTTTAAAATTTAAGTCACAAAAAATATTACTTTTTCTTGAGCAACTTTTAAAGCATGCTTAGTTAAAACCTAAAATTTGGGTAAAATATTAACTTTTAAAACTTATATACTTTATTCACTTTTGCAATCAAGAATAATCTTCAAAAACATTGACAGCCGATTACAAATTTTGAATAATTACCCTAAAGCAATTTTTTTTAAGAGAAAACTAGTACAGCTTACGCCAAATGGTTCACCTTATGTATTAATTGGTAAATAAATTAGTAAGATTCTGTGGAATTTGATTTAGCTTAAAGTAGTATGACATACAAATCATTAACTGAAACTATTAAATGTACAACCAGTAATATACGCTGGTACAGCTAAACAAAATTCATAACTCGTAATTAATGTCAACATTGGGTCAAGAACAAAAATGAGTCAAGGTTGCAGAGTTACTTATTAAAAATGATTTTAAAATAAGAATGCAAACACAGGAATGATGTTGATGTAGGTACATACTTTGTGTAACTGATGAGAAAATAAATTAACTATCATAATATAACAAAACAACAATTATAAATTGACACAGTGCTTTATTATTTTCTTATCGTAATGTGATAAATATATATGTATAATACTCTCAAATTATAAAAGATAAAATGACATGTTGAATTAGACAAATAGATATTTATAGTTATAAATAAAACATATGTAAATTGCAAATTAATTGAATCATAAATGTAATATACCTACTTCCGAAAAAATTTTGCCTGAAGTTGTAATTAATAAATTGTTTAAAATAATTGGCTATTTGAAATAGAACATAAAAATACATTTCAAACAATTCGTTACTTGCAAATAATAGCTTACATTTGCACACTGATTGTTGTAATTAAAAACAAGTTTTAACTAAATTGAAATAAACACATTTTTTTTAAAAGTTTATTTCTTAGTAGATAATTTGAAAAAATAATATGTTGTATTCTACAGAAATAATAGTAATTTAAATTATACTAATCGAACACTTTTGTATTTTGCATAATAGTTTCATTCTATAATAATGTGCTATATTTAAGCATAAAACCTATGTGATACTCATTTTTAAAACATATATAAGATGCAATGAAATATAGTTTAACAACTAACGCCAAATATACATTTTACACAGCAATATCTGTCGTTTAATGGTTTTTTAAGTAGTCATAAATTTCAGAAATGGCGTACTGCCACGATCCTATACTGAACATAACTATATCAGCCAATCTTTACATAGTATGTAGGTGAGCTGCAATATATTTTTAGTCTCGACAATTGACAACTACACTTATTATTTCAATACTTTTAGGTTACTTTTAATGAATTTTCGATACAAATGATACAAATTGGCATGTTACTACAATAATTGATACTGTAAAATATTGTTTTTGCTTATGTTGCAATACTTGTTACTACTACAAATTATGTTAAAAATAAATCTTCTATCCAGATTGTTGGTTTTTATTAGCCATTCTTTAAATAGTTAGAGATCTCTATCTTAGACTTCAAAGAAATACCTATATATATTTAAGTATGTAAACCTAAAGACAAGTATATTAATTATATTTAAAAATTAAAATTAAACAATTAACTAATTGTTTTCTTTGTATATTCCATACAAATAAATTGTGTTAGCTACTGTACATAGTTGACGTGAAGAAGTATCAATACAAAGACAACATGCAAATTTAAATTTTTAATAAGTCATTGTTATGTTGATAACAATACAAATATTTAGCAACTATTGAAAAATAAGTAAGAAATAATTATGAGATGTTATAGCCTAAAAAAAATATATGTATACTTATTTTAATACAAATTGTTATTTTAATATATGTATGCTAAATTTTAGTATTTTTTTCTTGAAAAAAAATTGACTTATGTATACTTGCTTCGGTTTAAAATAAAAATAAAAAAATGTTTAATTTAAGCGCTTAAATAAAGTTTGCATGCATTGGGTTTCAAACCGAGGCAAGTTTATACAAGTTAATTAAGCTTTTTCAGAAAAAAAAAATTATAATTTAGCATACAAAAGGTAAATACAATTTATAATAGTCCTACTTTTTATGTGTGGCGTGGTTGTGATTATTTACATATTGGTTTTAGTCTGATTTATTAGTACTTGCTGATTGATTAAATATTTAATTTAATGTTTACCTTACCTGAATTTCTTATTATAAATATTATTATAGTTTCGGATACAATTTGTATACTGAAAGAACAGGTAGCGCCCACAGACCAATTGTATTAGTCATTGCATAAGTATTCGATATTGATGATGGTGGTACAGTGATTGTAGGAGGTAAAGGTGTGTATAAACTACTAATGTAAGCTTAAGACTGTTATTTGACTTAAATAGGATATTTGAATAACTTTCAAGACACTCATTACTTAAGTTAAGTTAGGTATTTAGTTAATAGACAAACTAAATTTTGAAACAAACAAGACAAACTAACTTGGCAAATACTAAAAAAAAAATACAAAATTATATTCAATAATGCTTTGGCTAATTCTAAAAAAATAAAAACTGAAACTGTAGACAATTGTTTAAGCTTAAGAGGTACAAATAACATTTTTTAGAGTTTGCCGAATCAAAGGCAGAACTAAAAAAAATTGTATACAAAATATTTTGCTAGACTGTATTACAGTATTTATGAAAAAAGATAAAAATGTGATAAAAATAAATTTATTTATCAAGTTAATTTTTTAGTTTCCATCAAGTGAACATCAAATAAAACAAAGCAATGCTTAATTCCAGTGATCGAGTCAAATGTCTTTTCATTGTTGTATTTAAGATAAAAACTTTGAGATATCATTAAAGTTTGATACTTTATTACTATTTATTTCCTAATTTAATAAAAATAAAATTGTACACTTAAAATTTTTTTATAGCACCTTTCTAACTTTTTTCAACCAATTTTATTTTAATTGCATACAAACCAATTTACTTTATTAAAAGAAATGTGAAAGTAACTTAAATAAACAACTAGATATTTTATTACTCTAGATAATTTAACAAATACGTATAAATACAATATATATATATTATATTTATATGAAATGATTTAAAGTTTTTGGAAACTGGACTATCGAAAAACTAAACAGCTTAAGTTTTTATAAGGCAAAACACTCAACAGAGAGTAATACAACTTATGCAGGGAAGTCAAATTTGACTTATACCAATTTGGAGTTGATACAAATAGTCCTTTCTTTTCTCTATCAACAATGAAAAAAAATTGAGTATCGCACTCTTGGATAAGAATTTATAAAAAAAACTAGAATAAGGAATCAAAATTCTAATTTTCAAAAAATCTAGTTAAGATCTTTGCTGTGTCAGTCGATATGCAACTACTTAAAATAATTACCTAATTTGCACATCCGTGAATTAATTCAGAAAAGTATCCGGACTAGGGTTTCGAAGGCCAAAATTCTACTTTAAGCCAATCGACTGAACTTCTTCAGATAGACCGCGCAGCAATGCAAGTACCAAAGTACAATAATCTATACTTACATCGGAGACTGCAATGCCGAATATGGTAGAACGTAAAATATTACAAATTGAACAATGACCCATGAAGACGCCGGATAACATTATTATTGTTTGCGTTCGAGGGGAACGCGCGTGTTGGAGCGGCGCGAGGGCCATGTGTGCGAAGAAGCGTACGCGGGGGAGGGAATAAAGCCCCCGAGGAAAATGTAAACGAAAATAATCAATAACTCACCTCTTAAGTAGTGGTGCTGTTCAACGCGCGGCCGCCGCCGACGCGGGCCACAACGGGATGCTCCGGACTGCCACCGGCCCCTGTTCGCGTCCTGGGACGATTTGCGGTGGTCTCCGACGACAGCCGCGGCACATGTCCGGACGCGGACGGCCTGGACGAAAACTGTGGCCGGTTCGTGTGTGGGATTGACTGTTGACAGTACAGTGTACACGGCCGACGAGCAATAATGATTTGTTATTGTTGTTGTTGTTACGCGTTAATCAGAGTCGCTTTGATTGGACGAAGAGGATTCGCTATCAGTGGATAACTGCGACGATAAAAATTGCTGTAGCTCTGGTATAGGTCGTCGGGATTGTGATAATAAAAAAACAACGAAAAGGATAAAACAAAAAATGAAGAATAATAGAAAAGGTATTATAAGGTCGTCCAAAAATACCCAGCGAACCATGTCGGTCGGATGAGACGTCCGTACTCCGTACTGAGCACTCCGTGTGCGAATTACAATGCGGCGGTCGGCACGACGATGCGACTAATGCGACGATAGCGGTGGAAGGGGAACGGAGGGTGGACCGCTGGCGTTCCGCGGAGGAGAATCGTGGAATGCGCGCCGCGCTCTCTTCCCATCTTGGCCCGAAGTCGCCGGCGGCGGCGACGCAATACACGACGCCTGGACGTTTGGCCGTCAGATAGCGCGCGCGGCCGCCGCCTCCTCGTCCACCGGAGGAGTGCATACCGGTGAAACTTGAAAGTACAAGACGTGCCTTTAATAATCATACCTACGAATAATATTATATGGACATCCGCGGACCAGGCACCGGATGATAATGTATAATATAGTTGAATTATTATTCAGGTAATAAAATAGTGTTCGTATATGGAAGTGTGCGGTCAGGTTTATCTGTCGCACAGTTGTTTGGCTCAAGGATAACCGTCGCATCGTTGTATACGTCGTGTACATATTTTTCTATGTAGTCGTTTCTATTTATTTTATCTGACGGACAAATCGAATCCACAAATTCGCCAACAAATATATTTTAATGTATTTTTACTTGACAAATTGTCAAATTTTGGGTATTTAAAATACACTGTATGAAATTCATTTTTTCTGTTAGGCATGTTAAGTCAGCAAAGCTACCTAACTAAAGTTACTTTTTTAAAACTATTTATCTAATTCGACAAAAATCTATAGACAATAGCATATAAGAAGATCATTTTATCGTAAACCACTCAGTATCTTATTTGGGTTTAATAATAATAATTGATTTTTTTTCATAGTGTTTTTATATCTGTAACAACTGTGAATAAGTGTGTAAGCCGATTCCAGTTATTTTACAGGGGACCGATTTTAAACCATGACTAGCTGATTTCATTTAAAACATTTGATTTTTTTATGATCCTCTTATATTGATAAATACTTTAGAGGTGCTCAAGTGGTTTCTTTCAAGCTTAAAATTGCTAAAAAAAAAACCCTGTAAAATCACTGAAATCGACTTACTTATTCACAGTTGTTACAGATACCTATATATGTGATATCAATTTTTATGTTACTAATCTTAGTATACAACCTATATGTGGTGATCATTTTATCGTGAACTACTCAATATCTCATAGAGTTTAAATTTTAATACGAAATCAATTTTTTTTCGTAATGTTTTTATTATATCTGATGATACCTCTCCCACTAAAACAAATCTGATACCTGTTGAGTTGTGGTTAGTGGACATAATACGAAAAAAAATAATATAGTTAAAATAAGTATTTAAGATTAAACATTACTTTCATAACGGTTAGGTATGTTTGTTTTTTGTTTCTTACTTAATTGTGTATTTTCTAAATAATACATAGTCAATAGAATCTACACTTAATACTTATTACCTGTTCTTATATTTTTATTGATGTAAATATCTTTTGTTAACATGTTAACACCTTTATGTATTCACCTTATTGTAAAGAAGTAAGAACTTTGATAACTAAGATTCGTTGTATAAGTAATATTTATGAAATTGTCGAGTTTAAATAGTTTAGCTTGTCTGAGTGACAAAATATCTAATTAAATAATTACCGATTTCAACATATATTAAAATACCGAAAATATACATATTAAAAACATTTTAAGCAACAGATTTTTTAACCATTTATTACTTGCTGGAACCGTCAAGTATATCGTACAGGGATGTGTCGTTGTATTTGATGACTCTCAAGGCGTTTCTCTGGACTCTGACGATTTCGTCGAATCTTTCCAAGGTGCTGGGCGGCAACTTTTCGATAAACGATCTAAAAGTATTTTACCCGCCGTTCACGTCGTTGTCCGGGTACGACGGAATCGTAGACAGAAGCATGACGAACAGTTGTACATTATGATCGTTCAGTTGCCAGTACAATTTGTACGAAAACTCTAATAATTCCTTTTGCTTGGCCCACACCAGTGTCCGGATCGATTCTTTTACCTTGACGCCTCTGCGTTATGACGTTTTTCTTTTAATTTCTTCTTAAAGTGCTTATCGTGTCGGCGGTTATAATCGAAAAGGACGCAGTAGCCTATGACACAGAATATGAAATTCGTAACACACAAGAAAACTAAAATATATGTACAGCAATACCACAATGTTGTGCCAAGTGCCAATTTAGTTTTGTCCGGTTGACATGGCACCGTGAACGTCGTTGTCTGGGTACGAGAGAATCGTGGCGGTTAGGTTAGGTAGGTTAGGTTTTACACAAGTCAAAATACTATTGATATTGTAAATTATTTCTACAAAGGATTGGTAAAATTTGAACAATAAAACATTAACACTTTTTCGACACTCTTCGGAAACAACTTTGCCTCCGTTACGGTAAACGTTTTATTAATTTTTAAGACTTTATTTAATATTATTGTTTAAAAGTTAATAAACATGTTTTGTGTTTGTTTTAAACTCAATCTAGCTTTGGCCTGTACAAAAAATATATTAATACATTACAGTGCGTTTGCGCATTCCATATATACCTACTATCCCGACTGTGTGAACTTGCAATAGGAGGGGAGAACCAGTATGGGGAACCAAAAAAAGTACATATAATCATTAATGTCGAAGCGGCAAGCGCATAACAATTTAAAATAAAAAACTAATACTTAATATTTATTTATATTTTACAATAGTATCAAAACATTCTCTCTTTTTTAAAATTATTTTTAACTTTGAAAAAGTTTCATTTAGTAGTTGCTACTGTAAAAAGTATTGACAGTAATACAAAACGATGTTGCATTGTTTCATTGACTCGTGCCCGGATCTGTCGACCATATCTTGAATGAGCCGGATATGGCCGTAATAATATGTATCATAGGTACAGTTTCTGTTCGATTATAAGCCACTTGACACGAACAACCACTCAGAGAATGAAAACATTTAACAATAAGACGATCAATAAAAAAATATAAATTAAATATATTATCGATTGAATTGTCATAATGAAAAAATGACCTATATCGTTAGCCTATTTAACAATGGACGTAACAGGTAACTCCAGAATACCAAATTTCACTCTAAAAGGGAAAAAACATTAAATTTATTCTATATATTATTTCAATGACAATTGCTTACAATTTATCACATATTTCATAAAAAAAAAACACTGAAATATAATCATAATTATACCAGTCGTAGCACAGTTTTTTTCTCTTTAAAATAGTGTAATATACAGAAAATTGATTTGTTTGGACGTACGTCCTTTTGCTAAATAGGCTGACGATATGAAGACAAAACTGAAAACACTACTCCTTTCGGCCTAAGCTTAGCGATTTTCAGATTTTATAAGTACACAATATATTTTAGAAAAGAACTGGCCAAAACACAAATCTTCACGATAACTACCAAAAAAAGTACACTTAAATACACAAATAATGACTCAAGCAGTGGTACACTACACAATTTAAACATTAAAACTGTCCAAGTCTCGTCAAAATAGGTACTCGCAAAATAATAAATACACCGAGCTTTCGACGATGTACAGAATTCACCAGATGTAAGTGTTATGTAATATCTATATCTTGCTGTGAATGATCCATAAATTATACAAAATACTATGTGTTTCTTTGTATTAGTTTTATTATCTTTATGTGGGGTTTTACAGCACGAGCAAAGGGATGGTCGAAATAATTAAAAATCGTGGTCTACTGACCACTCAAAGGATTCAGAGAAGTTACTGTTCGTCAAAAAGACCACAAAGTTTGTTTAAACCACGAAACCCCAGCCTGTTTAATGTCAAATCAAAACCAGCAGCATCTTCACCTTTTAAGAGCAGGGGTGTGCCAAAGTTCGGCTTCAGTCCTGTATGTTCTGTAGATAAAGTTAAATTGTCATGCGAGAAGAAGACTACTTCGTCTCCAAAATCATGTTCTGAAGCAAAACCTAAACCGCCGTGCGATAAAGAGCCTCCCCCGGCAGAAAACACATCGTGCGAGAAAAAGGAGCCTCCTGTGACTAAAAAACCTTGTGGACCAGCCACAGAACAAACAAAGGCATTATCTTCCTCGGCAAAAAATTCATCGTGCGAGAAAAAGGAACCTCCTACGACTAAAAAACCTTGTTCACCAACCACAGAACAGACGAAGGCATCTTCTCCGATATCTAGCGAACAGAAACAACAATCTCAGACCAAAACTACTGGCTTGCCAAAAACTAAACCTCAAGCCACAATTTCCAGTGCGTTTAAGTCGCATAACGGTACAGAAATTTCAACTTCCTCGGATTCAAAAAAAACTTCCATCTTGTCGATACCATTTTTAAAACGGTTGCAGAGATCTGAACCAAAAAAAACTCCTCTGGCTACAGCCGCCCACACAAAACAAAGAATAACAGCGACGCCGCCAAAGTTGAAGAAACCAAATACATCAATTAAAAGAACTCCTAGCAATATAATTAATGATTTTAAACGAGATCCTCCAATTCAAAAAGGTTTCGTAATAATTCCAAAAAAAAATTCGCAACCATATAGTCCGCAAATTCCTAAGAGCACTACATCAACTAGCAAGAATCCACCCAAACGATCAAAAATAGACTCAAGCGTATACGTTAACAAATACATCCAACATTCGATTAAATCCAACGCCATCCAGCCATCGAAAGCAGTTACTAAGGTGAAACGTGTCGATCCGTTGATACGTCAAGGATTGATTGAGCGATCTAAGGATGGCAGTCCTATGAAGAAAATATCTTACACTGACCGGAAAGTACATGATATCGTTCAAATTGAAAGTGACAACAAGAGAAATTCCAAAAAGAAAGCTGTGGCTAATTTGAAAGTCAATAATGATAAAAAAGCAGGTTGTGGTAAGGAAGACGATACCGGTAAGAAAGCTGATGTTAACAATAAAGTCAATGATAGCCCAGACAATGTGATAGGCAAAGTATTAAAAAAAAAAAATTATCTCATACGACCTCATTTCAATGATAAAAATGTACAGCATCCTCCAACGGCAGATTCGCCGGATCCAAGGAAACCGCGAACACCACCAACGAGACCCAAGCCACCCAAGAAAACATTTAAATCGCAAAACGTTTATTCTAAAGATGAGGCTCAAAATCTTATAAAAAAAATCTACAACGAAAAAATTCGCGAAGAATTAGCTGACCAATTTCATTCGGACGATACATTTCTAAAAGACCAAAATTCAACTAAATCGCAACATCAAAATTCGGAATTCCTATGGTTGCGACCGTCGCAAGATCAACCCAAAAAGACATTCATATCCCACCATGCAATTTTCGAAGAAGCGATAAAAAATGAGGTGAGAAAATCAACTATATAGGTAGTAATACATAGTTTATAAGTAGTAAAAATGGTAACATGTTTTGTTTATTATTTTGTAATCGACGGCCACGAGTTTTATGAGCTGGCTTGACAACTCTTGTGATGGCCATTTTTTGTATTACCTAAAACGAGTTTGGGAAATTTTTTTTTTGATGTAGCCAATATAATAATACTAAATAGATGTTTCAATAACTTTACCTCTTGGTTCACTAAATCATCGGCATTTAATGACCTAATTAGGTAGATAGTATAATAACTATAGGGCAACCTTAATAGGTCATGTAATGTTAGTAACAATTTCCAACAATTTTTAATACTCTAACAATCTAAAAAAATCGAATTTTCTTATGTACACAAAAGAACGTTAGAACTTTTCTGTTTTTAAGTTGTAGATGATTTCGAAAACAAATGAACGTACTAGACTAATGTTGAGACTAGATTAGCATTTACCGAACTATTTAAAAACAAATAGACCTATTTTGGGTTTTGTCAACCAATGTGTAATAAATTTCTTTAAAAAGATAATGGGCTCTAATTAACAAGTTGACGTTGGTGCTTAATTTTTGTATAATATTTTGTCTTTCGTATGATTTAGCAAATGAATAACAGTGTTGGCGAAAATCTTACGTTAGACGAATCACTGCAGCGACTGAAAAGAAGAAACGACATATTGCAGATTATTGCAGATAATCTGCCGCAGATAATAAACAAAATTTCATCAGACGAGATCAAAATTCGGTTACATATAATCCAAGAAGACGAGTCGCCGCCTTCAACCAGTACCTCAACCAGTAGCCACAATAGTCGTGGTAGTTTAACTAGCAAATTGGATCCTAAGAGTCCGTCGGGATCTAGAGGCAAGCATACATATACAAAGCTCATTTCAGATATCAACAATCAAACAAAGTCAACACAAATAACACCTAATAGAGAAAACGAGGTCCAGGCGGAAACGAAAGTTAAACCCTTGGAACAATTGCAGGCGGCAATAGCCTATTCCCTGCAAATGATTAAAGTTGCCCTGTTTAATAAAGACCACTGACACTATATTATGATTTGCTGCACAGCCGTTTTTATTTGATTTCGTAGAGGTCTCAATGTAGATATTACTATTTTGAAAATGTGCAATATAAATAAATTTACATGTTACACAAAAAAATTAATTAAATAAAGCTGAACGAAAAAATAGTTGAAAACCATTAAATTCGATTTTCACCTATTTTTTTTAATAACATTTTCAACAATAATTATTATCTTAATGAAATGTTATTCAAATTTCCAAAAAAATGTCGACACTATCTAAACTAGCGGGTTCGCATTTTTTCCTAAAATTTTACTAGTATATATGCTCGGTTGTCTAGATAAACTGATTAAAATTTAGTATTATATATATATTATTGGATAATTAGGTGATTGGGTTGTATTTGATGGGAATTTTTTTCTCATTTTTCAGATATTTGAAGTTTTCACAGTATATGTAGTTGACTGAACGGGGGTGGACTGGGAGACCGGGAAATTTCCCGATGGGCCAGCCAAAATAGTGCTAATTTTGGGCCGGAGACGGTAGCTTAAGGAGGGCGTGGAGCAAAGGGGCTGTTGGTCGAGGGTTGGTCTCGAATTTCCTTGTATAAGTATAATAATCGATAACGCTATATTTATCGCGGCTTGATGTTCCGTCACCCGGTCGTAGCCCGTCCGCTACTGTATTTTTATTTTATTAATAATATTTTCACGTTTGTATTAATCACGGATTAAGATACTTTTATCTTAGCTTGTGTTTTTAAGGAAAGCTAGCGTTGACTATACGTTTATCTTCTATCACCAATAAACAATATAACATAGATCATAAATGTAATTATCAATTCCAGTAGAACTACACAATACGTGCTTTGTGTTCGATTTTAAAAAAATTAATTCTCAACCATTTATACAAGGGATTTTCTTATTTATACAGCTCATTCTAGTGTGATATTGCCTAAATTTTTTTATGACTCTTTAATAGGTAGATGCTGAGTTTAAGGCGCCTTACAATATAAAGAGCATACTGTTTTTTAATGTGTTAGACAATAAAAAGCAGTGTTGTGAAATATTTCCATATTGAAATACTTATTTAAAAAACTAAATAATAACTATAGCACACCAAGGGTATAAAAAACATGTATACATCTACCAGTGGTCTTTATGAAATAAAGCAGCGCTATGGGCCGGTCTTATGAATGCAGTCCGTGACTGAATTCTACTTGTGTTAAAAATGTCAGCTTTCTTACTCAATAATTATAAAAGCTACAACAATTTTTAGTGTTATCAGTCCAACATACCTTTTAATAAACTTTTAGACTTTTACACGTTTTTTTTTCTACTATAATTAGAATTTGTTTTTGAGGAAGTTATACATGTCAATGATTTGGCAGCGTTTTTTTATATGTGGTGCTTCGTATGTGGTAACATTGTATTTTTAAGAGTGATTGCGTGAAGAGGTGGGTTATACGAATAAATCCAAAACATGTAAAGTGATGATTTTTATTGAAAAATCACAGCTGTGTATATATGGTAAGGGATAAATTGTTGAAAATTCCCAACCATTTAATATAACTCTTTGGTCTCAGCTTTCTTAACATTTTTCTTCTGCCCGATGGTTTCATTGGCTCGTTATTCGTGTTTTAGGACATCACGTCGTTGTTGCGACGTGATGTCCTAAAACACGCAGCACATCCCGCGACGAAGCTAAGTGTCTTGCAGTTCTTCCCATATTGGCCTTGCTCCGATATTATTTTTTTTTACTCTCCGTGATCTCTTTGCCCTCGCGTAGTGCTGGATAAATCAAAGTGGCTCGATCCGAGGTGGTAGTATGCACTGAAATGTAACATTGCAATTCAAACGTCTGTTTCTTATCTGGGCCTAAACGCAGGGACACTAACATTTACAATGATACTTTCAACGGGTGTCCCGATTCGAAGTACTGCATGGCCACATCGCCATAACTGTTGACAATGAAATGCATGAACACGTAGTGTCTGTCCGCCTGAAACATCACCTTGAACACACACACGCAAGCCGCCGCCTTGAGTAGTTTCTTGGTGCAATACGAATCTTTCAACGAGGCAATTGTAGGCGGCACCCGCGGTATGGCCCGGTCCTGTCTGTTGCACACTTTATTGCACATATTTATTCCTTTTCTAGTGAACCGTATACAGTCTACGAACGATCCCCTGGTGCGTATGCAAGCCTCGCACACGGTTTTTGCGATGGGCGCACTGAACTCTTTACCTGGACACAAGTAAAATGATCGATTATACCGACAGAGAGTGATGGCCAATTACAAAAGATGATCCACTCGGAGTCATCGTCAAAACAAGTTTCGGATAGTCTGATAACATAAATTTGGTTCGATTCCATTAGGGCATAACCTTACTTGTTGGTTCTATTTGTTTTGCTTCGTAGTTGTACCAGCAGTGTCGGTAAATTTGTATTAATGTTGAAATAGATAGTTGATCGTTATATTAATAAATTTTGTATGCAAGGAACATTGATTCGTATATCTTACTCATTTAAATTAATAATAAAATTATTATAGAAATAAATTATGCAAGCAAATGGTTTGTTTACAACAGTAAATTAACTTAATAGGTACTAATAGATATAATAAAACATTGGCTAATATTCAGTGCCCAGTGACACAACTATGTGATACAAACCTTCAAAAACTATTGAAATTAATTTCCTTTACAATATTTTTGTTGAGTTAAATTATTCAAATTTAATATGCTTTTGTTTTTATTGCCTTACATGTTCTAAAAACATATAGTTGTTCACTGCATCCTTTGCCGATTATGTATATTTCCCGCCTCTGTTATTTAGGAATAAATGTAGGTACTTTGGAAAAGCGTAGAAAATTTGTATTAAATTTAAAAAAAGTTTACTCTTTTAGTTCACCTTGTAAATTATAAAGAATAGAGATATTTTTTAAAATTAAAAATAAATGCTATATAATGCCTGTAGTTTTCAAAATCCTTGACAAAGCAATAATACTAATATATTATAACTTAAAACTTTGATATAAATGGTTATTCTAAAAAATAATGTCTAGCCGTCCACAGTCTATATGTATACTTTAAACTTGGGTTACATTTTTAAAAATATAGATTGAATATTTCGCACAAAAAAAAATGGTCACTTACTTTATTTTTTTAAATGTGTAAACCAGGTGTTCCCCTCTTAAATGTGTTATCCGACTTATTTGTTAATAATTTGATTGGTAGGAAACTAATTAAATTAAATTTAAATCAGTTATTGATTAATAAATACACACTTGTGTACCATTTATTTCGTAGTAAAAATATGTATTCTTTTATGTTTTTTTCTGGTTATTCAACTCATTTTTAATATGAGTATTTATTATACTACTATAGATTACATAACAAATTTACTTATTGTTTTGTTTTTGTGCGTGGATAGTAAACCTAGTACGGCAGAAGTTCTTGGCCTTTTTTAGAATAGCATATTTATACCTATTCAAAAAACCTGCCCACTACATGGTTAAGCAGCTCAATATTCCTCATTTTCAATACATATTATCTATATATTTCCACTCAACATGTCTTAATGAAAAATAGTTACTAACCCCAAACACGTTCGGCAGCTTTAAATTTCAGATCGCAACAACTATTTTTTTCCTGACTCTGTAATAATTCTGAGGTTTCGTTATTAGCTGGGCATCTATTTTTCGTATTTTTTCCGCCTATTGGTGTGTTAAAATTTCGTTCAAAGTTATCATCTGCTGCAATAATAAAAGTCGGCTTAACACCATTTATAGGTATATTTGGACTAGGGTGAATTATTAATAATTGCATAAACGGTGTACAATTGAGTGGTGACTTACCGCGGTTAAAGTACTGCTGTAACTCTTGTGATGTGTTGTCTGTGCACTGGGTGAAATTTTTTGTAGAACAAACGGCTTGTAAACAAAATATTATCGACATAATGTACATAAACATGTCGACTGTTCCGAGCGGTCAGTTTTATATTCAAATCAAATTTTAGTAGTTATGTATTATGTTCATAATATGATGATAATATTGTTGTTTTTAAAAAAAAAATTTCCACCAAAGAAACCATGGAGATTGGAAAACAGAGATCAACAGACAATGAATCAATTTGAATTTTGTGTAGGTATACCATTTTTTACAATATATATACATAGATATTGAATGCACTTAAATGTTAACCTACTTTATAGGCCGCGCATATGACTGGTTATTTATAACTAAAATACCTATAGGCAATATTTGACAAAAATCATTTTTAGGGAATCTCGATTTTGACAAGATATTTTAAGATTAACTTGTTGTAGCTTTAGTGTATAATTTTAAATGTACCTATAAAATGTTTTATAAAAGTTACGGTTATATTATGGTAAGTCAAGATTACAAAAATTTATTACGTCTTAAAGCCCATATATCGAGCCAATATATCGAGAACAAAGTTACGCCTTATGCAGTAATTAGATTTTGATAAATATATTTTTTTTATTGATGATTTTTTCTTGAGGTTCTTCAACTGTAATTATGGTAATTATCAAAAACAAATAGAAATTTAACGTTAAAAAAATACAAACATTTATACTATGTTTACACATTTATTACACATTTATAACATTTATAATATGTAAGGTTTATAGTAAAACTATTATTTTTTAATTAAGAATTTGATTTTTTTTTTTTCACATAAATTAACAGCATATTGTTTTAAAATTTTCTTTGTACATACATTTTTAAATTAGAGGCAGTTTTGTTAATCAAATATAATATATTTTATAGTATCAAAAAAAGATCAGTTTAATTATAATAATGACTTCTAGACGATAAAATGATATTTTAATTTTTGATACACAGTCAAGACCACCAGGCACGATTATAAATTCCTTAAGTTCTTTCTAATCGTATCTAGCTGAAGAATCTAGATAAAGATCTTATACGACTATGATAATACGAATTACTTTGGAGGTAAAATAAATGATCAACAATGATATTTGTCCATGACACGGTTAGGTCACTTTTAGCTGCAGGTATGTTAACAGCTTGCGACAGCTGCCGCGAAATGGCCGTCGCTTTTCGGGCTGCCGTGTATTTCTTACGAGAGAAATGCGACTGCCATATTGTAAAAATTATTAACACACGTTCCCGACATACCTTATGGTTTGCCATGGATAAAAAATTAATTGTTATCTATACTCTATGCGCTGCCGGTTCCGTCGTGTAAAAGTGATAAGAGAGCGGACGACAGAAATATCACTTATGTCAGACTATATAAATTATAGTATTATTATTTGCGTTTTTTTTCATTAGTTAAGCGAGTAGAAGTATATAATATAATTAATAAAATGTTACCTCGAATACAAAATAAAAATACATGAAAACGAATGTTGGTAGGCGACCTGTGCAATAACAGTAGAACGTGCCCACCTCAAGGCGGACATACTTCTTTGACATAACCTAATGCTGTAACGTGGATATATATGAAAGTGCGTTATAAACGGTTTAAAAACAAACACGACGTCAAAGACGATGATGCTGTTGACGGTGACAACATGTAGAACGTCAGAGTTGTGGACGAGAACATAGCCACAATCAGGATAGTACGTCGGTAGCTACTATTCAAGCGTCAAAGAACATACCTTACTTGCCGTTAGTAGTAATACCAAAGCCTCTGTTGTACCCTAGTCTCTCTAGAATTTTCAAGGTATACTATTTTATTGGGTTGGTGTTAACAATAATATTGTCCACTCAATTATTCGTTTCCATTTCCAAATAGATATTTCAAAACTGATAGCGTTGATTAAAAGAAAAAACGCTTTAAATCAACCAAATTCATCACTCTGGAAAAACACAGTGTACATATTCAAAAAAAAGACCTATTTTGTATTTTTATTGTCACTCAACATAAGTGTTAATAATATTTTTATTTTCAGGACTTACGCAAATGTGGTAGATAACACTGAAGTGTACGACGTTGGGATTTTGAGATGAAATAATGAAACCCGAGAATTCGGCGATAAATTACACATTGATTGGATTAAATTGACTAAACCTTATTTTGAAGATCCAGTTATTTATAAAAGTTATTAAAAATTTGTTATTATTAATTGTTTAATGACACAAAAGTTAATTGATGAAGTTGATAAACTTGGAAGGTATTATAATATTGACTAAGGTCTAGGATATAAAATTGACTGTATAATCGACTAACAATAAACTAGCTTGTAACTTTAATATTCTAAAGATTTAAATAAAGAATATTGTCCTCCGCTACCAGATGCAACTATTGTCAAAATGAAGTTGTAACCTACTTATGCAATCTGGTTAGCCTTAGTTTTTTATTTGATTAAGCCAAATCAATAATCTTTGGAACCAAGTCGAATTTATTTAAAATTTTGTATAGAACAATTTTTAGACATCATATCAATATAATATGTTGACAAACCAATTTTATTATGTTGTTAATTACAATACATGGGAAACAATGACAATAGAATATTGTACACAAACAATCAAACCTTATCATATCATATCAGCTCCCTAGTACTCAAAATATAATTTATATACTGCTAAAAAATATGAAGAAAATAAGGAAAATTAAACAAAAAAGTTTTTGACAAAAATTTAAATTTTTGGCTAAAAAAGTATTTTAAGAGAAAATTACTATTATTTGTTAGTGAAAAAGTAATAATTACATTTTTTTTAATCAATAGACAATTCTGCATTTTCTTCTTCTTCCTAATCCTTTGTACAAATGTGGTCATACAGCCAAGTCTGCTGTCTATACAAATCATCATCATTTGTCATAATACAGCAAATATATAATAGGAAATTCCCTCACACAGTCACACCACCATCAACTTTTTTTTTACTGATAATATAAAGTATCTATTATAAAATATGCTATAAACATTGTTTTATAATTTGTCAATTATAAATGACGTCAAGGTGACTTTTTCAAGATAGTCAAAAATAAAACAACAAAATTAAAACTGGTAACGACAAGAATAATGTTTATTAACAATATATATATTATTATAACTATTAACTTATATATATATATATATATATATATATTATAACTGTAACTAACACACATATATTTTTTGAGTAAAATAATAATATAACTAAATTAATATATATTTATTATATATGCAATAGATCAATCTAAAACATTTAGTTATTTTTTAGATATGCCCTTAAAATACATAAAATTATATCAATTAAGATGCTTAATAAACTGAAAATGTTATAACTTCTATTTAAACAAGAACTCACATCATTAACCTAAAAATTTACAACTTATAGTTAATACTAAATTTACACTTTCTAATTTACCTTATAATAGGACTAAACTAATATATTTTATCATAGATCTCTTTTATTCTTCTATATTACATTTATTTGTGTTTTAATTATACAGTATAATACTATATTATGTCTCCATAATTTTTTCTAAATTAACAATACAATTACAATTTAGTTCTAAACCTAAGTACTAGTATTGAGTAAGTCAATAAGTATCGCATCGAGATGTAAAATACATTTTTTTTTTTTTTTTATTTAGTTACCGAGAACAATTTCTTTTTTTTACGGAATCATGAATTTCCTGTGATCATAATGAAGTTGTTGACAAGCAGGTTGAACTGTAATGGAATTCTGTAAACAACAATCAAATATTAAGTTTTCAAATAAATATATAATTTTTAAACAGTAAGATTTGCATAATAAGTGTACTCTTATACTACCCAAGTTGTAAAAAAATGTTTTATAAACGTATGTAAACCGTCACAATGCATCTACTGTAACACATAATGCAAATAAAATATTTAGAAACATCATTAAAATACTGTATGTATTTTGTCAATTAATAAATAATAGCATTTCTAAAATATAAATAAACATTTCATTATCAACACTTTCAACCCATACTTATTAAATAAATGTTACCTAAACATTTAAAATACTTTTTTTCTAAAAACATTATTTTTCATACATTCAATATTCAACATACATTTAGTCTTATTATGTTAGTGATTATCCCCACACAGCAATAATATTTTAATAATATTAGCCATTTTTGTTGAAATGTTTGTACAGAAAATTTGGGAACGATATCAAACATTGTGTCCACATTAATATTTCAACAACAATTCCTAAATCCTGAAATTTGATGACTGTATAAATCAGTTCACAGAAAAATTTAATGCTTTCATAATGTTATCAGAAAGTTTTTTAACATTTTAAAAATATTTTTTAATAACTTTTTGGGACAGAAATTTAATATTCTACAGATATTTTTTTTATGCTATCAAAACATGTTATTAACAGTTGTAAATTTCTAGCTTAAAAATTATTATTACGTATGTTTTAAATATTGAAAAACTTTCTGAATATATTTTATTTTTCTGCTAGCTGTGTGCAACAAATTTTGAATATCTACAGGGTAATGTGCATAAAATAACAGCGGTGTGACCAAACATTTTTACTTTTTAGGGCTTAAAACACAAGTAGGAATTAGGTACTACGATGGTTTGAGTTTGCTTGCAATATTAATTACCCTAGCGTTATTATTATTGTTATGGGTCAATAAGACAATAATGGAAATAATTTTCTTTGTAATTTGTACAATTATTGAACAATTACAGAGAAAATATGAAACTTAATATTATAGCTGTTTTTTTCTGCACGGGCCTGTCTTAAATCCATTATATTGTAATGTTTTGGAGGTACGTACAACCAACTCACTTTCAAAACAGCGACTACCATACAATAGCACATCTATTGAATTGTCCAATGAATAAAAATACAATAATAATTAGAACAAGCTATACAAACTGCAAACTCGTTAAGCTAATAAAACTGATAAATTCAAAAAAGCAAACGTGGTAATAACTAGAATTTGATACCATGAAAAGGATGTTTTCGAAAAAGGGACTCCAATCATCTTTTGACATTTACCGTTTTCGTAATGCCTTAGGAAAAAATCATCCTGTATGTATAATAAAAAAATTTAATGAAGTAGGCATTTCTTATCCAATTTCATAAATTGTTATAGAAACTTACGATTAATGATTCCAAACAAAGCCAGCAAAAAACATGCTGACAAAATCCGCACAAGATTTGAGCACAGCCCCCATTTCTTTCAATTGCAATACTACACAAGGGACAATGTTTGACAAATTCTGGATCGTACATTGGCCGTAGCTGTGAGTCTGGTGGAAGACACGGCCAACCAGGATGCCACGTTGTTAGACAGGCCGCACAAAACTTAGCCTTACACTTAGGACATTGAACACGTTGTGGTTTATTACAATCATTGACGTTACATATAGTCTCACAACCAGGTCTCGGACAAAACATCCGATTAATGTCCAATACAACCTCTGCAAAAAATTAAAACAATTGACTGTAATAACTAAACAGTTGTCATTCCCAAAAGCATAGAAAATACTAGTATTTTACCTCTAGTAAGTCTAAATCGGTGATGTTTTTTGATATCATCAGAGTTGGCCAAAGCTTCAATCTCCATCATCTGCATTATTCCTTTATATGAACATTGATCATCTGGGCATGATATATTATACGCACCTTGGTTGATTTGATGCTTCACGTACATTTTTGTACACTATAAATATAAATAAAATATTGTGTTTGTATTTTTATGGTTAATTTAAAAAAAAAACAACAAATCAAAACTGTATTCTACTTACACGTATACAATGAAAGCAACCACATTGTTCAATCGTCCATATTTCATGTACGGAGACATCATTGAGACATATTTTACATAATACTGTATCTTTACTTCGAGACATTGAACCACACAATGATGAGCTCGTTGAGTAGCTTGTTGCAAACGCTAATTGGCTTAAACGCTGTAAACCTTTCCCAACAAATCGGTACAGTCTATGAGGTTTTTTTCTCATAGGTAGATTGAGAACTTCATTTGATAATGTAACCATGGACTTATATTTTCGAATAGGTTTACCGTCATGTAAATTATCCAAGTCAAAACAACTTTCTGCTAAATTTGGCAGACCCAGTGATAACTTTGAAGATGACTTTTTAGAATTAGAGTTTCCAATAGGTTTAAAATGTTGCCTAAAACGTCGATCTAAGTTTGACAAACTCATAGTTTTTCTTGGATGCCTCTTTATAAAGTCGATTTGTTCAATTGGTATAAAACGACGCCTGTCGGAATTATCTGTTTTACACTCTAACTCAACCTCAGCTGTTTTCTTTGTAGAAGACTTTCCGTGGACTAATTGAACCAACGACTGTAAACTAGGTTTTACCGAATTTACTTTTTTTTTCCCCCATTTACATAATTTTCTTGCGTTATCTTTGTAAGACAATTTGTTCTTTGGCTGTCCATTATCCTGACCCACGCTGCTGATTGTGGACGAGCCAGTTGCACTTGTAGACGGTTTCATCACCATTTCATATCTATCTGTAACAACAGCAACATTGCCTTGGGATTTTAACTGACCTGACGGCTTGCGTCCGGAGCCCGATCCGCTACTGCCGTCATTGGCAATATTTCGTGAAGAATGCATTTGTCCAACGGATTTTTTAATTTTTAGATTCAGCTGCGAACGATAATTATAATTATCGGTCCGGTTTAAGTGATATTTTTTAAACTTTAAATGAACATGAAAAAACACTAAAAAATAAAACAAAACACTTAGTAGAGAACAATTTGTCTTACCAAACAATACACAAGTACTTTTTATTATTCACTCATTGTGCAAACTTCTGACACTTGTACACTCGACTCGAGTACTCATTACCCAACAGTTGAGTACAGACTACGGAAGCTGTGCCCTCAGCTCCTTCGTCTTCATCGCACATGTCCGGGAGACCCAATAGTCCGAGATTGATCGATAAGCATCCCCGGATAAGTGGCCAGGGCAAAGTGCAAACGGTCACCGTCATGCGCACGCGCACCACATGTCAGGACGTAGGGCACAGGTTGTCAAACATCGACACTAGTGACTACCTATAAATTATTCACTACCGCGTCGAGTACACTATGTAAATTGTATAACTTATTTCGTTTCTTTGTTGGGTTTTTCTTAATATAAACAAAAGTTTTGACTATAGAGTTTTGAGAAAATTTGTACATGTTATACGCCCTAATCTAAATCTACCATCAGTATAGTTTTCAGACCGTAATCCTAAAATTCAATAAGCGTACTTACCTAATAAAAAATGAGTTTCCACCCCATTTAAGAAACAAGCCAAAAGTAAAAAATTAATGATATTTGTTTGGGATATCACTGTATATCGGCAGTAGTTAGTACTGGGTATAACCAAAAAAATCCATAACAGTTTGAAACTATTTTTTTTCGACTATTTATCAAAAAGTTATAGTGTTCCGTATTATTAAGTTGAAAACTGTGTAAATTTTTATATTTGTGGGTACTATGATAATTTCTCACTTTACCTATACTAGTTAGACTGATGAATTCTGATGAAATCACATTAATATTTAAATTGTAATAATTGCTTTGACTCAACTTTATTAACTTTTTCTGTACTGTACTGTGCTGGTCTACACTGTACTGTTTTATTTTAATTTGGTATACCTATCTACTTATTTGTGTTTATATAATAGGCTATATACTAAAACTAAATCTTAAGTTTAACTTAACCAAATTTATTTCTGTAGACTATAGTTTTCAATGTGTTATTTTGCAACCTTTAAAATTATGCTATCAAACAAGTCAGTCGACCTGTAATCCAAGTTGAAAAGCAGAACGAGCGAATCTACTACAACGATTTTTTCTTACTATTTATTATTATTATATTATACTCTGCACAACTATATGGGGAAACCGTAAACAACGTTTGTTTTGGCAGGGGGAATAAAACTGCGGATATTTCTATAAATTAAACTTATAACTGTAAATTGAGACATGAAAAAATATTCTGCGTTCATCCCATCAGAAGTTTTAAGTGCACAAAAGTAGTAAATTTGACGTATTTAAATTAAAAAAAAAATCGTTTTCTCCTTTAACTGAGGTAGAGAGAAAATACAAAGCTACCAAGTCGAATACTCGAATGTGATGAAATTTTTGGGGTACAACTTTCTTTTGCCAGTCACTAGGAAACGCCAATTTATTTACTCGAAAAACTCAAATTTGACCCTAACTCCCACAAAAATAGCACCAAAAGGTGAAAATAGGGTTTTAAGATACAATATACTTATCAAAAAAAAAAGCCAAACTAAAAAAAACAAAAACCTGTCCCCAAAATGCAGTGATATCAACATTTACCAAGCTTTTAATCAACTTTGTTCCCCTTCTCCCTATACTTCCTCATCCTATTTATCTTATTTCAACCTTTTACCATTGTACCTGTTTTGCCACGAAATTGTGGCTGTTTTTGAGATTTGACCCTCCAATAAAGGATAAAAAATGTAGAGAAAATGATAATAATGGCATAATTTTTGAAGAATAAGTACATAATAATAATAAAACAATTGAATGGTAAATACAATTGATTCTAGTTATTTAAGAATATAATAGAATTAGAGTTTTGTTCATGTTTTTTAGAAAATCTTTTTCATTTGTTGAAAGTCCGTCACCAATATGAATTTGAACATGGGGGTTTTCATGTTTTTGGCCTAAAAATATCATAGACCAATTAAAATACAGGTTCTATGTAGTTATGTTAAGGTTAGACAAATATTTAAAAAAGTTATTATGCTATCAAGTTATCAGCTCATCAATCAAGCGATTGGTGAACTGATAAAAATAAATTAATTACCAACAACAAATACTCATTGTTGTACAAATATAAACCTTTAATTTTAGCTTAATCTAAAAGAATATTTCATCCAAGTGTGCGCATTGCAGTAGTCCACTGCAGTAGTTCACTGCAGTGTATTATTTATTTATAACCGCAAAACTCTCCGTGTAAAATTGTGTGCAATTGACGTTGAGTTGTTAAATAATTGAATTCACGTTTGCGTCAGACTGTGAGTTATGTATTTATAATTTAAGGAGAAAATCAACCATTTTATTTCTGTTCAACTTTAACGAACAAAATCGAAACTAGGTCAAGTTGTTCGGTATTGCAGAAACGTTTTCATCAACAGTGGAGCTGGGAACATAATAAAACCCTCTCGAGTACATTTGCAGATTTGCTTAAAAAATTTAAAGGAAACAGAATTATTGAACTTTTTCTAATGTTTTAATTGATATGTGTTATATTTTAAGTTTTTGTCTAGAAATCAAAATAGTTTACCGGAATTTAGAAATAGTAAACTCACAGTGTGATAATATTATTCCCCTTCTCATACAAAACAGGAAAGTTGTAATGTTTATTGTATATAATCAATGTATTTTCTTAATTATACATCACTGGTATACATTTTAAATATTTTCTTTTTGATTAAGCACTCTAATCATGATATCTAATATTTTAATTTTATTATTTACTTTTTTTCTTTTATTTGTATTCCAAAAATGTATGAATGAACTTAAATTTTTGGCTGGTAGTGCTTAATAAATATAGGGTATCAATAAATATAAATATAGAGTATCAATAAATATAAATACAAAGTGATCAATTTAACGTAAGATACTCATTTTCTCATAAAATTATAGCGATGTTGTAGTTTTTCTTTTTAGAGACAATTTAATTTATATATTATTTAAATTTTTTCTTCTTTTTTTTTGTAAAGCTTTATTAACTTTTATAACTTAAATGTTAACGTATGTATTCAATTAACTTTTTTAATTAATAATATTTTGCTGAAAATGTTGACAGGTAGATAACCAGTTTTCAATTATTAATTTTAAAATTACTAAGTTTAAAATTGAGAACAGAAGGATAGAGTAATGCACACAGATAAAAATAATACTACACTCTAGCCTTTATCCTGTTCTAAATTTTAAACTTTTAGAACTTTAAAAATACTTATTCAAAAATGGTTATCGATCAGTCGAAATTTCCATCCAATTATTATTTAAAAAGTTAATAATAAATATATACGGTACCATTTAAGTTTCAAAATTTGTTAAAGCTTTGGAAAATATCAAAAAAGGTAAATATTTAGTAATTTTATAATATTAAAAATTTAATTTTAACAAAAATGTATTCTTTTTCTAGAGAATAGAGCCAAGTCTTTATTTATATATTAATTTATTTTGTGTATCATTAATAATATTGATTGCTATTAAAAGATCTACCTATATCTTTACTTAAAAATGCAGTATTTATTAGTGTTAAAATGTTTAACAGTTTTTGAAACCGAATGGCTGGTAAAAATCAATCGTTTTGAAAGTAATTAAGTAAGCATGCAGCTATATATCCCCGGCCACCCTCTGTAAGTACGTTACTGCGAATACTGCTCCTAAAGCGCAGTAATGCGATGTCCATACAGGTAGTCATTGAAACCCTTGTTTAGAGCCACCTGTTGCAGAGTACCAATTTTTTTTTGTGTATTCTCGTAATAAATATCATTATGATAACCATAATGATCGTATAATAATGATAGCAAACCTATAATTTTATACTACTACGTATAAATGTAACAAAAAAATATTAAAATGTTGGCCACAGATTTGGATAAAAAAACATGCAACCACCAACACTTTTCGGAAATGAAAAAATTATATTTTAATGTGTACGTAATCATTTTTGTTTGAATTATTTTGACCATCACTTGGTTTTTTCTGGCTCAATTATCATAATCATTATTATGTAATACAAAATATCACAAAATAAACATTTTTTAATTTAAAAATTAACATTTTTTTTTTTTTACTATGGTCTGAGTGACTTATTAAACTTCATTACGGACGTCAAAACTAAGAACGGTGCTTTTTAAACATTCATGGCGTCAGGCGTGTAGTAGCGGGACCAAGTGAAGTGTCAACTAAGATTTGAGTTTAGAAGCATAAATAGATACTTTATCGCGGTCGTCTATTTTATATAAAAAGTCGATTTTCTGTAATATTTTATTGTACAATCTACCTGGTTTTAAGATTTTAAGGGGCGGGTCTATAAATTAAGTGTTCTCGTAAGCAGAGTTTCTGTTCCCTTAATTTTTTTGTTTTTTTTTTTTCATTCAAGTAGCTAGGTACAATTCAAGTTCATTAGCAACCATCATTATCTTTCTCTCAAGTTCTCGTGCATACATTTAGCCAAATCTGTTCAGCGTTCCAGCCAAGTATCAATACGTATCTGACGTTATTTATAATTTTAGGGTTGAGTTTTAACACGGACAACCGCCCTCATTGGTTCCGCAGGTTTAAAAAAATATTGTTTACTAATTAATGTTGTTGAAAACTGTTTTTTTTCTGTGTAATTTTAAAATTTGTCGTTTTTTAATTGATTATCAGAATATAGCCGTGAGAAAATAATTTAAGCGTTACAATTTTATAATATAATATTTTATATTTAATATTTAGCTGTAGAACAATAATGTTAATCCAGCAATATGTACATGTGTCCTACATCGTTTTAATGTAGCATAAGCAAAATTACATCAATTGTGTTTACTCTTAAAGGCAAACGAAAAGAATATCGCGGGTGGTTACTTCCTCGACCGTTTTTAAAAGGGAATTAATGTACTTCGTAATTTGTATTGTTATTTAAAGTACGTCCCACGATCACGTTGTCTTATATATTTCTGTGTACATTACAATAATTGTTTTTGAAGACTTAACACTTTTTTAATTTTTAAGCGTTACCTTTTACCTTATTCATTAAACGTCTTTTCGGTGCATTTCTAAATAGAGCCACTGGGGCAACTATAAACGATCATTTACTGGATACAGTCCTTAATCAGCGTGTCTTACGTTCGCTAATAAGGGTGAACCGATACTTGACGTAGGCCCTAGGAGTTTTATTGTGTGTTTATTGTGCTTATTGGGAAATAATCGACTTTGGGGTCTACAATCACAGCATATTCTGCGCTACAATAGTAAAAAACCGTCACCACAACAATAATTATCATGTAACGCACCCGATACCTATTTTTGATAACAAATAACGGTGGCGCGCGTTTAAAATAATAATAATAATAATAGTAATAATAATGATAACATGCGCTCGTATTTATTATCAATACGGCACACGATCAACAGCTGCTGCGGTCTGTAGGCTGGTTAAAACCGCTTTGAAACAAAATATTATACATTATACAATGTAAAAGTATATATAAAGTATATATATTATACTATCCGTCATTTCGAAAACCTCAAACTTGACATGCGCCGATATCACGGTGATCATATTATCATCATCATTCGGCGTTGCCTAGCAAACTGCAGACGTGAAACGACCAATGGCGTCTGCGGGTAGCATCCCTTATTGACTTTTATGTTTTTTTTTTTAATTTTAGTATGCCGTCTGAAGTTTGAACTGGATCAATAATCCGTGTTCTGGTAGGTACATTTCATGTTGCTCAGTAGTGCGTCTCCAATGTTGCCTGTTGAACTCGGTCGATACGCAAAAATGGTCGCCGATTGTGATAATGGTGAAATCTGACTGAAAACGGTTATTTGACTTTCGCTTGTAGAGCTTTTTTTGTTTTTCCAACCGCATTGTCGTACGCATCGTTTAAAATCGTCATCGAAGTACACGTAAAAAATAACCAACTACGTGTGACAGTATTATTGTTTGTTTTCATTCGCGTTTCGCTCGTCCAAGCTAATATTAGACATCACGTTTCGTTCAACAATCGATTGCTTTGCATAATCAGGTACTGTGTTATTATTTATATTTATTACATATTGTATACATATGTGCTACATATTTATTACATATTGTAAATAATTTGAAAAATTAATCATAAGAAGGTGATTTAAGCACAATATACTTTAATGATGTTATAGCGAATATTAGAAAGAGAATTGCCGTTTATTTTAAGTCGACGCAGAATTTATTATCAATAATAAAATAATATAAAATACTTACGTTTAGCAGCTAATTCGATAGTACAACATTTAAATATTGAATCTTAGTAAATTTGAGTAGCAGTATTTGAATAGCAGTTGTGTTGTACGTTAGGTAAGCTGTGCTCACATAAATTATTATAATTTTTTTTTTTTTAGATAATTACTGAAGAGACATATTTTAAAATGGAACAATACATCAATTACCCTCCGGGATGTCGTCCAGTGACCAGTGATCTTGGATCCGATGAACTTATTCGACGTCTTAAAGTATGATTCTATTTATATATTCGTTTGTAGGATTATCTATGTGTTTAATCTAACAAGGCATATATTTATTTTACTGGACACCCTTTTTTAATTATTAAATTTTTTCGTAGGGAGTCGATTTACATATAATTTTATTAGTTTACATTTTTTCACAGTATTCATTTTAAAAGAGATTTTTTTGCAAAGTTTTCCCTGTTCTAACAAACTAACTAATTGAGCGTAGGCGTGTAAAATGGTTATTGGCCTGCCCGTCTTGGTCGGTTTTTTTTCACTACAAAAATTAGTATAATATTATAATTTTGGAAATTTATACTTAACGAATTGGAAATAAAGTGTTATTTTTAATTGTGAATTGTGTGCCTGAATACATCTGCATGGTGCCGCAGCTTCTGACTTCCACACTCGTCGCCTACTGTAATATATGCCGAAAAGTTCTAAATTCAAGTAGCTATTATCTTTGAGTTAGAGGAGTCCGCCAACTTTAGACCTCAGATTCGTAATCGGTGTAAAAAAACACAAGATTCCAATAAATTCTCAAAAAAAAAAAAAAAAGCCTCAAAACATATTATTAATGTGCTTTTGAATTTTGTTATTTTAAAGTTGCAAAATGTATACACATTCTATTAAAAAAATGGGCTGTATTTGTACACATGCTGAAAGGTCTGTCACAAGTACGTGTATAGTATTTCGAAGTAATTACACTGTCATGATTATTGTGCTGCGCCATTTAATTTTATATTTAATTCAGTAAGGTAGAAAAGTTTTTCATCAGGCTGTAACCTTACATATTATTTGCTGTCCTCCTTTCTTTAACAATTTCGCCAAACATAATATCTAGGTGATTTGTGATTCATTAATTTTTGTATTTGAAACTTAATGTCTTCCTGGGTTAATTCTAGGTACTCCTCTTCATTATAAATTTGGTTATATAAGAAAACTTCTTCTGTTTGTACACATATCTGTAGTTTGTCAAAGTACTGGTCTCAGTTTTTTGCTAATTTTCGTCAGTGATTATTGATCTATTGTCGTTTTTAGATATACCTATTCTAAAATAATGACATTTGAATTGGCCAAAATAATTAATCATGTATGTTAAATAAAGAAAATGTTCTGTATAGAACATAATACAAATATTAAAACATAAACATATTATTTACGAATGAAAAAGTAAAAACAAAAACTTATCATTATTATTAGGGGTAAGTATAGAAAATATGGCAAGCGCTGTAATCTATACTTCCAAAATTGACGATACGCTGGTTCCAAACCAGTCTATGACAGCAAAATAGTTTTTTTTGTTTTGATTGATGTGAAGTTAATTTTCTTGTTAATTCAACAATCACTGAAGTATGACTTTTAGGTTTTCTGATTATAAATTGTAATATTGGAGGAGAGTGGTTGAATGGGTAAGGCGATGATGTATTAGCGCTCACTGATAAAAATGTAATATTAGTTAAAAATAATTTGTACTCTTTTAAACTAATAATAATAATAATGATAATAAATATTATAATATCATATTTATATTATAATATAATACATTTTATATTAATAAAGACCTCTTAAATATGAATGTCGAAAGTACGCCTCGCTTTCCCACAGTTAATTTTGTTGGAAGTCTTGACTCCCCGAGTAGGGTATAAGCTAACTAGATGTTGCAAAATTCGCCCCTCCCCTTTATCCTTCTAAAATCAGTAACTAACTAGCAATCAAATATTCAAATTATTGGTGTGTACCAGAGCTATATAGATTGGTTAACAGGTAATTTCCATTGGGACCAAATCTGGCTTAAAAATTGCTTGACAGTGCGTAAGCATTCACCGAATGCTTACACACTGTCAAGCAGAAAGCTAATAATCAAATTACACGTGTACGCCAGAGCGCTTTATCGCACAATCAATTATTGACGCATTGTCAATATTGAGATTAAAATTTATACAAATAATGTGTATTTTCTTAAATTTTTTGTAGATATTAGCTCATACCTTTCAAAACATGGCTCAAAATGAAGCCATGTGTCAGCAGTATGTACCATTAACTATATATTTAGTGCAAGATTTTTTTCTAAAACATCCCAGTAAAGATGTTCAGCTCTTAACGGCCTGCTGTATTGCGGATGTTCTTAGAATTTTTGCGCCTGAAGCTCCTTACACAAACCCAGAACAAGTGAAGGTATGTAGTGTGTTTTGTACAAATTATTTATTAAAACATTACTTTGTACAACAAAATATACAATTTTGAATAAACGGGTTTTCACAAGATATATTTTTCTATTGATATAGGGCATATTTATGTTCCTGATTAAACAACTCGGTGGTTTGAAAGATCCCAAAAATCCAGCATTCAAACGCTATTTTTATTTATTGGAAAATTTAGCATATGTTAAATCTTTCAATATGTGCTTTGATTTAGAGGATTGTCAAGAAATATTTTGTAAACTATTCTCTCTTTTATTCCAAATCATTAAGTAAGATAATAAAATTATATTTATATCAGTCAACATTCACTTTTAATGATTATATTAATACAAAAAATCTTTTTTTAGCGATGAACATTCAGCCAAAGTAAAAGTATTTATGTTAGATATATTGTGTCCTCTTATAATGGAATCCGACGTCATTTCCAATGAACTTCTTGATATTATTTTAATCAATATCGTGGAGCCTAACAAATCGCATAGAAAAAATACTTATTCATTGGTCAAAGATCTTATTATTAAATGTTCAGACTCTCTAGAACCTTACATTCAAGCGGTTAGTTGTTACACTTGTTATAATAATTTAATTATAATAAAATAAACTTTCTTACACATTTTTCAATACTTTTACAGTTCTTTAACCAAAGTCTTATGCTAGGCCAGAATGAAAAAAATCTTGCGATAAATTCAAAAACCTATGATCTCATATATGAATTGAACAAAATAAGTAAATCTATATTGTTAGCAGTTTTACCACTGCTCGAATGCAAGTTAAAGTCCACAGTAGAGCAAGAACGATCAGATACTATTGCTTTGTTAGCATCAATGTTTTCTGAGAAAGAATCTAATATTGCTCGCCGTTATAATATTTTATGGCATGCCTTTCTTAGTCGATTTAATGATTTATCCATAAACATTAGAATTAAGTGTGTTCAATGTGCCATGCAAATATTAGTGAACCAGTCTTATTGTCGCCCAGATTTGATAGAAGCATTGCGTCTACGAAGTTTTGATCATGATATGAACGTACGGTATGAAACTATATTGGCTATTGTATCAACAGCTAAAACTGATTTTGAATCCATTGCCGAAAATGAAGAACTTTTTTTAATGGTTAAAGATAGAATGTGTGATAAAAAGGTATGTTGACATCTTTTTGATAGTTAAAAGGTGTTTGGTGTGAGCGCTAAATTAATTTAATAGCGACAAAGAAGAAAAAAAAACTGAATGCATTAGTTATTCGGTTGAATTAACAAAATATAGAGAACATTTTTTCTATAATATAAGGATTTTGTGCCACTAATATATAAATTAAAACGATATAAAATTGTTATATTAACTTTTTTTGTTCTCCATAAAATAATGAAAAATTTAGCATACACCAAGTATTCTTTAAATCATTTATGTATCAAATTTTATTTTATATTTAAGAAATTAATTTTATTATACAAATATTTCTGATTAATTTTCTATATTTAAAACTTTTTAGTTTAAAATTAGAAGAGAAGCAGTCCTCGGCCTGGCGTATATCTACAAAACTTACCTTAATGGACCAGAAATTCCAAATGCAACTAAGAAAGCTTTTTCTTGGATCAAAGACAAAATATTGCATGGTTACTACAGGAATTGCTTGGAAGACAAGTTGTTGGTAGAACAAATTGTCAATTCCTCATTGGTTCCTTATCAACTGCCACCTGACGTCAAAATGAAAAGGCTCTATCATTTGTATGGGACTGTCGATGAATACGCAAAAAAGGCTTTTATAGAAATACAAAAAAATCAAATGCTGTAAAATCAAATAAATTTACATTTCGTCCATATAATATTATTAAATTTACTACTATTGATTTTAGGATTCGATCTTATTTAAAAGAATTTGTTAACATTCACAAAAAGGCAGATCATGACAATAAAGAACTGGAAATTCAAACGAGTATTAAATTATTAACCCGATATTTACCCGAACCAGTCAAGGCAAATGAATTCATTAACAAATTTTCTCAACAGTTACGTAGTGATGCTAATTTATTGAATTGTAAGTAACTGTAACTGTATAGTAATCCTTAATATATTTAGAATTATTTAAACTTTTCATTTTAAGACATGGACATTATTGTCAAACAAACTTCAAGCACGGCTGAAGTAGCAAATGCTTTCAATTTTTTGTTGAAAAAACTTGGGAAACCCAATACGACTAATGTTTATTACAACACATTAAAAGCCCTTTTAGAACGAGCATTGTCTGTCATGATTGATTCTCAATCGTTAAAGGTTTGATTTGTTAATTTGTATGTAATAATAGCACCATTATAGAGACTTTTTAACATTTGTTCTATTTAGGTACTATTTATTCACGTAGAAAATTGTTTGAATGCAGGACACATGGTAGACGAACTTGGTTTGCATCCTGGAACCGCAGGATACAAAGGCCTAGAACTACTCAATGTAAGTACGCTTCTAAAATATGTGTATGGTATCCCACGAGGTTTTACTAATCATATTTTCTTAATAGTGTTGTGAATTTTAAGTTTTTTCTTTACATGCTAATAACTTTAAAATGTTTATTTTAAACTTTTGTTGTAAAAAATGTTTGGTAACTCTTTACATAAATATATTTAGTCTATCGATAGTAGAATAGTGATTAAATAGTAGTTGCATATAAAAAATTTTCATTTCAAAATTTAACTCTTACGGATGTGTCGTGGGGTCAAAAAGACTGGGGTAATTAATTTACCGTAAATGATAATCGAACTGGGATTAAAATAAAAATACCAGTTATTAAGTTAGAAGAGTAACTTTTCCCGAATGGACCAATAATTTCACACCCTTGGAATAATAAAATATTTTTGTTCTATAGAAAATAACTGGTCGAAAAAAAAATTAACTTTTACTTTTTTGTTTTCAATGATTGTCAGAAAACATATAGTTTTAGAACAATTTTTTTTGTGTTAGCAGTTAGAGCGAAGTGTGAACTTTATACTTTATTCTGTATAAATAATACATATTTTATGTTATGTTAGGTACTGTCAAACACGTTTGCTTGTCATTTTTATCATCCAGATATTTTAGACAAACTAATACATTTGTTACATTATGATGATGTATGTATTACTACTCAAGTACTTACTGTTCTCACTACAATTGGAAAATACAGTGCACTTGGTAATGTATACCTAAATGACAATGATTAATTGGATTTTAAATTTGTTTTATATTACATTTAACAGGTGATAGCTGTCCAGAATTAACTGAAAAACTTACACCAATGTGTGAAGTCTTTTCAATTAAAGGAACACCCAAACAAGCTAAATGCGCAATTCGATGTTTGTTTGTCAATGTTTATAAATCAAAGACTAACGTTTTTGATAATATTGTGGAGGTAAGAAGTGAATAAAATAAATAAATGTATGTCTAAATCATAATTAATATCTTTTGGAAATCGAGTTTTAATCAGGATGCACAAACCATAAAACAAATTAGGGGTTGATAAACATGATGATTTACAAACACTACTGTAATTTTATCAGTCAACTTGATAAATACAAATGTTTGATTGATTTCTCACTCATTTTTAGTTAATAGTTTTGTTTTTTCTATAGCAAATGTAACAATCAAATTTAAATTATAAATTTTGTTGTATTATTTAGAAAACTCAACTCAATTTGACGCCCGAATCAGAATATTACGAAACTGCAATAGTAGCTTTTGGTCATCTTGCTTTAAACGTGGTTGACAAATACAGTGCTCTGTTCAGTAATATAATATCAAAAAAGGTAATTTAGTTTTAAGACGTTTTGTTGATTTTTTGACATGGAGTTAATTTAATTTAGTATTGTTAGTTTATGTCAGTGTAATAAATTGTAATATTTAATAAGTAATAGATAATTATTAACTAGTATAACGATGGCAGCGCTGCTTTTTCCCTTAAATGTATTTTAGGTACTGTAACAGGTACTTTCGATAACATGTTACCACTTGCCTTAATATGCTAAATAAACATTATAAAGTGAGACAATAGGTAGGGGACAGTTGATACATACGAGACTATTCACCAACAGCATGAAACCCTAATCAGTTGAACTTTTACCTTCCATGGACCGCGATCGACTTAAAATAATATTGTCAACTTTTTGTCACGACCTTTAACCTTTGAGAGTTACCTCATTTATAAAATCGACAAAGAGGACTAAACAGGCAAGCTCGTTGCAATTTTCTTTATGCCCTGATTTCTGTTGGTTTTTTTTTTCTCTCCGGGAGAGACCTCAGTTCTCAAGGAAAAGGCTCGTTACAGTATAATATTATATGGTTGACTAAAATAAAGACTAACAAAAAAACGAGCTCAGGCCAAAATAAAATAAGTATTTAAAAAAATAATTATTTTATACTTTACTCTGAAATGGTATCTCGCCGAATAGACCACATTAAAATAGTTTTTGCTGAAATGGCCACGAATTAATGGAAAAGTAGATTTTAGCGTGTTTTTTTATGCAAATATACTTGTTTCAAAACAGATTGTCAGGGAATTATTGGCTACAGAAATTACCCATATTGTCACGTGTGATGATGATGATGATTGGTGTCAAGAAAATAGGCTACCCAAAGAAACTAAATGTAGAGTAAGTTGGTCAATTTCAAATTAGTATTATGTCATTAATTTCACATATTTTTAGGTTGAAGGTATTAAAGCTTTAGCTAGATGGGTCGTTGGTTTGAAAAATGACAAACAGTGTGCTCGAAAGACTTTTAGAATATTCTCTGTTCTTCTTTCTAAAAATGGTGATTTGATGGAATCTGGAATGTTAACTAAACCTGAATTAGCTTGGTTACGATTACAAGCGGGATGTGCAATGTTGAAAATTTGTGAGCAAAAAGAAATTGGTGATCAATACACAGCCGAGCAATTCTTTTTACTCTCTCGACTAATGACGGTATTTCATAATGATTTAATATTAATCAAAAGTGTATTACATGTCTTTCTTTATTTAATAGGATGAGGTCTTAAAAGTCCGAGAAATTTTCGCTGAAAAACTTCACAAGGGTCTAGGACGTGGTTCACCATTTAAATGTCTACCATTAGATTTTATGGGAATGTATGTTTTTGGTGGTCTTGAAACCGATAAAAATTTAAAAACTAAAATTTATGGATACCTTTTAAAAGACACAAGTAGAAGACAAGAGTACATAAAAATCTTAACTCAAAAAACAACCACATGTAAGCTAGTTTTTTTATTTGTTTTATAATGTTTTAATTGTATAATAGTGTAGCATTTTTTAATACAGACATTTTATAAAATACAATTTTTTTCTTCTAAAGGTCGTATCATACAAAATTTTAATTTTACTTACATACTTATATATTTAGTATGTCTTTAAGCTTATTTTTCTTAAAATAACTTTACTATAGTTTTATCTTAATATATTCTTTAATTTATACGAAGTACTAATATACAGAATAATAAATTTAATTTGATTATTTATTTGTGATAAAGTCCCATCATCGTGATAACTTATATTCTCTAACAATGTGACTATCTATTTAACTTCAAAGCAAATGATTCAGTATTTAGGGTTCTATTTACCAAACGGTAATTTCTACTGGTTAGTTACCCACAAACCAGAGTTGCTTATATATATATATATATATATATATATATATATATATATATATATATATTTTAAATTCATCCGATTTAACGCTGTAAATAACTTCTATTATAAATTCAATATATTTTCTTTAAATACATTTTTATTTTACTGATTCAAGTAGAATGTTATTTTAAATATATATATTTTTTTTATTACAATTGTATTAGATTTTATTATTTAAATGATGCCCAGGTTTGGGTATTCAATGTTTGTTTTTCTTCCCCTCTCCCTTTTGTATACCTACATTTGAAATGCTTATTAATCCTTATTGTAATGTATGTTTTACTTTTTGTTTAGGCTCTGTAGATAGAGCAATGGAGCAACTACCTCATATATTACCAGATTATATGGTGTTGTTTGCAATATCCATTTTGACTCATTCGCCAGTGTACACAGATTGTAAAGATATTAAAATCTTGACATTGATGCAACAGTGTCTGTGGTTTATACTTGAACCACTAATTACTAAAAATGACTCTTATAACTATGGGTTTTACAAAGCAATGTTGGAAAAGTTGAAATGTTACGTAGACGCAGTAGATCCAACAAATGAAGCTATTAACACGGTAATATAAAATCAATTATTTATCAACTTGTGTAATTCTTATTATTTTATGATGTGTTATTTCAAAAAATTAATTAAGAATTAGGAATAATATCCATTGTTATTCACATATACATCTGAACATTTTCTACTAAGACCATCGAATTAAGAGAAATGGTCATATTTTCTCAACACAAAAGAGACATTGTCCAAAGAGGATACCTAATTACAGATTTAAAATTTGTTTCGAATAAATTATTGAAATCAAAGTTAAAATATGGTGATATTTGATTTTAGGAAAAAAAATATTTATGTTACCACGTTATTCTTTCAATGATGCTAAGTCAACTGGTTTATATCTATTTAGATACCTTATGAAAATATATGTCTTTGGTTTTTACTCAAAAACCTTTAAAATAGAATAAAAATTTAATATTTTTAGTTTGGTTATTACATTGTTTTTTTGTTTTTGTTTAGAAAATGTGGACACTTTGCGATTTGACAATGAATGTTGTGGTGACACACACTACCACTTTTGAATCCGCTCCATTATCTGAAATAAAAATATCGTCAATGTTCTATAAACGCCATGAAGACTCATTGTTTACAAACATCAAAGTTTATCTACCTGAACAATTTCAAATACAAGTATGTTTTAATCAGAAGTACTTGAATAATAATTGTAATTATTAATTGTTATTACAAAATTGACGGTTGAGAATACTAATTTTTTCATGTATTACAAATTTTAAGTTAAAAAGTATTTTTACATTTTTAATGAATTATTAATAATTTTCTAATAACTATTAATATTATGCTACTGAATTGTTTACAACAAATTCCAATATTTATATAAAATATTATTTATTTGTTGTTTGTTTAATTAGCAAGTAAATAATGACGGCAGGAAAATTAAACTGTCAGCGTTGAGGACTCCCAAAACGCGAGTTCAAAAGCATGATCGTCAAGCTGAACAATCACAAAATTCCACAGTTGTGGTTAGTTTACAACATTTGTATATTTACTAATAATTTAGTTTTCTTTTTAGCTTCGATACGGAGTAGAGAACGTATTGTTTTTACAATGTGTTTTGTATAATTTTGTTATTTTTAAAAAACATTATTATGCCGCTAAACGGATTTCTTTATGTGGTAACTGTAAATCAGAAATCGTACTTACCCGTAAGGTATTTTTTTGAGGCAAAAAGTTACCCGTACGATATTTTTTTGAGGCAAAAATTTAAAAAGACTTCTCCTCTCCCTAAAATCGAGAAGAAAATTCCAAAAATGTATACATTGTCTCTAAAAATTACGGCGCTCTTTAAATTTTTAAAAAGTAGTTCAATTAGTAGTATATTTGTATGGAATATTTTTTAGACAAAATATTATCAATATGTGTTAACAAATAAAATAAAATATCATTAACCATTTCCCCCAGAATGGATAGAAACTTCTTCTTTATTTCAGTTTTATTTGGTTATTTCATACAGTATGCGATAATTTTTTTTTAATTATTCACTAAGATTTACATTAACTATGATTTCTTGTATTAAATTCGTACATTTTTTTTTTAGAATAAAAATAATAACACCTTCATAGAAGTAAGTGTAGTAGACTACAGCTAAACAGGTAATTATTTTTTGAAACTATTAACTGTCTTATTTTAATAGGCCAGTGACGACGAAGAAAAAATTACTCCACAGTCAAAACGCAGACGTACATGTAAACCATGCACAACATGCAACAACAATATTGAATGATTTGAACCCTTTGAGTTTTGTAGTATCCTATTATTTATATATTTATCATTTTTAGTAAGTATGCAGTAGTATATTGTAATATTTTACAATTTTTACTATAACCTATAACTTAGGGGCTAACAATGTGTCTCAAGCCATTAATTACTGTACCAAAATTACAAAAAATAAATTATTTTATTTCAATTTTTAAAAAAAAAATGTTTAGTTAAAAGCTAGCTTTTAATATTTAGTTTTATTTTTGTTTGAAATTTTACGCGAGTGGAGTGGCAGTTTCTCCTATAAATATTCAAATTGTTGTTTAACAATTAAAAATTGCTTTAACAAAAAGGGTCGTTTATTGTAAAAATGATACAACTCCAGATTTTTTAAATGTTTTGTATATTTTTGCTTAAAGAATGGCATTTAATCATATCTTTTGTTATAAAAAGGAAGCAACTTCAATAAATGCAGAAATAATTAAAAAATATCAACACTAAATGAATACTTGTATTTGTTTTCCTACACATTATTTACAAAAAGCGCGTTATTCAAAATTTAAATTACAAGGAGACAATTCACTTTTACAATGAACGACACAAATAACCCTTTTTTGACTATTTTCATACTTCTACAAATTAAGCTTTGAACTTTAAAAAAAAAAAATTGTGTTACGTCAACAAAGAGAATATTAATATGAATTTAGAAAAACAGAACTAAAATCCTCGATTCTAAATTAAATCTACCCAATTTCCATTAAACTTTGTCAACATTTGAGTTATAAACCTCCCTTCTCCGTTTAAAGCTAATGTGCAATGTACTTAATTATTTTTGATATAGTAATTTATTTATCTATAATTTGTTTTACAGAAAAGAGAATGTTGTTTTTATTCGAATCAATCATAGTTAAGGTGTTAACGGTTTAAAAATTAACTAATTTATATTATGTTATAATAAAAAAAAAAAAGTGTTGAAATATTTATTAATTTTGTTACCTACTATTTCTGTTTATTTTTTAAATTTATATTTTTAATAATTACGTTTTATTTAAAGAATTTTTTATTAAAACAATTTTGACGTTTACCCTATGTATGAAACAATACTATAATATTATGTGTTTTACTAATTATACTTTCTTGTCAATGACAGCGTGTATCATTGTTTTTTTTTATATTTAATCTCCCTAGCTACCTACTACAATTCTATCTGCTTCTTAACAAGTGTGATATAATAATGACATATTATTAATTTGAATTGAAGGGTGTCCTGCTTTCTATTAAGAACTGACATATTTCTATTCAATACAAACGTAAATTCGTGTGACCTGTTATATGTGAAGTAACTGCAATCAAATTAAGCAGTTTAGATTTTAAACTTTCCATAGAAATGTTTTAGTTTTAGCACTTTATAAAGATAAATATAAAAGTATAGCTATTTTTACGAAAAATATTGCCTTATTTGGTTCCAGCAAACTCTATTTCACTCAAATTATGTTCTTACACAATAGTTATATTGTGCACAATACACATTAGTTTGATTAAAAGTTGTTGAGATTAAACTAGTGTTAGAAATGTAAAGTACCTATTCATGGCAAACATGGCAAACTTTTTTTTCGAAATTTTAACAAATGTACACGTTTAAAGAAATATTTTGACCTTGTTTTTTGTCGTTGCCCAATTTTGCTGTAAATTACCTATTTAAACTTGCAACTGACTAAATGCTAGCAGTTGAAAAAAGTATAATTTATATTTTCAAAAGTACAGGTCATATTTCTTATGCAATGTCAGATTACAAATTTAAAAAATCGAGGAACCATTTTTTAATGTTCAAAAATTCAACAATATACGAGGTGAAAAATTCAAATGGTTTACTTATATGCGAGTGAAATTTTTAATTTTCAAATATTCCCACGCCATTTACAATAATTGTTACAGATATAGTTTGTATGTGTGTACTTTTTATTTAATTATTCACAATCCGTAAGTTCGTGTTACGTGTATTCTTTATTCTAAGCCTATGCCATTAAGTATATTTAAGATTATGATTTAATCTACAATACATTTTTTCGTTGAAACTCAAACGTGTGTCACCGTGGTCGTTAACGAGTGAAATAATTACTTTTCACGTTAAAATAAACATTAAAAAATTGCAAGAGCAAATTGTAAGCAGAGTTCGTGCAGATAACAAAAATACCTATTTAACATGAATCGTGTATACTTAATATTAATTGTTACTACTATATTTAATATTATTATGGTCTGCTCGTTGACCTTATATTGTAGTATAAATCCTATGCTAGCTGGTGTACTACTTTGGTCTTAGGTATGACGATGTAGGCGTTTATGCAGAATTATACTTATACCCATGGAAGCAACGCTTTCGAGATTTGCTCGTCTGACAAATTCATGGAACAATAAATGATTGATGCCAATAATTACAGCTCTTAGATACGCGGGTACCTACTCCGAATTAAATTTAGTTTACTATTTGTTCTCCGTACAAAATGTATATACACTTTACACACCCTATCAGTAATAATATTACTTTTTTCTCTCCAAAGTTTTTTATGATTCAACTAAATAAATGATGAGAGACACATTTATTAAACTTGTAAGTATACTTGGAAAACCCTACTTGATAATCGCCTGTTGACAACAGACGACCGTCCGCGAACAGCAGCAGCCTTTTTTTTTGCTCTAAGTTAAAAGTATAATACCTAACGTCTTATTCTCAGATACCATGTAATATCTGATTTATTTGACAATGATCTAAAGAATAATACTTACTTCGGCTGTAGGTACAGAGTACAAAATATATTTTTGACGTTATCGGTAAAAATTAAAAAAATCCTTTACGTTTTCTCGAACATCATAAATCGTAAGACGTCTTAAGCGGTCTTGACGTTGTGTCAATTCTTTGAAGAAACCAAATGATGTTGGAAATTTACTGTGCAATTCTTCAATATATCTATTCTAGACCATTAATAATATTGATTGCGTGGGGACCGCTTTATACCTACCTACTTAGTTAGGACTTGCCCGCCCTTGCGCACGATTACCCAAAACGCACTTCAATCCTTAGTAAGTACCCACGTACTTGCTCATAAATCATAATCATAATTATTATTTGAAATCTCGGTGTATGATTTTATTGCTACTCTCTTAAGTAGCAATTAATATAAGTACCCATAACGAGGGGAAAATTATCACCATCGGTATAAATGCGACGACCGGCCGACGTGTATTTTTTTTTGGCGCGTGACTACCCAATCAAAATTAGGCAGTAATGCAATTAATTTTGTTTTTTTTCAAATCGAACCGATAGCTGTTGTTAAGTATCGGAATCGATAAGACAAACGCATATGGTAGGTATAAAGTCGGTCACAAAATCACGATCTGTACCAGTTGTGCGGTTATGTGAATTCGCTCGGCAATTGGTACACCTTAAAGGTAACGTACGCTCGTTTTGTTTTAAACACTGTTATACCATTACTATTATAATATTGCAAACAAAAAAAAAATATATATATATATATATATATATAAGCTGAGTTGTTTTGACTAAATTAAAAATTTTAACGTAATTAATTTGCACTCGGTAATATTGGAGCAAGCAGGAAACAATCTCTAAAGGTGGTGCAATCCTCCTGGTATTTACTACTATGGTACTTTATAATACTTATACTCTATAATACCTACTTTATATTTTATTAAAGTTAGAAAAATATTATTTTATTTATTAAAATGATACATTTTAATATTTTAATAAAATTTTGCTTTTTTTTAAATAGGTATTGAATAGGTGGTACTGGTTAATTATACATAGTAAATATGTTCCAATATTCCCGGTGTATCCCAATTATTTAAAAGTCGATTTAGCTAAAAAAAATGATATGGTCTACATTTTTAGTTAAAAGAAATTTAAAGAGAAAACTGTTTGAAAATTAACAAGTTATAAACGAGTCCGGGTTAGGTCACGATACAATATTTATTGTGTAAGTCCCATTAATTTAGGAATTGTTACATATGTAACAATTTATTGTTACACTAAAACACCAATCTTGCGTGAAAAACTTAAAACTAGAGTATCAAAAACACGTTCATAGTGGTAATTTACTTATAATATTCGGCTCAAAGGAAAAGACGGCCCAGATTAAGCCAATAGACTTATAAAATTCGTTTTAGAAAAATTGGTCTTGCAACTTTTGGCATCTTAGTATTGCAAACAGCAAAATATTGTTTGTTATAAAAGTCTTTCCCGTCTGGTGTTGCTGAAGTATATCAAACTACAGATACATACTTATAAATATAGAATTATACTTGGTATATTAATTAATTTATACAACCTAAAATCAATTGTATTTCATTTATCATTCATAACTCTGAGATCCACGCCTGGGTATCAATCATACAACTTAAGAATAGTTGAAATGTTTAAAGTGATATAAGTGATACCACTTTGTGGTATGTTAATGGTAGTACATTAATTAGTCTGAACAAAAATGTTGTCATTATTTTGTAAATCAGAAATAATGTAACATAAATGTGTGTTTATTTGTTAATAAAAACAGAAAATGAATGCGGTTGAACGCCTGTGGAACGCACTTGTCGTTACTCTTTGGACATTAGCTACACTAGGCGTAGCAGTTCAAGATGTTTACGAATTTAACATAAAACAATTGTACACATGTTATTTAATTGGACCATCGTGCAAAATACTGAGGTACAAAAATTGCACTTATACCACAAACAAATTGGGCGACAGCAACTTTTACTATAGTGAGGTAATTAATATGTATTTCTACTGTTGCTCACAATACTCGAGTGTTTTTATTAAAACATAATAAAATATTTGTCAAAAATATTTATTCTGCTTGTTGGCTAATTTTATTTGTTATGCCGGACATTTTATTATATGACTTTTTCGGGTTTGTTTCCAATACCCAGATTACTCACAATGAATGTCTTTATTTGCTTATAATATATATTTTGCAATCCGATTACGAGCAACTAAGAATAACACGGGAGTTAAGTGTTAACCGAATAACATGTCTATATTTTAAACATTTTAAATCCGGTGGGGGGGAGGAAGATAAAAATAGCGGGCAAGTAAAATTACTTAATTCAGTTGTTAATTTGTGCTATTTTTTAGTTGAATTAAAATCGTTTGTAGACTCCGTTGCACCTATCTGACTTATAGTTTTTTACAGGAAGACTTCGAATCGCCCAACGGTGCTAATCTACTACACCTAAACAAACACCTTAGTTTGTGCCGTGACACGAATTCTTCTTTTACGTGTGCCTACGGTAAGAAAAAATCAGAACTAGAACTGTTTTGCATGAAGAGAACTTTCCCGCCGTTTATTGACGAGGCATGGCCTACTACGCCAAAATGGAGTTGGCCATGGGAAAATAAAGAACCTCAAATTTCATCCACCGAGAACCCAGACTATGGTGATTATAGTAACCCTGAAACCGATGGTGGAGGAGACTATGGCGACCCTGACCCCGATAATGGAGAAGACTATGGCGACCCTGAAACAGATTATGGAGGAGGCTTATACCCTACCAACCCTGGCACCAAACCGAAACCGTCAAAACGTCCCCATAACAAACCTAGTCTCGGTAACGGAGGCGGCTTATTTCCTACCGACCCTAACATCAAACCGAAACCGTCAAAATATCCCCACATCAACCCAAGACCCGGTAATGGAGGCGGATTTTACCCTATCGGCCCTGACACCAAACCGAAACCGTCAAAATATCCCCAGATTAACCCTAGACCCGGTAATGGAGGCGGCTTATACCCTACCGACCCTGACACCAAACCGAAGCCGCCAAAATATCCCCAGATCAACCCTAGACCCGGTAATGGAGGCGGCTTGTACCCTACTGACCCTGAAGGCAACCCGAACCAAACTCCACCAGGGCCACAACCTTCACCACCATTTGTTCCAGCGAATAATTGTCGTCCGTGCTTACCCGGAATAGGTGACCCGGCAGACCGTGAGATTTGGGTGGGAACGTTTGTTCGTTATAAACCAGGCATGAATTTAGATTTACAACAACAGTGTCAACCAAATTTTAACTTTTACACCCCAACATAAAGTACTCTTCCTGAAGACTTGGATGTAAATTCCGGAATGCTATAAATATTAGACAATTTAGTAGCCTAAAATTTATCTGTATACTACAATTGAACTAAAAATAATATAATAAGAATACAGTTTATAATCTATCAAGCCTTATTTAATTGTAATTTTACGGTAACTTTTGATTCCACGGTATTTTGTTTCACATAACCGATCATTTTTTGTTGGATACGAGCACCTGTTTGAGGTCCACACATTTATAAAAACGTTTCGTTTCCTAATTACCACATTATTTACTTATTCGCTATAACCTACCATGATGGTCCATGTCTTTTACCGGTTGTCTCGTTACAGACACGTACCCTTGAATCATCGGCTACAAAATGTATTATTGCTTTTACAATAAATTTATAATGACGATATTATTGTTTTTATTTTAAGTGAAAGCGTTTATGTTTTAAATCCCTGGTGTACAACGTATGCGTGTACACGTATATTACATGTTTAGTATTTTTTGTCTTCGCGTTTAAATTAAAAATTGTGTATTGCACTTTTTATTTTTAGGTCTAGATATATAATTAGAGTTAAGGTGCAAAAATAGGATGAGTATCTCTTTATAAAGAGAGACGAAGTTAATTGAAGAAATCATTTGTTCACACATGTAATAAAAATAATGGATGCTGTATAAAATAAAGAGTGTTTACTAAATATTTTACTAAACCTTACAAAAAAACATCCACTATTATATTATTTGTTCTACAAATGAAAAAATTTGTCGTTTATCAAGATGATATAGTTATAATAGTAAAAGATCAAGATGGTTTGAGAAATATTAAAACGGCAAGAGCGATTTGTGTAAAGATGAATGTGATGAATAAAAGCAAAATAAAAGGAAATGTACATAAACTCCTAAATATAATCTTTTAATTTATTTCGTAGGTTTCGTGTGTTTAAAAGCCATTTTATAATTTATTTTAGACATGTATTTTTGCACAACAAAATTTAAAGTATTTATACTCTAATTTGAAAAAGGAAACAAAGTAGAACATCCGATATTTCAGAAGAATATTGAATTTCTATTAGGGTTGGATTATTAAGATCGTTAGCGATTTTTTATATTGTAGGTGAGTAGTTAATGCGACTACACTTCATACTGGCGGTGTAAATGCATTGGCCCAGTCACACAAACAATAACCTAAGACCGATAATCTTGGACACAGACTAATTAACATGCATAATTATTAGTGTTATTGCAGCCAAAACGATAAACTAGTTGCAGTTAAGCAACAACATAAGAATATTAATTGTTGTTCCCAGAACACATAATAAATCAAACTTCCTAGTTATTATTACTAGTCGTTTAAATTAACAACTAAGTAGTAACGCCTACCTAAATTCGCTATTACACTCAGTCAATGTAATTACCTAACTTTTAACTGGTTTGAAGGACTTATAAAAATAAATCAACTAGCACTAAGAATAGTAATGGCTCTACGTATAGTTTAAAGTCTTTGGATACGTACAGTCGCAGGTGTAGAGTAATAAAACAACAACGTAACGCGATATATATTTCTAAAATATTTAATATGGTCGTTTAAAATACTTCGAATTAAGTTATGTTTTATTAAAAAATATAAGAACACAATGCGTTTAAATGTATTAATAAAAATAATTGTTAAGAACACAATTGCCTGTAAATAATACAAAATCGATTCAGGCGCCTAAAATCTATGTTGAATAATAAAATAGTAATAATAGTAAAATAAAATTAATAAAAATATACATAAAAAAATCAAATGACTGTTCTATATTTATGTTGGCGCTAATGTACGGAATCATGTCCTGCGTATGCACACCTGGCATCTACTAATGCGACTGCGGGTCATGTCCTTCTTCAGCGTTTGTCTCTGTGGACTGGTAAATTGTTCATCGGGGTCGATAGTGGCCAACCAGAAACTCAACTTATTGGCAAAGTAATGACACGTGCCACGGGCTCCGTTGCACTCGATGAATGGCGTTGCTCTGAAATCTTCCAGACACGAACCAGGACTAGCTAGGGACTGACCGCCCCCTTCAGCGCCGGCGGCAGTGTGCTAAAAATTACACAAGACGAACATTAATGTTGTGCAAAGCTTCGTCGAACAAATAATACATATTGTTATAGATGATAAGCATTGATTCATCTGATTTATCGTTTATCTATGGTTTTCATTCATGACAGCAGATACTGCATGATGTTATTCCTTACAAGCAGTAGCGTTTGGTAAAAATCATTCTTGGGAACATATCGAAAAGTCTAAGGAAGACAATTATCAATACTGACCATTACGAAACTGAAACCTATCCATAGTCCTTCCCATCCGTTGGGACAGTCGGGCACAGTCAATGCTTGACTGTGCACGGCAATCACGTTGGCAGGAGCTTCACACACGACACATCTGAAACGAATTAATTTATTAGCGATATTCCTATTAATCCTATTGTTTTAGAGAACTATCGATTGTTGGCGAAATTGTACTAACCTTGAAATGTAATTCTTTATTTCGAACTCTTCGACCGGCATCATCGGTAACGGTGCGTTGGTACTGAGCCAATAGGACTTGTCATTCCTGCTGGCGTAGTTGCATACGTTGTTAAAGTCACAGAACAAGAACGGCATAGTGGAGAACTTTCGAATACAGGAACCGGCAAAACCTGAGGGTGCAAATATTATGAAGTCATAAGAAATATAGCTATCGATTGAATAAAATAAAGGTATATATATATAATCAATTTGCGTTCCAATGGCTGTTTAACGTACCTAAATCTTGGTTGTGCGACTTCTCGTTTCCTTCGATGTACAGCAAACTGTAACCGTCCCACAATTTGACGTGGTTGCCTTCGCACTTGGGTATCGTGGAGCTCTGGCTGTGTTTCACTAACAGTATACCCGTCGAGTAATCCGGTTGAGTTTCGCAAGCTCTACCGGGAAGGCCGTCGTTACCTGAATGACCAGGTGCTCCCTAAAAATACAAAGTGCGATCACAATGTTAGTCATTTAGCTGCGGTGGTTACCTATAGTAATTATTATCGTGTCCCTTACTTGCAAGCCAGGTAATCCCTCCAATCCTGGTTCTCCTTTATCGCCGTCTAGACCTGGTGGACCGACCGGTCCCTCCAAGCCAGGTATGCCTGTGTCGATAAAATTAAAGTAGAGTTTAAAAACTATTAGGTACTCGTTTTAAAAACCAATTTCATTACCTCTCTCTCCCTTAATTCCACGCACTCCTGGTAGTCCGTCAAGACCACGGTCTCCCTTTTCTCCTGGCCATCCCGGAGGTCCTAATCATAAAGAAAAGCTTATGAAACTTACAACTAAACGACGTTAATTGTTTTAAATCGGTGTAGACATATATGTATATATTTTAAAAAAACCATTAGATTACCAGGTAATCCTCGCTCTCCTTTGGGGCCTGGTGGTGGGGAGTAACCGGCTTCGCCCTTGTCTCCCTTGGGTCCACTGAATCCAGGTGAACCTTAGAAATAGCACATAAATTAAAATTAAAACATTTCGTATAATAGATTAAAAATGATAGATCATCTATGTTGATATATAAAAACGTACCCGGCTTTCCTGGGAAGCCACTCAATCCCTTTTCGCCTGGCAAACCTTCAATGCCCGGTAATCCAGGTATACCTGAATTAAAAATATTTGTTTAGTTTGCTTTATTATAAAACAGTTGAATTTTTAAATTATTAAAAACAATTTACACACCTGGGAAACCTCTGTCACCTTTGTCGCCCTTTGAGCCTGGATATCCGGGTAAACCTGTATTAAGTAAAGGCTTATGAATACACTGTACTATAATGAGGCTTAATATATGCATATGTCGGGTCAATGTCATATATGAAGGAGGATTTTTGGGGTCAAAATCTTTCCAGAAATTGTATTCTGTTAATGATTAGGCTAGTTATTTAAAAATTAATATTAATCTTATAGGTATAAATTCATAATAAAGAGTATGTAATTCCTCCCTGAAGCCTATTGACATACTGTCTTTTGTATGGTTCTACAATATATGTATAAGTTTATGGATTCAATACAATTTAATTAACCAATTAAACGTGGGCCACTTATTTATATTCAATGAACCACTAAATACATAAACGTTCGTGGTGCATTCCATCATTAGACATGAATGCAATTGTAATTTGTAATAGGTAATATATTTACCTGGTGGACCTGAATCACCCTTGTCGCCCTTTTCGGCATAGGGAGCTGGAAGTCCTGGTTCTCCCTTAGGACCTGAAACGGTCGAATCAAATATAAAACTTTCTATGTTTATAAGTTACACATTTTTATTTTGTCAAGGATTAAAAATCAAGATTATGTCATTAACGTAATTTTTATAATAATGTTTTAAGAATATATTTTTTAACTCACACCTAATAAGTGTAGCTATATTATATTTAATATATATTTATTATTTAGTATTTTACCTAAAGATCCTGGTATTCCATCCGAACCTGGTGCTCCTGGCAGTCCGTCCACTCCAGGTGGTCCAATGAAACCTATTATTATCATTATTATTATTAGTACTAATTTCAATATTTTAATTAAATTTTATGTTCTTTTAATACATTTTCAGTTTACATTTGTTTGGGAATAAGCTTGTAATTAATTATTAAAAGAGGATAGTTAGTATTGCAGTACAATGTAAAACTTACCAGGTGGTCCAATAGGTCCCATATCTCCTGGTGGACCTGGTAACTAGAAATAAGTCAAATTATTAATAAATATGGAATAAATTAGGAGTGATAAACTTTTTGAATATACATACTCCTGCAGGTCCGCCAGCTCCTGGCAATCCTGGTAATCCTGGTAGACCTTTGTCTCCTATATATATCAATACATATTATTTGTAATCATTTATTAAAAGATTTAAGGGGGAAATTGTTTCAAAAATGTAAAATATTACCTTTTTCGCCTTGTAAACCAGGTGTGCCGTCTCTACCGTGTTTTCCCAATAATCCTAAAAAATAAAATTAATAATACAGATTTTAAAATATTGCAATCGCTACTTAATTTACTACTTATTTATGTATTATTTCTTTTACCCGGTAATCCTTTTTCTCCCTTTACAGTAAATCCAGGCAAACCAGGTTGACCTTGATAACCGATTTCACCTACAACAAAACAGTATAATATTGAATATTTCTGTTGAGTATACTTAAATAGAAAGTACTTCAATTAGTATGACTTCACAGTATTACCTTTATCGCCTTTTGGTCCAGGAGGCCCAGCATAACCTCTTGGTCCCGCTATTCCCATGTCCCCTTTATCTCCTTGTAAACCTGGGAAGCCTTCGAGACCTATACAAAAACGATGAAATATATTGTATAAACAAATTTAGTTTGAACTTATTTCTTTATAATTTAATAGATGTTTAAAAATATTATTTGTTTATTTATTTTCCACTAACCGGGTGGTCCAGGCAAACCGGGCAGTCCACCTAAGCCAGGTGGACCGGGTTCTCCCTTATCACCCTTAATGTCAACTGCTGGTCCAGGTAATCCTCGGTCACCTAAAAGTGTTTACGTTGAAATTTAGTTTTATGACAACAAAAAATCGTTAGAATATACAGAATAAATATTACTATTTGCTTCATACAATAAAAATATTTGTTTAAATACCTTTATCTCCAATTGGTCCTGGTAACCCAATAGGTCCAGTCAATCCTAAAAGATAAATCGTTATTAATCTTATTCACAGAATTAAATAACATACCCTATCAATAGTTAAAATATGTTTGCATTTCTTACCAGGCAAACCCCTTTCTCCTTTCATGCCGTCCAATCCAGGTCTGCCAGGGTATCCAACATCTCCTTTATCACCTTTAATTCCTGGAACTCCCGGATATCTATAAACCAAAGCATTAATTTATTATTTTGCATTCTTAAAATTAGAACTTAAAAATCCCGACTTTAGACAGGCGTTTAAAAAAATATATAATTTAAAGTATTTATATATGTAACTATACCCTGGACTGCCTTCTAAACCATTCAACCCGTCCATTCCTGGTGGTCCCGGTATTCCCGGTAAACCTCGAGGACCCTAAAACATGGTAAGAATTTTAATACCAGCAAAATACAAATGAATCATGAACTAACTAAAATTAGTTCGGGAAAAAAATTATTATACTGTTCTATCATTAAGAAATTCGATTCTACTTACAATATCTCCTTTCATTCCTTGTACACCAGGTACTCCTGGCACTCCTTTATCTCCATCAACTCCAGGTTGTCCATTAAAACCAGGTGTACCGGCATCTCCCTAAATTGTTTACAGAGTAACATTAGCGATTTTATTTTAATAATAATATTTATTGTATTTAAGTGTTTGAAAATATATATTATTTGCTTTTAACAGAGATAATGATAATTAGGCCTGTACAGTGTACACTTTATTATTACTATTTTTATATGCATTTTAAACACACGTTAAGTGATTAGAATGTTGTCTTGTCTCTCCTCATTACAATCATATTTACCTTTGGTCCTGGCCATCCTTGCAAGCCAATACCAGGGAATCCCATATCTCCCTTTTCGCCAGATATACCTATACGTACATTTTTTTATGAGTGTCCGATACAATTTAAACAAATATTTTAAACATGTGATTTTCTTAATATCTCAATCGTTGTCTATTACAACTTACCATCGAGTCCTGGTAGGCCTTGTGGGCCTCTGAGACCAGATTCACCTGGTTCTCCCTTTTGTCCTTTTTCGGATACTGGACCAGGCTCTCCTTTAACTCCCTTTTAAATAATCATTTTGTAATTCAAATTAAAACGATACATTTTATGACAAATTAGAAATATCTTCGTACCTGGAATCCAATAGGACCTCGATCTCCTTTGGGTCCTGTTGGTCCACGTATTCCGAATGCCCCTGGTGGTCCTGGGAAACCAACGTCACCCTTATCACCTGTAAATATAAAAAAAAACAAAGATTATGTTAATTAGTTCTTAAACTTATATTTTTGATTTTTAAATCATACCTCGTTCTCCTGTTAACCCGGGTAGGCCTTCATTTCCTGAAATTCCAGGAAGGCCTGGTAGTCCGGAATCACCTTTGTCTCCCTTTTGTCCTAAATGCGAAAACATGATATTAATAAAATCCATCGAGTAAAGACTGTTGAAATAAAACAGTAAATTAATTGTGTGTTAATGTTCTAACGACGTTAGCCAATATCTTTATCAATTTATGAAAAATGTTTTTTTTTACCGGGTATTCCATCCATTCCGGGTGCTCCAGGTAAACCTTAAAATAAAGGAAGATTACAGATTACATTTTTTTAAAACAACTAAAATATTTCATGTGTTAAATATATTTGTATATTACCAGCGAAGCCTCTGTATCCAGGGAATCCTTTTGGACCTTCGGGACCCGGCAAACCGGTATCGCCTAATGAAGAAAAATAGGTTTGTTGTATAATTTAGATTATTTTAAATTTAAGGCTACTTTACCTTTAGGTCCTGGGAACCCTTGTAATCCTGGTCTTCCTGGCTCACCGGTCAATCCGGGTTCACCTAAATAATATGATTATTAGTTTTTTTTTCTCCAAAGATGAGTTTATAAAAAAAAGTGCTAATAATAACCTTTTTGGCCATCAGCTCCGGGTTGACCGTCAAATCCTTTTGGACCAATTGGTCCGATCGGTCCTAATATAATTGATTATTAATTAATAAATGTTTTGTTTAAACAAAACGTTAACGATTTGGCGTTTAAAGCTTCCAATACTTACCGGGTTCTCCTTTCGGTCCTAGTTGACCTGTTAAGCCTTCTAAACCGGGTTCACCTAAAAAATGTAGATTGCTATTTTAAAATAAATTCCTAAGATAAAAACCATCATTACTATACCTTGATCTCCCTTCACTCCTGGCAAACCAGGTAAACCTAAATATAAAAAGAAAATTATTGGTTAAACAATTTGTATTTAATCGACTCTATTTAATTATATTTGTATGTAGTTTTTTATCATAAGGAAATGAATATCAAGAACAAATTTACATATACATAATTTTTGGGTTAGAAAACCCAAGATAAAATCAAACTCAATAGAAGATAAACTTATGTATCTACTGAAAGTTTGGTTGAATGGGTTAATCAAATTACTTACCTGGTTCTCCAGACACGCCAGGTCTTCCGAACGGGCCTTGAAGTCCTAAAATAAAATAAGTATTTGTAGAAATAGGCAACTAGTGTAAATGAAATATTTAAAAATATAATTGCATTGGATATCATGTTTGAATTAAAATTATAGCATTGCATTTAAAATACGTACCTTTTTCTCCCTTTTCTCCCGAGGGACCGATCGATCCTTTTGGTCCCAAGACCGGTATTCCTGGTTCTCCTTTGACACCTAAAAAGTTAAAACATATTATTATTAAATGCATATTAAGTTCATGTAGAAACCAATATACTATTGATTTGATTTTTTTTTCAATAAAAAATTTTAAACGAACCTTTAGGCGCTGGCATTCCGGGGAATCCTCGTTCTCCGTCTCGTCCGGCTTCACCAGGGAAACCTGTTATCATTTATTCAACTTTTAGGAATTTAATTAAAATATATATGTTGTTATACATGTTTGTATCGAGTACAAACCCATTGATCCGGTATTTCCCTTTTCTCCTCGGGGTCCAGGGAGTCCTCTGGGTCCGACAGGTCCTGAACAAATACACACAAATCATGAACACTACTAGAAACACGGGTGTCTAAAATTGTATTATTTTTTACAAATTAATTAATACCTGGAATGCCTCTAGGACCAGGCGTTCCTGTTGGTCCCTATAATAATAATAAAAAATTAATATTTTTAATTGCATTTTGTAATAATTTGTAATTGTTAAAAAATATTAGGTTTCTGTCTACTCACAGATGGTCCGGTAAATCCTTTGTCTCCGGGTTCGCCTTTTAAAAAGAAATTCAATTAGTATTAATGTTTCAGTATTGAAAAATGCTGTAAATTAAATATAATTCGATTAACTACTAACCGTCAGTTCCAGGCGGACCGGGTTCACCTTTCTGTCCTTGGTTTCCAGGTTCACCCTTGACACCCTTGATAAGATCCATAACTTCACAGTGACCTTAAAAATCAAGTGAATACAATTTTATTACATTTATATTTGCGCCTATCAACTCATGATAAGGTAATAAAATAAATACAAAAATGTATGCAATAAACTTATATTTACTCACCTGGTTCTCCTTTAGATCCAATACGCCCAGGATCTCCTTTTAATCCATCCGCTCTGTAATCATTGGGTATAAATTATGAAATCGTTATAATTATTGGAAATTGACTTGGCTATTATTATTTTCTAAATGAAAAGAGTTATTACCCCGGTATTCCAGGATATCCTTGGTGTCCCTTGATACTAATACCCTTTTCGCCCTTTGTCCCTGGATGTCCCGGTTGACCTGTGGATATAAATCAACGGCTAGTTATAGGACAATTGTATTTACTTAGTTTATATTGTATTTTTAGATATTTACCTGGAATTCCTTCGGAACCTGGGAATCCGGCATCACCCTAAGTAAATGTAAAACAAAATTAATTAATTCACAGAGTAGGTAAATTTGAACAAAATGTCAACATACAACCCAGCGTTAACTTACTTTCTCACCAGGTTGACCAGGTGTTCCTTCTATGCCTTGTGGTCCTGTAGGTCCTTGAAGCCCAAGTGGACCTGGTAGTCCTTCTCTGTAATTTGATTTAAACAAAAACAACGTTATAAATCGACAACAGCCGTTAGATATCTCATTGTAATGCAGTTAAAACAACTTTTCTGAATGTCTGAACTTTCGTAAATAAATTCAATTTTCATATTTCACGTATGTTTAAAATTAATTTGAAAAATTGGAGATCGCTTAAGGTAGGTACTATACAGAATATTAAGTTATTTATATTTTAATCATTGCCTATATTTACCTTCCTGGATCTCCTCTCGGTCCAGCTTCTCCTTTCCTGTCTAGTACTATGTTCTCCGGCACTAAAGCAGGCTCCCCTTTGTCACCAGGCACTCCGGGTTCCCCGTTAATACCATCGGAGCCCTTTAATAGAATAAAAAAAATATATATTAACATTTTTTTTTATAATTACGAGGAAATTGTAAATACATATATACACTTACAGGTGCACCAATTTGACCTGGAGGTCCAATTAATCCATCAGCACCGGGTTCGCCCGGGAATCCTCTTTCGCCAGGTTGTCCTCGAGGTCCCTATGAAGAGATTTAAGTTTAAAAAAATGTACATATCAACTGACGATAACATATAGTATTGTAATTTATTTTTAATTTGTATGCAAGTATTAAGCTTACACGCATTATATTATAAATTAAATTGTTAACAGAAAAACAATAAAGAAGGGTAAATTATGTATAGGTTATCATTTTTTTACCATTATTCCTGGATTTCCATACAAGCCGGGTTCTCCTTTGCCTCCTTTGTCTCCTGGACGACAGCCCAAGCAACGGCCGCCAATGTCACCTTTGGGACCGTCTCGACCTATTGAACAAAATTAATGTTTACAATATCGATATGGTAAACCCGTTTTAATTTAAATTTTAATCTGTTTAATTCATTGTAAGGACAATGTTATGCAGTATATAACAGAAATAATTTTAACCATATTCTTCTTACCTGGGATACCGGGTATTCCGTGTCTACCGTCTGCTCCTTTTTCTCCTGGAGGTCCCATGACGCCCTGTGGTCCAACAATACCAGTAGGGGAATCACCTAAACACGATTTATGTAATTTGTTTGACTTTTTCTATCGACACTGGAAACTCTTGTGTGTCCAAAAAAATGCCATACCTGGAGATCCACGTTCACCTTGATAACCACGTTCGCCCTTATCTCCCCTTTCACCGTCTTTGCCGTCACGACCATCTAATCCTTTAGGTCCCTAAATAAACATATAGGTAAACAATTAAATACCAAAGCCTTTGATATTTGTACCAAGCGTTATTTTACTGATCTTTTTTTGTGTAATAATATAAGCAATTAAACATTATAATTATTTACTATAATCGAAGATCCCTTCTCCCCTGCAAAACCGCGTGGTCCTGGTGGTCCCTGTACGCCATTGTAACCTATTCCGAAACATTATTATTGTTGTTAATTTTGTTTGTATTAGTTCATACATAAAAGAAAACAACTTTAGAAAATTACTGCCCATTATAACTTAAAAGTTATAATATGCAATAATTAATCAACTTAAAATAGTAGCCATAAAAATTACCTCTTGGACCGGGTTCTCCGGGGAAACCTGCAACAGTAAATCAATTGATTTTTTGAGTTTTAAATCTATGCCAGTCGAACTACCTACCACCTCCCTCCCTCTTTTAAGTCTCAAAAGTGATTGTACGTACCTGTTAGACCAGGTTCTCCTTTTGCTCCTTTATCGCCAGCCAGTCCTTCAGGACCTGGCGATCCAGGTATTCCTAAACGACACGAATAGTCCATTAATTTATAAGCCACAGATTGAAAATATAAGTAATTTTGTTTTTACAAACCTTGACCTCCTGGGTAACCAATAGGTCCCGGAGGACCTTGAGTGCCATCAATGCCATCTAAACCTTTAGGGCCTAAACAAATAAAAATAGGTACTTAGCACATCATTTTAAGTTTAAGAAGACGTCGTATACGTATTTTTTTATTTCAAAAATAATTCGTTTGGATTTTAAATGTTACCAAGTCTTCGAATCAACATAGACACATAAGGAATATACCATTGGAAAAGTGATAATATGTTCTACAATGTTTTGTTGGAATTCGATTTTCATTACTGAAATTATTTTTTATCGTATGAGCAAATTAATATTACTATATATGATCGTTTTGGTAAGCTGTGATGCTCTCTTTTTGGTACTATTTTTAAAAATCAGATTCCAACCAAATTTCATTTAATTTTAAATCAATGTATTCCAAGTATTATTGTGAAAAAGCTTTTATTAAATTACTGTAGAAACAGTATTATAGTTACCAGGTTGTCCAGGATAACCTCGCGGTCCTTGAGGGCCTGGCGGACCTGGTCTACCTTTTCCGCCCTAAACATTAAACATGCGTTTTAGTTTTTACCGGTTAAACATTTAGTTTAATGCCAAAAAATATGTAATAAAATTTCAACTTACTCCCGGGGGTCCCGGAGGACCTCGCAGTCCAATTGCTCCTGCTGGGCCGTCTCTCCCTTAAAAATAAATTAGATTTCTTGGATAAAAAAAATTGTTAAACACAAGAAGAACATTTTATTGAAAGTGTTTTCATAGTTACTCACCTGGTTCTCCTTTAAGTCCAGACCGACCTGGTAATCCGGGCAATCCTTCACTTCCTCTGTCACCTATATTATATTAAACATGATGTTTTGAAATTCGTCGTTATTTTTAAATTATTTACAGTTTCTTTAGGGCCTTATTACCTTTCAAACCAACCGGTCCAGGTGGTCCTGGATATCCATCTCGACCCTAAAACAAAATACCACGACTCAGTTAAAGTTTTTAAGAGTTCATAGATAAAAATTCATACAGCATACACTAAGCATATATATTACAAAATCAAGCTTACCCTTATACCGGGTGGTCCTTGCAACCCCTTTTCTCCTTTAACTCCAACGTCCCCTGATTGTAACATAAGTTTATGAGTATATACAAGTTTAAGTATAACATTTTTTTCTTTTGAATTAAATTTTTACCTGGTATTCCTGGGTCACCGATCAGTCCCGGTTCTCCTTTAAGACCAGGTGGTCCAGGTTCGCCCTATAAACGAAACAACACGTTGTGTGATGTGATTTGATGGCGATACTATAATGTTGCTAACTAAAGCAAGTTAATTTATCATGAAACTTACCGAATAGCCTTTTTCGCCGGGTTCGCCTTTGGGTCCGACTACTGTACCGTTAGCTGGATCAAAATATGACACGGGAGGTCCAGGGGGACCACGTTCTCCCTTAAAACCTTTATCTCCTTTTTGGCCTTCGTAAGCAATTCCCATGTTTCCTAAAAATGTCAGAGAAAGAATACACTTTCTATTCTTTAGAAATTGTGTAAATGATAAAACTATTATATATGTACTTAAAATTAAGAAATATTAAATAGGTTTTATTTTTGAAAACTTTTTCGTTAAAAAAAACTCGATAATAAATGTATATTAATTTTCATTTAGTTACTAAATTATTCACTGAATAGTGTTGAAATGATTCAAATTAACAAGCAATGATTTCTGATTAAAGTTGCATCAAATTATATGTTATATGTTTATATTATTTAAATGACTCGTCCAAAAATAATACACACCTTTCTCTCCTTTTGGTCCAACAAAACCTCTATTTCCCTGTAAACAATACATTTTTTTTTTTTAATTTAATGTTTTAACTAAATGCACAAATGCAAAATCTGATACCTTCAATCCCACATCACCTTGTGGTCCTAGCGGTCCTATTGGCCCTGGGCTACCGGGACTTCCGGGTATACCTGGAATGAAGTAAAAAAACACAATTTCCTTATTAAAAAACGATTTTCAACTAAAAAATGACTTTGTATTTTTCAGTATTAATTGTATTGCTATCTTTTTCATATTAAATTATACCCTACTAAACCAAGATAAAATATTTTTCTAAATCAAAAATTGGCTGTTATAATAAAGTTATAGTTTTAAAAAAAAATTAGTTTAATTTAATAGTTATTCTGTATTCTTATTTTAATATCATTTCGATTTAAAAAAAAAACATAATCAGGTTTATACCTTGAATACCATCCAAACCGGGTTCTCCCTTTTGTCCTTTGTTGTTTATAGATGTATGAGCGGGTTCTCCTTTGAGACCTGTACAAAACAAAGTGTTGAAGGTTATTGGCAGTTCAACATTAGTCTTTGGGTCTATATCTCTTTACATTTATGCATACTAACCTTTTTCTCCCGGGATACCGGAATACCCGCGGGGGCCCGGTGGGCCTTCTAATCCGGGAAGACCTGGTTTACCCTGTTAAAATGTAAAATAATTGTTTGATGAAAATGAGTACACAGCTAGAACAAAGTTAGTAGTTATATGAAATCGATCGAGACGGTAACACAGGGATGGACATTATTTGAAAAACAGGTATTTAGTGTTTAATTTTTGAAAAATATTGTACTTTGTCTATCCCTGGTCGTAAAAGATAAAGAGTTGTGTAGTATAATTACATCAGTTCCGTTACAACCGTCTAGACCTGGAATACCTGGCAATCCTGCTGGTCCTATTTGTCCCGGTATACCATTGATACCTAAAAATTATATTGAGTCTCATTAATCACGTTTACATTGAAACCGAAAAGTTTTTAGTAGAAATAATGATACAAATATAATTAAATAACGTCTTCTCTATATTTTGTATAGTTTTTTTATTCACCTGGGAATCCTGGCATGCCCATTTTGCCCTGAAAATCAAAACCAGAACTTTAAATAAAATATTGTTTATTTAAATATTATTTTTCGTTTATGAAGTCCTGTAGACTTTAGTATAGTCATACTACTTACTCTATCTCCCTTAGGACCACGTGGCCCTAAAGGACCGATGTCTCCCTTGTCTCCCATAGGACCTGAAAAATTAAATCAAGAACATTGAACATCCAGAAATTAGACCGTTACTGCATTTAATTGTATTACCTGGAAGTCCTTCGATTCCTTGGAATCCCAACATTCCTGGAGGGCCCGGTAATCCGGGTGTACCTGGAGGTCCCTAGAACATTAAATGCGAATTCAGTCAAGGAGCCGTTTCAATAAAACTATATTATGATCGTTTATTTAACGTACTCTGCTTCCTTTTTCCGCAAAACATTTTGGTATGCAGTTGGACGAATTTCCTCTTTGATTGGAAACACCGTACCGGTTTTCGCTGTTAAATCTTTTAACATCCTGTTCTGAATACGGGTCGTATACGTTAGTTTGGTTTGTATCATACACATTTGGAGCCCATTGCTAGACAACGAAGAAAGTAATAAATAGCCTTAAGAGATAATAATCAAGAACAATTTTGAGCCACACAGGCTGCAAACACTAATATCAGTACATTGACGTTTATTCAACATACAGTGGAAATTTTAATTAAAAAAAAGAGTGTATGAATATTTATATATATATTGCTTTTCTTTTCAGTTACAATGGAATCTATCAAAATATTGGTGTTATTCTTAAGTGCCAAAAGATACATAGGCGTAAAAAAACAATGCGTATATTTCCAACGCGTTACTCTACATAATTCTTAGTAAATCACTGATTTTATGGACTATAATTGTAAAAATGAGGAAAATAATTTACGTTTCAATTTGCTTTAAAACCGAATAAAAAAATTCTCAAAGTCTCGCTAATTGTCCTCTGTTGGAAGCCATATGCTTTCAAATAAAAACAAAATTATAAAACAAATCTGATTTTCACTTTAGGAGGTAATAACCCTAATGCTGTAAGATATTTGTTGAGTAAAAAACCTTTCTTTTAGGTTAAGATGAGTATTTTGGAATTGTGTAATTGAACTATGTGATACATACAGAGTGATTATTTTATCGTGAACCACTCAATATTTCATAGGGTGTAATTAAGAATTTAACTTTTTCTTTTCATAGTGTTTTTGTACAATGTAATCTCAATTCTTCACAATTTTTTTGTTTTTACCCCCCTTCCAACTTAGTTTCTGTATTAGCAACTTTTGGAACTTAAATAGTAACGCAAACTTTCATTAACTTTTTAAATTGAGAGTAATGAACAAAAAAATTTGATTGGTCGATAACCAGTTTTGGATAACCATTTTTGAAGGTAAAAATGTTTAGGGTAGAAGGAAAGGTGGAGTGAAGTGTTATTTTTATCTGTGTGCACTCCCCGTTCCATCCTAACATTTAAACTCTTATTACTTTAAAAATATTTGTTCAAAACTCGTTATCAACTAGTCAAAATGTTTAGTACATTATTTTCAAGTTAATGAAATGTATGAGTTACCATTTAAGTCTTTAAAAGTTGGCATAAGAATAATTAGTTTCGGAGGGGGTAGGAACACAAAAATTTGTGGAATATTGAGATCACATTATATAAAAATACTACAAAAAAAAATTATTAATTAAACCACCGAGATATTGAGTGGTTCACGATAAAATGATTCCTCTGTCTAGTGTATATAGTCCAGAATGTTTTATATAAAAATAATAAATAAGTAAAGACTAAATAGTATTGATATGGTAGTGTCGGTTTGGCGATTTGTTCGAATAATATTAATTGTATGTAATAAATCATTATTGAAAGGTAATCGGATTGAAAATATAAAAATCTCGTTAAGAAAAACCTATTTTAATGATTTTATAATTGTTCTAGGTAATTTGCTTAAAGATAAGCGCTTAAAAGATGATAAGTACGAAGACGATAGGTTGCGTTATTGAACAAAATTAAAATTTTTGTACACTTGTGTTTGATTGATTTTCAGCATTTTTATTTTTCATTTATTAACTGTCAAAATATACTTTTACATTAGAATAGAGTCACGTATGATTAAAAAACAGTTCAAGTAAATTTGTGAAGAACCAGTTAGTTGGAGTAAGTACTTAAGGTGTTAATAAAGAAGAACATTATTGTGTTATTGAGGGCCAATGCACTTGGCCACGTTAAACATTCGATTGGTTATTATAATTATAATTTTTTTATCATAAAAACTTGGTTCGAAAATGGCACAGTATTTTAACAGGCGAGCGGTGGCGATCATTTACATCCGTTTTGGTCATTGCCACGTGGGTAGGAAGCTTTATCTCATTTCCAACATATAGCGTGCATACATTATGATGTGCTGTGAACTTTTGTAACTACTACGATTTACATATTTATTACATTATAGAAAATCATCGAAAGAGATATCGGCTCATTGATTATTTTTATAATAATTACGGCGCGTCCATTGACATTGTAAAAACAAATGAAATCCATTTTTATGAGCATAATAGTGAATGCTTTTACCAATAATACCTATATTATAGGTACTAGTTTGTCTCTCCAAAGTGCATCTACATTTTAAAAAGTAGGTAAAACAAAAATATGACGTTAGAGTTTAAGCGGACCAGAGGTAAACCCAAAAAGCCGAATAGGAACGAAATCACCAAATTTTTAAAAAAATAAAAAATCAGATCGTGTGAGGTATAACATGTATGCAACACACTAGGCTAGGCGTTTTTCCATTTTCATATGATAAATAAATTGTATGTTTGGCCTTTTGACCCCTTGGCTGTCTTTCCTGCTAGATCGTTATGTACAGTACAAATATCATAACACGTTCACGGTGTGTCCTACTAAATACACCTTCATTCATAATATTCGGTAGGTTTATCGCCGGGTCGAATAACACACCGTTTTCACTCATTCTGGCTCCGACCGGTTTAATAGGCGGAGCAAAGGCTTGTTAGATTATATACTACTAATAATTTCAGTAGAGATGCGAAAAACGCCTATTTATTTATACACATACTTTTAGTACTATACACGGAAGGCAAAGATAATTATATCTATAACATAGATAAAATAGATATTATAATCTATTTTAAAGTAAAATACATTTTTATCTTTTTCGGTTTCTCGAATAGCTCTCTGGTTTCTTCTAAGCTACTCCCTAGCGCCAAAAAGTTAGGGAAAAAAATCCAAAAGCAGTAATATGAATTGTCATTACTAAATTTAATTTAACTTCAAAGGGATGGCAAAGGGGTGGAATTTCACTATACAAATTCTGTGCTTAGCAAACCTAGCGTTGTGGAGGAAAAAAACATTGCGTGGTCACACCGAAATTAGAAGGTTCTTTAAAAAATAATATATTTTCAATTGAAGGTGCCAATGTAATGTAAAAGCGTTATAAATTAGATAGGGTGAGGATAAAATCTAAGTGGCAAAAAAAATATGTATTTAATAATAATATTTAATTCTAAAACACTTACCGAGGTCGTCGACGAAAAATAGCAGACGAACAAAGCGAAAAGCCTGGAAGAAAATGAAAAAAAAAAATGTACTTAAAGTATTAAAAAAAAAAAATACACATAATTATTAAGCATATTTTAAATAACACATAAAATGAATAAATTATATGTATATTTTTTTTTTGGTCGCAAGTTAAACGTTCAAGATCCGGTCGATCGGACGTTGTACACCTAAGTATATTTTGTTTTGTATTTATTATATATTTTTTATTATGGTTATTTTTTTTTGGAAATTTAATTGGAAAATTGATGGAACTTACCGCCAATGGAGCAGTCTAAGCCGCGGCATGGCAGCCACAATAGCGGTGATACCCTGCACTATTTTACTGTAACATTAGCGCGGCGCAACATTACTTTTCACGCCACGCGGAACACGGAGTTTTCGTGACGTTTGTGGGCAACACTATGCCTCGGTTGCCGGCAACATGGGCGATAGGCCTTTGTAACTTGGACGTCTAATCTCACTCAGCGTCCGGCACAGCAACCGATTCGCTCTCAAGCGGCCGTCGCTGGTTTCACTTGGATTTGACCAAATCGGTTTTTTAGTATTTTTTTTAACAAATTTTTTATCTCAAACCCGAAGCTATGAATTATGAAATTTGTGTCCAGTTTGCGCGATTTGGGTAATGGTTTTCGTGTTTTGACTCATAAGCAGGAAATTAAAACGATAACGAAACTCGGTGAACAAGTTTAAAACGTCTTCAAAACCAGAACCCGAAAAAAATTAAAACGTCTTCAAACCCGATAAATACCAAAAGCTTTTAGTATTTTGAAATTAAAAATAAAAACATTTTTCTGGTCCAAAGACAGTACCTCAAATTAATTGTAAAGTGATTTATTTGTCATAAGCTTAAGATTACACTAACCTAAATTCCTATACTAATGCATAATGTTTTTAACTTTCCCCAACCCTTCCAACATCTTTAACTCTTGTTCCGTTTTTATCATCTAGCTAATCTTAATTTAATCTAGCTTGAATCCAATATTGACTAACAATTATTATTCAACAATGCCTACACAAAAACAGCTTTCCGTCGATACTAAAATGTAAAACCTTTTGTTTTTGCTTTACGGCAATCTGGTCGACGAGTTGAGGACTTAATATGTTTCACACCAGTTTTTTTGACGAAATAAAAATGAAATTTTCGAGTTTTTTTTTAAATTTTTTCCTTTAGTAGAATTGATTTTTTATTCCTAATCGACCCGTTGGTTTCGCTGACGTTGGCCGTGCCCCCCGGCAACCGGTCCGGCCGATAGTTCACAGTTTCCCGGCGAGGCGTTGGCTGATAAAACGTGGCGAGTATACCGTTCTAGTGACGTCGCCGCCGGCCACCAAAAATATACAGTGATCCACAGGGTCGGCGATTGATCATGGTGCCCACCACGTGGTGTGCCGCAGCAGCAGCTTTGTAGCCAGCCACCGTCCATATTGTTTTATCGTACGTTTCTCACTACTTTATTATTATTATAATATATTTAAAATAAAAATCATATTTTTTTTATCAAAAAAAAACATTTTATTCTTCAAATGAAATCACCATAATTTTAAAACATTTTTTTTTTCATATGTTTTTTGGCGGCGCAGACAATAAAAAAAAACCACTAACGCCCGCGAGTGTGTGCGTGATGGTGCACGGCCGCGGAAACCTTTGGCGGTCCGCCGTGGTCGTTTTTCTACTCACTTGTCTGCTTTTAGTCCGGGAAACGCAACAGGCGGTAAGTACAAACGCTATGCGGTTGATAGAAATCACTCAAACGTTCACTGCACCTCCCCTTTCCCCGGGCCCCTCTGCAGAGGAACAGACAAAATTGTATCACTTTTAACGAAAAAATTATAGCATTTATTTTATTTTCCAAAAACGTATTATGTATACAAGTTACAACGAATGTTAGTCTAATGCGGGCAGTTGGGCCTTTCATTATAGTATTATATAAATCTCGGCCAAATGTGCTAGCCAATTTGATCTTTTAGGCAATACCGGATTAATGGCCACTTTACTTATAAAAAGCTTATATATCCCTAATATAAGCTAATATTAAATAATATTTACAATTTTACTTTTGTGTGAAAAAGCATTAATCACTTATAACCGTTGTGACTAGTTTAGTTTTAAAATTAAGCATAGAAAAGACTTAAAAGTTCTAAAAGGTTAGGTTTAGCCAAACTAGTGAAAACAGCCATTTAACTTATTGAAAAAATTATTAATTTATTTTAGTTTTGTACATGAAATCAGTAGTTTATGATTATTATAAAAATTGATTCATACTGTTCACAATATATTACATAGCATAAATCAATAGTGTAAAAAAAACGCACTTTGATCTACTCCATTTTTATGAATACTCACACGTTAAGCGCATATAAAATCAATAGTCGAGAATATTTTTTTTTTTTTGTTTATTTTAAGGCCTTTTCAAGGGTTTATGGCTTTAAAATTACTTTAAATCTATTAAAAACACCAAATTATAACTTCTATCCTTTTTTCATTTGTTATGATTTATACATACAACTTTTTTGGCGGTGATAATCAGTTACTAAGTATATTAAAATAAGCTTTGAGTCTGAATTTCAGAAATCCATAAGCGATCAGGCCGTTTTAATAGAAATATATAGTGTAGAATCAAATCTAAGTATATTATTCGGATGCAAGTCTAGCTTTTTTAAAGCTAGTTTTTTTTTAGCTTTTGAAAAAAATCTCTTGCAGTTTCTTTTCGACTCTTATTATGTTAATTAATGTGTGTACATGTTTCCTTAAAGAGTTATTAAAGTAAATTAACTAACATTGTTGTTAATAAATTTGGTAATAATGATTTTTTTAATACTGCCAAATATTGATATTTGTTTTAGCCAATCGATATGGAACCTCGAAACCTTAATCAACATTTTTTTAATTTAAATTTCAATAAATTATTGACAAAAATGTATTGTGTACATTTTGATGAAAAAGAAATAGAATTTATTGATAAGACTAAATTAATAATAATACTCATTTTATCTGGGGCCAGTAAAAACTGTAATAAAAGGTATACACCTAGTAAGATTACATGCGTAGTTTAACTATATGAGTGTATATTAATTCATATATCAAAAATGTATTCATATATACTATTGAATATCATTGTTAATTCATATTAGGTTTTTAAATATGTTATGACTTTTTCAGTCTTATCATAACTTTTGTGTTAAATCAATTCAAAGGGGGTTTGCTTAAGTAATTACTCAAAAAAAGTTTGCTTAAAGGTGCTATATGTAAATTGCCAACTTAATAAAATTAAAACGAATATACAAATAAGACTTGAATTAAAAATATCAAAGATTCGTATTATATTACAACCTAATGTAGAGAGATGTCTTGACAAAATTATTCTTCATTCATACTTTGTCTCTAACGTACTAGGGGTAGGCTAACTTCATATTTTTCCACTAAACATAATCGCCTTTAATTATTTTTTTCCCATGTAAGAACTAGTCGTTATAATTCGAGATGGAATATGTGTTGTTAATGACTATCTCAGAATTAAAAGTTAAGCATTTGTATCGAATGACGAAAGTACCATTCACATGTAAGCATTATTTTCTTTAAATAATTTTCACAAAAATCAAATCAATGTAATGTAATATGGGTAGCTGTAAATGTATTTTTTTTTTATTTACAAATTGTCTATCCATTGGATGTATATTATTTAATCGTTAAATGTTAGTACGCCATTAAAAAGGGTTATAGTGCCCACACTAGCAGTTATATCCGTTTCGTTTGATAAGTCATGATTAAATATAATATTATGAAAGAACAAAAAAAAAAAAAAAAATGAACTGTATATATTTATGAAACCGTTGTCTGGTAGTCAGCATTTTTTTTCTCTTTGTAAGACGGCCTTTATCTCACGTAAGGTTATGTACCGATTGATTAAAAAAAATTAAATAAAGGCTGGATATTCGTTATCCGGTCGATGGGAACAATAACATGTAATGTGTCGGCCTAATTAACGGCCACACAATTATGATATTGCGTAACATTCAAAATAATTCATAGTCGTTATTATCGATTTGCAGTGGTTGAATATGATAGATAACATTATAGCGTTCTATAAAGTTAAGTAATTCTAGAATAATGATAATTGTATTTTTCATTAATAAAAACACATTAATACATATGTATATATATGTATATATATAAATAATAGTTGTACTGCTGTGAAATGTGAATGTACCTATATTCGGGGAAACTATTCTGTTTCCTGTATAGGCCGTGGTTGTTATCGAAAAAACACATCATTAACTAACATGATCTAATTACTTAAATGTATTAAAAATGCTGTGATGCAAACTTGAGAAGGAGTTATTTTTTTTTTATTTGTATTTTAATGATTAATATCATAATAGTTTTTACACGTTCGAAACACATTCGCCTATGTGTTCATTCCGATGGATTTGCAAAAATCAAAAATCGTTTGCTAATTAGACGGCCATTTTATTGATAGCTACTAATATAAAAAATATAGGTTACGATCGGTATTTTAGTAGAATTAGCTTAAACACAAAAAATGATATTGCACTGAATATTAATCGACTTTTTTATTGGCGTGAATAGTACTAAAATCTTTGGACATCAATACTCCTTCAGGCAGCTTCTTCTACTCCCTACCTTGCGAATATTTATTTGTTAGTTTTGCTTATTTGTTAAAACATTTAATATTTGGATGGATAAAAGAATGGAGTAAAAAAAGCCTTTTTTCTAACAAAATTATAAAATAACTGAGTAAATACGAAAGCAATTTTTAAGTACAAAATGGCAATAAATAAGGCAGTTTTTACTAAACAATATTCATAATACTATATATACTTCTTTACGTCACGACAAGAACATGTCATTATATTTATCTCTATTAGGTTTGACTAAATAAAAAATGATATAAATAAATAGTTTTCTGTAGAAATATCTACTCGATTCGACATATATTCTTAAGTTTCAAATTGAGTTATTCAAAACGTTTACATTTATATAATTATATATTCAGGATACTTCTTCTTTTGAAAACTTGTCGTCCATTTCTAGTATTTGTATAACTAAAATATAAAAAAACCGATAAACGAAGTTCCTTTGGATCAGCCGCCATTTTTTTACAACTAGGTATTTATTAATTTAACATAATAAATTGTTTTAAGATAATACAGTTATTTTAATTGGCAAAGTTTATTTGTTTACGGGAAACATGATGTCCCTTGTTATAATAATAGGCACTTCAGTACAAATAAACTAACAATAAGTAAAAACTGTACAGATAACATCAGTTTCCTGTTTAACCTTTTGACTTATTTTAAAATTATTATTGGATTCTGTTTTTTTTAACTCTTAGGTAAATTTTGTTATTGAAGTCATGATTGATGCAATATTTCTTTTTCTTCTTATCGTACAGTAATTAATGCTCATAAGTTATAAGTTTAATAATCGTCTGTGGTCTGACTAAGATTATAAAAAGATAAGTCTGCAAGTTATTTTAGGTATATTTAATTTGGAAAAACTTTTGTAATTGAAAATAAAAAAAAATCGAATGTTGTGTAATGTACTAATAGGAGAGTCTTAAATCACTTGACTTCAAATGTTAATTGTGTACCAAAATGATAAGCTTTTATTGTAAGTTTGTTTGTTTTCGACTTACATTATTTTTTATAGGGTTATCTTAATAAAATTAGTACACAAGCCAACGACTTTAATGCATCTGAAGACAACAGCTATTAGTTTAAAGACACGCAAGTGAAATAGATACATTTTTATATCTATGTAGAGTTTATAAGTGAAAACCATGCTTAATATGTGCATTGCATTACAATTTGTTTACCAAGATATAAGTTATACATAGTGTATCTTTATTCGTATTAACAAAGCTATGCGTTTCAGAAACTTCTACTTTCAACGAAACTGCTAATCTTATTTTAGTAGAAAAAAAAATGATATTAAAGTCTCATTGACGCCGCGCCGCCATAGTATTATTAATTTATATGTGTTTTAATAAAAAAATCATATTTCTAATCAAATTAGTTGTTTTTAGTTATAGAACAAAACTAGGTTGGACACTTAATGGTTTTGTTTATTTGAATAAAAGAGTGACCTTATTATTATTCTTGTTAATGTGTATTGTTTTTCTTGTGATAGGCTACAAGGAAAATTAATTGAACTTGATCTGTACATCTTCTTGCGTTATGAAACTTTTAGGTGTTTTGGTAATAGATTTCAAAATATCATAGATATAAATATGTAAATAGCATAGGCCATAAAGTAACACGAGTAGCCGTTTTATAACTTACTAATGTTAATAAATTGAAGCGCAAAAGGTTCATATTTTGCAGTACGAATGTTTTTAATAATAAAAATACTGTGAAATAAATTTCAAAACTAGTTTGCCTGTTTATGTTATCGATTCAGTAAAGTTATACAAAATATAATATGTTAGTAATTATTGTATGTTATTTACTACTATTTATTTGTTCATGCTTATATATTAAATATTTTTGATTTTATTTGTCGTATTAAATATGTGGAGCTAATAAAAAAGTATTTCGATTTTTGTTGGTGGTCACTGGTCACGATGTTAAATATCTACCTTTTGCGTATCATTCTACAGGCGGAACGGTCGCTCTATATTACCTACTCTATTGTGAATAGTAACCACTATTTATAGTTACAATCCTCTTATAATTATAACTCTACTCGTCCAAAGGGGAATGAATATTATTCTTTAGAGAAGTGTTGATTGTAGTGCATTTTAGATTTGTACATTTAACTGTGCACAATTCCAGTATGACTTGGTCATAGATTATGTATCAATATAATATTATAGTTACAAAAGCAATTAATAAAAAAAAAAAAATTATAGTCCTATAATAGGTTTTCCATATGGAACTGGCGTTTAGGAAACCTATCATAAAACTAACTAGGAATCTCGTTCAGGTATTTTAAATTGGGAGTTTTTATGTTGTTTTTAGGGACCGTACATCGTATATCGTGCAGTCCTTATTGCTACAATTTTAAGGGAGGGAAAAATTTAAGTAAATAAAAAGGGACCTATGATTTTGAACATTGGACAATTATTGGTTCTGAAATAAGAAACCTTGGGGAGTTTGTGATTTTTGCATAGTAGTTGTAAGCGGTATTTATTAGGGTGGTATCTAATATAAGTGCTATTAAGGTCGTTGCTTGCGCTCAACGTTCATCACTTTCAGAAATTGTACAAAAACCAAATATTGCACAATGTACGTTTTGTTCGCCCGGATATTGAATTTTTGCAGTCAGTTATCGAGTCTCTTCCTGTGTGAACAGTTAAAAAGGTCTTCGACGAGTTAAAATAAAAAATTAATAGCAATGAAATAATTTGAATTGCATTTCCGGACGCGCGTGTATCCTTGGCACGTGCGCAAACCCCACATCGGAAGTGTGCACAGTGTCGGCTCGGACAAAAAAGACCTCGAGTTCTGTGATGATTGTTGGTCACTTATCTGGACATCCGGAAATCCTTAAGGCGTGGGAGGCGATTGGTGTGGACTCGGCTCGTGTAATTATGGGCAAAGGAGCCCTGTAATCTTATCGGACCGCACCGGCTCCCGGACGTCCGCGAGATAACACTGTCGAAGGGTATACTTGGACAGCAACAGTTGCTTTACGATATGTTATAATATGACCACGCGATGATAACGCTACAGCTGACAACCGTTTTTTACTAGCCGGATAGATACGCGTTTCCATTTATAAGATTCCTCCATCGGGTCAACGCACCTGACCCGCCAGTCCCGGAATAATCCATAAAACGCACAATGGGGAAACAAAAACTCCTATTATATTGTATTACTTTTTGCAGGCTTGCAGAGGATGTACTAACCCGTTCAAATGCGATTGCAAAGGCATAGTCGGCGAACCAGGCGACAAGGGTGTATTCGGTCTACAGGGAACGGAAGGAGCTCCCGGTGACACAGGTTAAACAATTATTTTTGTTCATAACCAAATCTGCATGGCTCTAAGAGCGATGTTCTCCTTTTTACGTTAAAATTTCTCAACCAATATTCTCTAATTTCTCTACTCTCAAACTTCCTCTTAAATAGAGCTTATTTATGCTTTATGGTTAAAATATCTAAAATATATATATGTTTTTAATTGCACTTAAAATAATGAGAGTGAATCTGTTCTTCATTTTTAAATGCGTTAGTTATTTTTTTTTATTAAGTGGATTCCATGCGGTCTGTTTTTAAGGGGTTTGTATAGGCAATATTTAAGAAAAAATAGGTTTTTAATAAATGTCGATCATGTCAATAATTTTACCTATTCATTTGTATAAGCTACAAGGTATTATTTTTAATTTAAATAATTTTTCCTATGAGTAAACGCCATTTTGGTTTGTTTTAGAGCAAAAAGTCAGACAAAATTTTGACTTTACATAGAATGGTCCAATTTCAAGTCTGTTAAGTGATTCAAGTACTTTGGCTACTTTACTGAGCTATGTAGGAAGCTGATTTTAATTTAAAAATTTCATTTTATTGTAAATAAATAAATGAAATTTGCAATTGTTCAATACTAAAACTCAATTTTTTTACAAAAAAAAAAATCAAAAATCTGTTTCTGACTTTTTTCTAAAACATAAAAAATAGACCGCATACTATGCCCTTAAAGATGTTTATTGTTTAACTACCAACCTACTGACAAATAGAAACAGCCAAATTTCAAACTTACACGTGCCATTATCACAAATCCATTACTGGCATCTGCTAACTGTTTTTAACAATATCATCACGTTATCTAAGACGTGCTACAACAAAATACATTTTTTTTCTTAATGCTAGAATTTTTCAAATTACATAATTACCTATTTGATTAATATAGTTTGGACTTATTAGGTTGTATAATATACCTCTACCGACACAATAATAATGGGTTACGAATAATTTGGCCTATCGGCCTTCGTTTCGACATCTAAGCGGTCCTATTAAAAAAAACTCACCTTGATACCTTTGATCGCAATATATTTGGTACTGAAAAATGAAACAACTACGCACTACAGCAACTAACGTTGGACGAAAAAAGCTGACTTTTGTATTACTGGTTTCAAACCGATAATCATAACGCGTGTAATGCAAAGGTAAAAAACAAATTTAGTAATACTATTCGTATACGTGTGGTTTGACCTCAATTTATACTGCAGTTAACACTGTTTTTATTATTTTAATTAACACGAGTTTTCTAGAACTATTAACGGCTTTATTTTAAAGGATATAAAAACCAATATTTAACCAAGTTTTAATAAAAGACATTACATATAGGAAATACTAGATCAAATAAAGGGTTTAATTTATTTTGTACAGGTTAATTTATATTGGTTTTCAAGTACAATATTTTATATCTTAGAACTATGGAAAAATCCACATGAATTAGGAGATATGCATTTTTTAAGTTCCATGTTGTATATTGTATACAATATTAGTCGAGTAACTGACACATTTAATAAAAAAATATTCAGCTACCTCAGTGTATCCGGTCACATGACGGCGGCTTGGCAATTTTTTTTATAGTTACCAATTAGATACACTTCAAGTTTTTTTTGGCTTAAAATTCCGACAAAATAGAAAAAAACTTTGTGGGGGGCATGGTTAAACATATTATTTTTTTTATAATTGTTTTCCGTCTAACGGAAATATATTTGAATAATACAAAAAAACATAATTGTACCGGCTATTTATTAGAAAATTAATGCATAATAATTAAATTTAATGTTTGGAAAATCTTTTGATTTAAAAGGAATCGAATTTATTTTTGTCCAATTTTAAACAGGAAGAAATACATTTTGGTTTTCTTTACAAGACAAAAGTTAAAAAGGGGACTTTTTTAGGATACCTGGAAATTCCATAATCGGCAAGGATTCCTAAGCCACTTCAAAATAATTCAACAAAATTGACAAACCAGTAACGATGTTGATAACATCCAGCAAGTTATATTGGCTGTAGAATTTTAGAAATGTATGATCATTGTAACTTTTATTGGAAAAGTTTATAATATTCGGAATGAATATCTTTTGAAAAAAATTGATATTGGTATTTTGTTTTTCATAATTAATTGTAATATGTTACGATTTGTTTTTCAAAATATTTTTTTATAATTATCATTTCCAACACTAACATTCATGTAAAAAATCAGCCTACTGCTCATCTGCAAGTGTAGTTATATAAACTTTAGTTTATATTAATAGCTATTAACACAATTTAAATAAACAAAACAAAAATATTTTTTTGAAGGCTGAGTCAACTTGGAACCTTTTAAAAAATTACTGATCAGTACTAGAATGACAAAATTATATATATATATTATTATATTTTGCCAAACTATTTATCAAGTCTGACAAATTGATTAAGTACCCTAACATTTTTGAAACATGTGTAATCAGATGACATATTTTAATTTATATTTTATTTACTTCATTACAGGACCCGATGGACCTTTTGGCCCAAAAGGTGAAAAAGGATCGCTTGGCGATTGGGGCGATATTGGTCCTAAAGGATTTCGGGTAAATAGTATTAGCTATTTTTCACCAATGAATATTAATTAGTTAATTTTTATATCTTTGAATTATTGTTGTTTGAAGCCAAACACAAGTAGATTACAAACGTATATTCTAGGACAATAGGCTGAGGCTGAGGTAGGTGAGTAGAGCTAATTAGAGTTGTGTGTTAAAATGATCACTTTTTTCCTAGTGTAAAAGAAAACTGGCTAGTGAAATACAAATTTGTGAAAAAATGAGATCACATTGTATAAAACCACTATAAAAAATAAAAAAACTAATTATTAACTAAACCCAATGAGATATTGAGTGGCCCATAATAAAAAAAATCACCCTGTATACATGGCAAAAAAAAAAAACGATTTAAGGTAGCATTATTTTATAGAAATTAAAACCTGACGCACGTTTATTATTTTTTTTTATTTTACTAATCATTTTTCATCATATATTTTTTTATAAAACTAAATTATGTAACTATAATACATAAACTATACCTACTTTATTTACAAAAATCCAATGCAACTCACTTGATTTTAGAAAACCCACAAACATCGACTCTCAGTCAAGTTTGAGTCTGAGTTTGAGTGGTAATCTTTACACAAATTTACACAATGTTTTTCAAAACATCTATCGTTCAAGGTGTTTTTCTTGCACACTGCAAAAGCTCCGTGAAATTTAATAAAAGCACCACAGAACGCAACAATTTTAAAAAAAACAAGATAAAAACACTAGTCTAGTGGGTCTAGAGCAAGAATCGGCTATCTCCACTTTTTATTAAAAATTGTTTTTTCATGGAAAAATGGTTTACATTTTTATTTTGGTTAACACTGAGGGGCAGGCTAGGTTAACATGGCGGCGATAACTCAACTATAGTGGCGCAGCTACGGTGGCGGTCTACCCCGGACTGCAGATCAATAATCGAGGGGCTGTACAGCATCAGCTATGGCAGCGGTTCACCCCAGATGACAGATCAATAATTTGGGTGGCGTGCCCTCAGCTCTATTGTCCCAGAACATACGTCTGTAATCTACTGACACAAATTAAAATCAAAATACTCTTTTCAACTATCATGTTCAAGTAAGTCGAATCGAAAACGGATTTTTTTAATTTACCAAATATTTTACAGGGCGAATCCGGCTTGACCGGATTAACTGGAATTGCTGGTGTACCGGTACGTATATTGAGCGTTTAATTAATCGGCCGATCGAATAACGTTATGTTGTTTTCTGTAGGGTTACCCTGGATCCCCCGGACCTCAAGGTTTGAAAGGTCTCGAAGGATGTAACGGGACGGAAGGTCTATCAGGTATTTCCGGTCAACCAGGTAATGTTGGTGAACGAGGTCTTCCGGGCTCCGATGGACCACTTGTAAGTCATACTTGTGTTTGCAAGAGTCATTGAGAAATTTTTAACAATTAAAAATATTGTGTTATTTTGTAGGGGCCACGGGGTGATCCTGGTGACGGAGGTGCTAACAGCAAAGGAGTAAAAGGCGAACAAGGCGAATCCGGAAATCCAGGTAGAAAAGTAAGGCGATCAAAATATACATTTAAACGACAAATTTATAGCAATGAGTTATTTGTTAGAAATGCCATGTATGTTCGAATAATTGAATATTCTAAAGTCTAAAGTATTATAATGTTATCATATTTGAACTCACAAAAATAAAGTTATTATAGATCTTAATTCAATATCACAGAAATGTACATACATGAAATTTATCTACTACATGTCTTAACGTTCGTTTACAGGTTACATCCTGGGGCTATATGTTGGTAAAATTGTTTAAACTAAAACTGAAAATAGCATAAAAGCAATAGTAATAAATTTAAAGTATCTCAAAATAAGTGTCATAAATTATTTTATTAAGAATATAAAAATAATACAACTATACATTACTGATTTTTTTTGTAAAGTTTCATATTTTTAATACAATTTTAATTTTTTATATTACCCTTTTTTTTATTATAATTATTTGAAATGTATTATTTCAATCTCTTGATTATTGTTATCACATAACCTATATAATATCCAGTAATCCTTATTGTTTTGTATTTTCTTTTAGGGCGTGTATGGTTATCCAGGAATTGAAGGCCCGTTTGGCGACATTGGTGTCCCTGGACCGCAAGTAAGTGACAAACTAATTATAAGAATAATAATTCTAAATCTAACAACGATTATTGTGACCTTTTAGGGACCTTTAGGAGACTTAGGTTTTGCCGGTGAGAAGGGTGAAGAAGGAGACTCCAAGCCCGGACTCAAAGGTGCAAAATTATGTTTTTTTATTTAAAACTCTTGGAATAAATAGTTTAAAAGGATTTGATATTCATAGCTTTTCTGATTTTCTTTTTTTCAAAGGTGTTCTTGGAGATGAAGGAGATCGAGGAGAACCCGGACCCCCTGCCGACCCCTCTAGCCCTCCAGAAAATTTGATACCGACGCCGGATGATACAGCCCACAAAGGTCCTCAAGGGGATTACGGACTGAGAGGAGAATACGGACGCGGAGGACCTAATGGCGAGTTTGGCGTTAAAGGACAAATGGTAAAATTTTTTCACAGTTTTTAAATATTAACAAGTTTATTTGGATGTTTGTTTACTTGTTTGACTTCTTAGGGCTTTCCTGGATATGTAGGATTCAAAGGTCTTAAAGGTAAATACATTACTGCGTTAGTTTTTATATTTTAAGAGAATCCGATTTTTTCTAAATCAAGTGTGACGTGTTATTTCGTTTCAGGTATTCAAGGAAACGTTGGGCAACGTGGAAAAGACGGTAAAGACGGTGCGCCGGGTTCTAGTGGTTTAAAAGGTACTGTATAATTAAAATACCAAAAGTATTTACTGATCAATACCAATAAAATCGTTTTACAGGTGACAAAGGATCTCCCGGATACGCCGGACTAGATGGTTCAGACGGAGACAAAGTATGTTTATATTATATAAGGTCTTAGGTGGAATTGGATACGTTCAAATGTTTTTATTGAAATTTGTATTTTATTTAATTAACCGAATATTTATCACAAACGACCGGTTAAGTTTATGTATTTCTAAATAAGGGCGAACCAGGTGAATCGGGACGAGCTGGAATTCCAGGAGTGCAAGGATACGAAGGAGAACCTGGACTGTACGATCCGTCGTTGGACCAAGTTTACGACGGCACTGAAGGACCGCAAGGACCTATTGGTAAGTCAGATCTACGGTAGTGAAAAGCAGCGGTATTTTCACTTTGAAGAAATTATAATTTTAAAAATAATTTATGTTCAGGTCCGGACGGTCCAAAAGGGGAAGACGGAATACCAGGAAAGGTACGAAGTTGATGTTTTCTTGGTTTTTATTTTAATAAACTGACTTTGTTCGTCGTTTTAGGTCGGTCCTCAAGGAGTAATCGGTCAGCCGGGACAACCGGGACCACCAGGTAAACCTTACAGTTATCAAAATTAGAACTTTGTTTGCATCAAGCTCACACTTATTTGTTTACAGGCGTACCTGGAATGAAAGGACCGAAAGGCTTGTCAGTAAAAGGAGAACTAGGAATGGAAGGTAAGTACATTTTTAATATAATTATAATCATAATTAAAACATTTGTTATATGCACACACTTAAATGGGTATTGTATTTTGTTTTATTTTTAGGCTTGGCCGGATCAATAGGAGAACAGGGACCGCCTGGAGTTGCTGGACCTTTGGGTCCTATTGGAGAAAAAGGTTTTCCTGGTTTGACGACATACGGTCCTCCCGGAGAAGACGGTCGTCCAGGTGAGACCTAAATACATTTTAAAGTATTTTGAAAGACAAAATTTAAATACAGTCATTGTTCACTTGTATTCTTTTAAAATTGAGAAAAACGCCCAAAAATATACATTTTTTAAACTTAAAAATGTACCATACGCTATAACTTTTTCAAAAAAAGTCGAATTAGTTCCGAATTTATGTAGAACATTTTTTAGGTATAATCATGTCGAAATACATGAAAAAACTAAGAAAATATCATTAACAGTTTTCTCTATTAGAAGTGGAAACTTTTTTTTTATTAAATTTTTTTTTTAGTTACTTAAGATATGAAATTTGGATTGAAGATACCAAAGTCTAGTGTAAACCATAGCATAAATATTTATACCGTTCACATATATATCGGTTACTCCCACTTGAACAGATTACCTTGTCTGCTAACTTTTCGGAACACTTGCAAGTTCCATCCACAGGACTGTGGTTCCTATAAATAGAAACATTTTTTCAAAAATCTATAGTTAATTTTTTTGTATTTAAGAAAAACGAATACTCAAATAAAAAACTGTAATTACTTATTGTAAATTTTGTTAGTATTTCATTTTTGCCTATAAAGGGTGTCCCTCAACATGGTTTGAAATCGATATTCGACCTTTTTTTTTTATAACGCTGATTTAACAAAATACAGTTTAAATTTGGTTGTCTCTTCTTGTTGAATGGCTTTGCATCTGTCTCTATGGCACCTTCCGTTGTCTGAATTGATATTTAATTTTAAACATGGATTTCAGGTCGTGACGGTTCTCCCGGGCCCAAGGGAGAGCGTGGTGAAGGAGGAATGAAAGGTAACTGTCAAACAATAAACTAATTTTTGATTTTAATTTACCGTATTTTTTTTATCGTGGCGTTTAGGTCTAAAAGGTTTCCCAGCGACTCGTCCCGGTGAACGAATTGTCGGCCCTCGTGGTGCTCCAGGTCTTCCCGGGTTTCCGGGTCTGGAAGGATTGCACGGAGTACCGGGTAAGAATCGTGTTTACTTGTTGTTGCACTTCATAATTTGTATTGATTTTCAAAATGTTTCAGGATATCCGGGTAATGACGGCAAAAAGGGAATTCGAGGCGACGATTGCGGTTACTGTTCTCCAGGTTGACATTAAAACATATTCTGCAAGTAGAGTATATTATGACGTTTAATGGCACTTTTTTTTCATAATATTTTTCCAGGTGTTCCCGGCTTAAAAGGTGAACCAGGTGACGATGCGCCAAACGGAATACCAGGAGCTCCGGGTTAGTGAACTATAAGGTTTTTGGTTTTTATTAAAAATAAGTATACAACTAAAAATAACAATCCAATTGTGTTTCGTTTAGGCCCTGCTGGTTTGATGGGTCCCCGAGGGCCCAAGGGTGTGATGGGAAGACCCGGTGTACCAGGTAAACAAAATATGTTAAACAGCTTTTAAGGGTATTGAGTACTTAATTACTTAATATTTTTTATTGTTTGCAAACAGGACACAAAGGATTGGTTGGGCGACCAGGTTCTGCAGGTAAGTCTAGTAACATAATAGAATAATAATTTATTTGAGCGTGATGATATAATGAACAATGCGTTTAAAACGACCGCCTACTTTGATTAGGTCAGTTTGGATATCCCGGAAGTAAAGGAGAAAAGGGAAGTGTTATTTTACCGGATAACTACATCTTACTCATAAAGGGAGAAAAGGGACCGAAAGGATTCACCGGCAGTGTAGGACCGGAAGGCCAACAAGGGTATTTGCGTTGTTTAATTTAGACATTTAAAAAATTATACTTATGTATTTTTCTCTATTTAATAATTATACTGCACTCGTGCTAAACTATACCTACTGTACTGGAGTCGTTTGAATGTTTTAGACCGACAGGAGAAGTAGGACCTCCAGGAATACCCGGAATGAAAGGATTAAAGGTAACTTATTAATTAATTTGTATCTGTGAAAATTATTAAATAAGCTTAACGAATGAAAAGAATAATCTTTTTTCTTTGTTGAGACTTTAAAGTATGATACAATAATTACACTTAATAAACGTTGAAAATATTTATGGTTGTTGTCATCAGTTTGGACTAACATTAAAGTATAGCACATCTTATAATTTTGGTATTGTTGAACTATACTTAATTTTTAAGCTTTACTGGTGAGACTAGCCCTTAAGGCAAATGTACCCGTGAAACATGTTTGATACTTACTAGTAGTTAAGTATTGAGATTTTCTTATCGTTCGTTTTCATCTTAAGAATTGGATATATCTTTACTGAATTAAAATATTTTATTTATATAAACAGGGCTTCTACGGAGAACAAGGATATCCAGGAAACAACGGTTTTCCAGGACAACACGGACAACCGGGACAAAAAGGCGAGCCAGCTGATAATTTGGATATGGAAAGCTTAAGAGGAGACAAAGGGTACGTCAGATAAATATTATTCCTAGTGTTTTTTTGTTAATTTTTAGCTTTAATGTGAACCCGAGAGTGTGTTGTGTTTTGGAAAGCGTTCGGGCTAAATAAAAAAATACAAAATTGTGAAAAATCACAAAAAAATAATCATTTTTTCAGTTATTTGATACTTAAGTATTATATGTATAAATTATCATAACTATTCTCAATTTTTTTTTCGTTGAGAAATTAGTTGTGTCATTTTTAAACAACTGTTTTAAGTACATAAAGTTCTCCTTTCCACAAAGAGTTGATTTTTTGTGATTTCCTTTAAATTTTGTAAACACAATTTTACAGGTAAAAGCTGAAAGTTAAATGGAATGTGTTGCTTATAATTTTTATTGCGTAGAGAAAATATTTGAATAATGTTTATAGTATATACTAGTATTTATGTGTCAGGTGTTAAACATGTATTTCATATTTAATATCTTAATTAATAGAGAGGCCGGCCTGCCAGGATCAAGAGGACCCGTCGGCGATTTCGGCACTAAAGGTGAATCGGGCGATGTAAGTCAAGCTTTACAAGAGCTAAAAGGAGAGAAAGGCATCAAAGGGTTACGTGGCAACAAAGGTATGACCCGTATTAGAGTTATTTCATTGAAAATAGACAATTCGAATTTCAATGATGTTTTGTGTTTTTAAGGATTCGAGGGGTACAAAGGACAAATGGGACCACCTGGTGATCAAGGTATTAACAAATAAACGGGTCATAATAACAATTAAAGATGTTTACTAGATATTTTACAATTGTTTTTTTTTATTCTAGGTGAAATCGGTTATCCCGGAGCTTCAGGTGCAGCCGGAGCTGAAATAGAAGGCCCACAAGGGTTGAAAGGTAATTGTTTATGGTTTTACAACACAAATCATAATATGTTTTACATAATCGATTCCTGCTTGTAGGATATCCCGGGATTGTCGGGGACCAAGGGCCAAAGGGAGAATATGGATTACCGGGAAAACCGGGTCAACCTGGACTACCGGTATGTTGAGTTTAATCTGTTCTGACATTCTATGGCTTTGTCTGGTTATACTTTAAACCGATGAAATATAAGAGTTCCTTGACCGTTGTTGTTGTTTTTTTTACAGGCTATCCCCAGTCAAAAGGGTGATCGTGGAGAACCTGGACAGAGCATACTATACGGAGAACTGGGCGATTGGGGTCCTAAAGGAGAGAAAGGACAACCGGGTGAAGAAGGGTATGGGACAAATTTAGTTAACGACGTGCAACCGGTGTTGAGCATTATTCGAATAAAATGTTATTTAAGTCAATTTACAACTAATAAAAAACTAACTATTAATAACAATTTTATAAACTTTTCACTCATGGTCGATGTTTTAATCATGACTAAATTTAATATTTAGCCTTGAATAGTTTTTTAAACATGACTAGTGTGACTTTTATATTTATACTCACTCAACACGGGTAAGTAACGGACGTGACAAAAATGCTTTTACATGTCTAACCAAAATTTAAGTATTAAATTAAGTCTTGTTTTGTTATACCGTGCAACAGGATTTTTGATATAAATTTGTATTTTATTTATATTTTTTTGGCTATACTATTTTTATTAACTAATAATTAAAAAATGAGAAGTCTATAAAAACACAAATTCAATAGTTCCATTTGTGATTGCAGTGATTTCAGGAATTTTTCAGTCAAAATTTGTTATTAGTGTTCAAGTTAAAAATACGAAGTCTAATATTCTATAACCGTTTATCATAAAATGAACTTTTTACTTTCAACTTAGGAATAACAATTTCCCAATATTGTATGCAATTTATTAGATAAATCATTTAAACGTTAAATGAACTTTTGATTTGCTTAAAGCATTCCCGGAGTCAAAGGTTACCATGGATATGACGCTCCAGACGGCCTCAAAGGTCAAAAGGGTAGTCCCGGCTTGACTGGGCCAGTCGGTAGACAAGTAAGCTATTTAACGTCGAAAGCTTATTTTAAATTATCATTGGGATAATTCAAGCTTCACGATGGTCGTCCGTGGTCCAATCTATGTAAATTGCTTACATACTTTTTCAGGGTAACCAAGGAGAACGAGGCATCGCCATACGAGGGCCGCCAGGGTATCCGGGTGCACCAGGCGCACCGGGTCTAGCTGGAGTTTTTGGATCTATCGGTCCAAAAGGTATGGAACATCAAGTAACACAGTTGTTATAAGTATTGTATTTTGATAGCACACACTTTATTATGCCATAGGAATTGACGGCGAACCCGGTGACATCGGGCTGAAAGGCATTAGAGGCGATTGGGGATCACCAGGTAAGTTTAATAACTAATATTTTTAAATGAAATAGATCAAGGACCGTAAAAATAATTTAAAATTATACTAGAAATTAAAAAATAATAAAACTTGCCAATTTTCTTTGACTAAGTACGATCTCTATTTTAGGAATAAGAGGAATGGAAGGCGATAAAGGACCACCCGGATTACCGGGTCGATCAGGTCTGATGGGCAAAATAGGTACATAAATGTTTATCACAATATCGAAACACTTATAATATTTCACTACGACCTATAATGAAATATTTTTCAGGTGACTTGGGTATACACGGTGACGATGGAGACGCCGGACTCGTGGGTAAATTGAAATTTAGGCCAATAAAGTGTAAATCAGTCATATCATTGCATCGAAACAGTTAAAATTGTAAACGTATATTTTATTCGTTTCAGGAGCAAAAGGTATTCCAGGAAAACCGGGAATCATCGGATTGACTGGTGAAAAAGGATGTAAGTTGATGTAATATAAAACCAAAATATTTTTAAAGTAGAAATTATTTAAATAGTCGATCGGTGAGTTATAAATACATCAGGGTTGTATTATAAATTTTAATACCTATAACCAAAAATCTAGTTAAGTAATTATTAGGTACTAAGTTATGTCTCATTGACTTGTTTAGATAGAGGAGATTTCGGCATGGAAGGTATGCCCGGACTCGAAGGACTTCCCGGTGAAAAGGTATAATATTCAGCAAAGAAATATGTGTGTAAAACTTAAAATTGTCGTTTTTCTTCTTAACAGGGTGTAATCGGAGACCAAGGACTAACCGGTCTGCCTGGTATTAGAGGCGATTATTCGTTCAGTGGTCCAAAAGGAGACTTCGGAGAACCCGGTAAGAAGTTGGCTCGATCCGGTGACCGTTTTATCGAATTTTAGTGTATGAGAAAGTACTATTTTTTTTGTAAATTTTCATGGCGTTAAATGTCATTCGCAGGAAGAGACGGCGAAATGGGTCCTATGGGTACACATGGGTACAATGGCAGAAAGGGTGTACGAGGAGACAACGGAACAGTAACGCATGGAGATGAAGGCGAAAAAGGTAAGGGCCGTTATTAACTACTTAAAACACATGTTTCTCAAAACTGCCCACAATATTTCGTTTGGCCTCATTCTTATGCATTTCCAATTTGATAAAACAATTTATATTCCTTTTCCTTTTCGTTCAATATTCTACATTCAGTCGATTCTTTCAAAAGATTCATTGTTTACCACACCGGCAACATAAGTTCAAAACGATAAAACATTTTATCTTATAATATCTTGCCATTGTTTATTTTTTTAATTTAATTTTTATTTCGAACATTAAGTAGAAAAATTATACTTTTGATTCGTGTCATAACCCGTGACTGATTGGATTAGAGAAATAGTAATACATAATTTAAATTTAAAACATACTAATCAAAACTCCAAATCGTTAAGACTTACGTAGTAATAATGTTTAACAGGGCCAAAAGGTGAACCTGGAATTGATGGCAGGCCTGGATATTCAGGACGACCGGTAAGTCAGACTAGACAGCTAAGGCTTTCTTCACACTTTGTATATTAATTTGTTTTCAATAATAATCCAATAGGGCTTAATGGGTGACCTCGGTATTGTCGGAGAAAAAGGTAATTACTAAAATACAATTTTAAAGCGAGAGTGGTTTTAACGATAACGTTATCGGTTTAGGTGTCATCGGAGACGAAGGTCCCAAAGGCTATCCAGGACTCAAAGGACGGTCGGGCACTCCAGGTAGAGTACATTTCCATTTTAGAACAGGTCATGTTATGTGTGGGAATTGGCTAAATCAGTTAAATTTTATTTTATTTTGTAGGTTTAAATGGTATTCAAGGACCACAGGGATTAGCCGGAACACTTGGAAACAAAGGAGACCGCGGATGGGACGGTATGCCGGGCGATATTGCAAAACCAGGTACTAAACGGATTCTATTGCAACACACAATAGTTACAAAAATATAATTGCAAGTAACATAGCTTGAAATGTTGATAAATTGTTGTACGGTATTATTTTTTCGTTTAAACAGGATTACCGGGAGACACTGGATACGGTGGTGCTTACGGTGAAATTGGACCAAATGGACCTAAAGGTAAACTGATCCTATACCATATTATAAGTGCTAGTTTTAAGACGATGGTGTAAGTCTTGTATAATTACAGTATAAATGTTTTAGGACCCGTGGGAGAGCCGGGATACACAGGCTTTATTGTCGCCACTAAAGGAGAGGATGGAGAAAGAGGTAAAATAATAGTGTATTTTCTTAAAAAGAAATAGTATGTACCTACCTAGTATATATAAATATGTAACGTATTATTTAATATTTAAGGTCATACTCCCCTGAGAGGCCCGCCAGGATCACAAGGACTACAAGGGCTCTATGGAGAAAAAGGGCTTAAAGTAAGTACTACTTATTTCTTATAAATATATATTACGAAACGAATTAGACGGAAATTGGAATTGTATTTTGTTAAAACCGAGTTTTTAAGCTTTGTATGGACAAGAAGTGGTTTTAAAATATGGAGAAAGCAATAAGTGTTGAGCATTAATAGAAATTAGTTGAATAATATTTTTAGTTATTAAAAAATTGCAATGCCATTGAAGATGATAATAATTAATTAGACAATTGTTTTCACCGATCATAAATTATTGAACTAGATAAATATTAAATTGCAAATAAAAGTATTTAAACAAATTTAGTAATAAATAACGATTAAAGAATAAAGAAGACTAAAAAAAAAAGCACAATCGAATAATGAGTAAACTCTTATTCACTAAGTTATTTAAATAACATTTTAGTAGAAAGATGACAAACTCTGGGGACAGCTTATTTAAGCTGTGGTTGTTCAGAAATACAACTTAAGAATAATTTATCATTTCTAACAATTACAAAATTCGTATGTTTTGCTTGCTAAATCTTTTACTGCCAAACACTTTGTTGGTCATTATATTTAACATAACATTTATGTAAATAGGGAACAGTTGGCGATATCGGACCAAGTGGCCCAACAGGATATCAAGGAATACAAGGATTAAAAGGAGAATCCGGCGATACTGGTCCTGTCGGAATTCCGGGTATGTTTTATTATAGTAAAATGTATTATTCATAACTTTAGTGTGAATTAAATTAATAGTAACTTGAATTAAGCATATACTAATAAATTTTTATGTAGGCCTACCCGGTATAAATGCAGAGCCAGGAGAGAAAGGACGAGGCGGAATTGATGGATCTCCAGGAAGGTAAATTATAAATCATTATCATAAAACAATGATCATTAATAACAATAATTTGAAAAAAGTTTAAATTCGAACATAATTACTAAAACAATTCATAAAAATACAAATGTGACTATTCAAATTGTATAAAATAAAAAGAAACTGGCTAAAGGATAAATACATAATATTAAAATACTCATAAAGATATTATAAAATGTGTGCGTGAAGCATTAAAATTTTGTATACTCGACATATGATACTCATTAATATATTTCAGACCTGGTATTGATGGTCAAAAAGGAGCCCCGGGAGACTATGGCGATGACGGGGTGAGTTTATACTTGAGTTTTTTTTAATATTTAAGCAATAAATTCGTAAGTGATGCGTTCAAGGTGAACAAAGAATATTATTTTACTTCACTTTATACGCTTAATTGTTAAATTCCTTTTCCAGGAACAAGGATTATCTGGAATCCGCGGTGTTAGTCCAAAGGGTCCTAGAGGACAAGTCGGTCCCAGAGGTTTGACATTAATTTATTACTATTATTATTACCAATAAACATATTTATTTTGATCGTTTGTGAGCTAATGTAAAACTTGAATGTTCAAATATTCACAGGCCTACCTATTCCCGGATCACCCGGTGTACCAGGTGTTCCCGGTATTAACGGCAAGCCCGGTAGACTTGGTCAAAAGGGTGTGAAAGGCGAACCAGGCACATCGTCATTTGGGTACTTAGGCAGTTCACTCTAGGACAGCGGACACGGTTGTTGTAATAATACATGGCAATTATATTTATGATTTCAGAATAAAAGGCCAAGTGGGTGACGTCGGACTGGACGGATTAATCGGCCTGGACGGTGAACGTGGAGACATTGGCGAATCCGGATACGATGGCATACAAGGTATCGTTTTTCTAAGCTATAATCATAATAATACAATATTGATTAAAAAATGTAATAATCATATTATTTAAAAAGGTTCACCCGGTGTAAAGGGTCTTCAAGGTCTTCCAGGACAACCAGGAATTCCAGGATTTATGGGCATGCCCGGCATAAAAGTAAGCAGTCGTTTGGCAAAATATTGAATAGTAGATAACAATTAAAATCAATGCATTATTCGAAAATAACAAATAATTTTAGACTCAATCAGTCAGTGAAACTGACTAAACCTGAGTTACTAATTTAATTATTTTTTCGCCATTCCAAAAAGACAAGTATTCAATTATGATTAAACAAAAAATAATTTGAAAAGTAGTTTTATTAAATACCCAAGAAATTGGGTTCAATAAATGGTGAAAACTGAAAAGTAATTCTTGTATTTTAAAACTCAACATTATTTTTTACCATTTTATTATATATACTATTTAAATTTAACAATTTTATTTGGAACTTTTGAGCCCAAAAACATTAGTCGAAAAAGTGGTGTAATAAAAAAATATGATCACTCTGTACATGTCTTATACATATAATTTGTGTATATAAGTAAGTATATAGCACATATCTTTACGAAATATATTTTAATTTATTTTAAACAAATAATAAAAAGTGTTACTCTAGTCATTAACATAATAATTTTTTATTATAAAACTGTTTGATTAAAATTAACAATTGAATAACGAACTAATTTATAACCAATGAAATATCCTTCTCCTTTTCTGCAATTTTCATATACTTGCTTGATGCAAAAAAATATATAAGTAAATTTAACCGTACAATGTCGGACTATGAGTATATTATTGAAAATGATAATGTAAATTTTGCTAAAATTATTATAGGGCAAACAAGGCGATTACGGAGAAACACCGTGGTACAACGAAACCGCCATCATAGGAAGGCCAGGCGACCAAGGAGATGTAGGACTACCGGGTAAACTTCATCAGATTTATAATTCATTTAAAAATAAATCACCAAGACCTAATAAGTTAGCTCGAAAATAACCATGTTATATTTTTGTTTTAGGATTACCGGGTCTACCCGGAGACAATGGACTTCCAGGACGCGAAGGATTACAAGGTGAACCGGGTGAAACCGGTTACCCTGGTCTTATTGGACTTAGAGGCAAGTATGACTTAGAGGCATGTTACCTATGAAATGAATTGTTAAATTTAAAAATAAAATGGTGCCGTGTTTTTGCAAAACCGTTACATTAGTGCGTTATCAAGTATCAAATCTAAATATAAATTCCAACGATTTTTTTAAAAATGTTGACTATTGTCATAATGTCATATTAAACAATACCTAAGTATAAACAATAAAAACTAATAACTAAGAACAATTTTTTTTTTAAATCAAGTCAAATTTTTAATCGTGAACAGTTTTATTTGTAATTAGAAATAAATTCAATCACTAAAAATAAATGTTAAATTACGATTGGCATCAGTTACCATCAATTTAAGTTTTAGCTTTTGATTAAAATAAACATTGCCTAACGCTGGCATTAAATAGTTCCTATATATTTTAGCTATTTGGAATGTTTGATAAGAGTCTTTTTTGTTTTCGAGAGAAAGCGATTGGATGCAATTAGGAAGAAAAAATAGGACCTCTTTGGGTGTAATTTACCTCATAGCTTGCACTCTTCTAGAAATACACCGTGTTAATTTGTGCCGAGCGAGAAGGTTCTAGAATAATTTTGCCATGTCTGTTTCAGGTGAAAAGGGTCGCAAAGGAATGGTCGGCGTTCAAGGCGCTACCGGAAGAACCGGACCGATGGGATATCCCGGTATGACAGCTTGAAGCTTCCTACGCCTAAATATTTTCCAAGTCGTTGAATATATATAGTATATAAAACATTATATTGTATTTGCCTTCAGGTCGACCGGGATTAGACGGTCTGCCCGCGATACCATCCAAGCCGCCACCACACCGCGGCAACTTCTTCACTTACCATTCCCAAACCGAACTCGTACCGGAATGTCCCAAGAACACGGTTCAGCTTTGGTCTGGATACTCTCTGTTGCATTTCATGGGCAACGCCAAAGCGCACGGTCAAGATTTAGGTGGGTGAACCTATATTTGCGAACCGATTAGATTTTTTCATTATCGACCTAACTTCTGAGTCTGATCCGCCTTATGTGTGATGTACGTTACAGGCGCTCCTGGAAGTTGTTTGAAAAAGTTTAACACCATGCCGTTCTTGTTCTGTAACCTGAACGAGGTGTGCGACTACGCCAGCCGCAACGACTACAGTTACTGGTTGAGCACACCCGAGCCCATGCCGTTGATGATGACGCCAATTATCGGCCAAGACATTTCCAAATATGTATCCAGGTGAGTTCTGATAGTCTAAACTCTCAAGCCTAATGATTTAACACTTTTTTTGCCGTTTTTAAAAATAGGTGTTCCGTGTGCGAGGCCCCCACCAGGGTAATCGCCGTGCACAGTCAGTCGGTGTCCATACCGGAGTGCCCGCAAGGCTGGAGCGAATTGTGGATCGGATACAGTTTCATAATGGTCAGTTGAATTGCCCCCGCGTGGGGCCATCCGAATCCCTAAAAACCAAATAAAGGGTCCGTTGTAAGAACAGGCTATCTCCAATTTGTTTTATCAAAAATTGTTCTTATGAAAAAAATGTTCATGGAAAATCGATTTACATTTTTGTGCTTTAAACAGTAAAATCGGATTATTACGTACAAAGATATTACAATAAGCTTTTTTCCCCGCCAATAGTAGTAAATGAGATAATAAATTTTCTTTTGGCCGTCCCTGAACAATTTCAAAATATGCAGATAGCCAGTTCTCGCACCGGACCATTCAAGTCTGCTCTAGAATCGTCCGGTGGGTTTTTAGAAGACATCACTATACATAGAGTTCCATTCGCCCTAAACTAAATCGACTGTCCTGCATTTTTCCTCTTACCAATCCTTTTACCAATTTTTTTTAAATTTATAGCTATATAACTATGAAGTTGAACATATATATATTTTACTAATAATATTTTTATTTAAACCTCTAAAGAGATATTTGGATTTTAAATTCAGAATTGTAAATTCGGATTCATGTCAGTTTTGGCACCACTAATTATACATTTTTATATAAAATTTAAACCAAGCTATAGGGTTATTTATTCGAGTACATTTATTTGAATTACATTATTTGGAAATAATTCTAATGAAATCTTTTAATATTTCAATCAATAACGTATTAACGTTATTCGGTTTGTTTTTGGATTTTGTTCATTATTCAATTAAATTTTTCCTATTTCCCAATTAACACCTTATCACTTGTTCTCCAATCTACCACAACTACTTTTTCTCTGCACACTTCCTTTTTCTGCTAAATCACATATAATTCTCTCCTTCCCCCGCCTCTAAGTCCTTCAAGCAGCAGCCCTTCAAGTCATCGACCTATCGTTGTGTGTTTTATTTTCAGCACACTGACGCGGGTGCCGAAGGAGGCGGCCAGTCTCTGGTAAGTCCTGGGTCGTGCTTGGAAGACTTCAGACCGAGACCGTTCATCGAGTGCCACGGTCTGGGCAGGTGTAACTTCTTTACCACGGCCTATTCTTACTGGCTGTCGACCGTCGAAGACCGCGACATGTTCAGAAAGCCCAGGCCGCAGACACTGAAGGAAGGCTCGTTGAAGATGCGCATCAGCAGGTGTGCCGTATGCCTAAGGTCTCGACCGTGAGCGATCCAACCGAGCCCAATACTGCTCGGCCGGCATTTGATTATTATTAACATATTATTAATTTTTATTCTTACCATTTTTATATTTAAATAATATATTTTAAAAAACGATTGTGTTCTGTATAATATATATATATATCATTATATATTTTATTATTATGATTAATATTATTATTATTTTATTATTTGCGTTAATAACGTTAGGCTACAAGTCATTAGTGTTTAAATATAATATAAATATAATATCATCGACGTCGTTTGTTATTGTCCATATTCGCTAAATCGTGTGACACCTAAGTGTACTTTTTGTTGTTGTTATTTGACTAATTACTTAAAATCGTTTTTAAAATGTGCAAAAACTAATTTGTGAAATTAATATTTATAGATTTTTAAGCGAAGGTAACTGATGAAACATAACCTATTTTTCCATTTTAGAAAAACTGTTTGCTTATACAGTAGGTTTTTTATAATAAAATAAGTACGACACATGAAACATTAACATAGCTTCTGTGCAAGAAAGACACACAAAAAATAATTGTATTGGTTTGCTGAGTTTTTTGTCAAATAATCGCTAAACGTGTCTGTTAGATAAATTTTGGCATTATCGTCATCTGAAGCGCATAATATAAGAACATTAATTTGGGGGAAAATTAAAATTAATTAATTTTTTGGAGCAAACGATGTTAGTTTTTCTGTATTTTGAAAATTAAATTTTAAGTAGATTTTTTTTTAGTTTTAAAACTAGAGAACTAAAAAAAAATCACATAGGCCGTAAATAAGATTTATATCGAAAGTATAATGTTGTAACTATCAAATAGCACTTATTTGGCAAAAGTGTAGAAAAATAAAAACAATAAATTCTCTGCTACGCTTAAAACTGAAATGTTTATTAACAGTACAATTATTAGATTGGATTGCAAACTTTCAATTTTTTCGACAAATTGCGTTAATAGCGGTTTTTATTAAGTTTGCAAATTGGCACTTTGACGTCGTGTTGATCTAAGTACTTGTATATTATATTACGTTTTAAGTAAACATTTACATTTGGCAAGTACGATACGATAGGTGTCAATACGATAAGATTACGCCTATTAGTAAGCACAAAAACAACCAAACTAGATTAAATTTAAGGTATGACATCATTGCCATAACGCAGTTAAAATGTAAATGATAGGTAATTACTTTTGTCTTATTGTGTAGTACAATCATGGTAATGTTTAAACATATTTTAATATTAATTCTGTACATCTATAAATACAGCCCAAAATTTTAGAAAAAAAATCCTATCCTTATCCTATACAAATTATGGATTTGAAATTTGTAATTTGTTTTGATTTTAAAAAAGAAAGCCAGAATAGTTTTCCAGATTCCAATAATTTGGAGTTTTTGGTCTAATATGTTGTAAAACCCCTATCAACCTAAAAAAAAAAATGTAAATATTGGAAATGGCAAAAACGCAAGACAGGTTAGGAACATATTTAGTAGAAGCTTTAGCTTATGTTTCAATAAAAAAAAAACTGATTTATTGATAGTTAAAGTTACTAACAATTAAAATAATATATAATTTAAATTATTATTAAATTTAAAAAAGGAATAAAAAAAATGCTGCAACCATCTACATTACATGTAGATATGTAATAGTTTTTTAAGATAAAATCTAAAAAAATGATATTCAGTAGAACGGAAAGTGCAAAATGTCCTTAAGCAGAAGCTAAATCGTCTACTGAAGATGTTCCTAACCTGTCTTGTACTTTTGCAATTGCCAAAATTTACATTACCTAATTTGGATTAAAATGTTTTTTAAAAGTTAATTTTTTCAATATATTAGACCAACAGCTCCATAATATTGGAATCTGGAAAACTGTACTGGCTTTCTTTTTTAAATTATGAAATTAAAAATTTTAAATCTATAATATTGCCAATATACTTGTATAGGATATAAACTGTGTAGTTTTTTCTATAATTTTGGACTGAAGTTTTTTGTGACATAGCTTTAATATGTAGGTATTATGTGAATCACAAATTTTAACTGTACGCTAATTTTACTCATATTAAGTAGATCAAGACTAATTAGAAATGACGGCATACAATTTACATTTGACACAACCCAATTCTATATAAGTGTCAAGTATCGTCTACCGACTTCTTTGAAGGCCGAAAATGTAAATACACTTTATTACACTAAATTTAGGTCGACTTTTTGAAATAGACAAAAACAGTTATTTTATGATTGGCGGATTGGCCGTTGTTTGTTATAAGTACTACTGGTTTTTTAGTAATTAGCATCTATATACCTGTAAATCTCTCATAAATCTACTGACGTCTATTTACATGTTTATACAACTTAATAACATCAATTACGGTACCCCGTTTTCACTTATCTGATTTTTTTTGGCAGCCGCTAAACATTCGGTTTCCTCTTAAAAAAAAAAAAAATAATAAAAAGAACTCGAAATTTTAAAGAAACAAAAGGGTTTATACTGCATAAGAATATAATTTTAATAGTACACTTAAGTTTTAGTGTTTTACAAGTTTTATAATCCACCGTTTCCTTATTAATTTGTTCAATATAAATACATATATGTTATGTATTGTATAGATAAGCGGTGATATAATATTATATTGTAGGCCCTTTCTTTGTATTTATATGGAAGAAATTTGAGACGTTCTTTAATGTTAATATTGAGTTCATCAATCATTGTTTAACAACTATTACAAACATAAAAATGGCAAATATGGGTAAGTGTTTTACTTTACTTATTCAACACAGTTATAACAGACGTATTAAACAAGATTGTTGCATTTTTAAATTCACTTAAGTATGACTTAGAATCCTCAGTTGTACCATTCAAGTCGAATCAGTTGTTTTGCTAATTTAGATAAAGAATAGTAAATTTTGTTTTCAATTAATATTCTTTTAAAAAATATTTTAGGTTAAATTTATTTTTATTTTTAGTACATTATTCATTGATAATTATGTTTGAAGAAATCTGCCAAGCGATTAGGTTAAGTGGTATTAGACAGAGAAAAAATTGTATGAGGTGTTTTATTTGGAAATCTTGTATTATTTCATGAAACCTATTTACAAAAAAACAAATATCTAATTTTTTAGTACTTATTGTTGATAGATATTTAATATTTTAATGATTTAATTGCTGATTGTATACATAGAAATGTTAAGTATCGCGTTGCTGTCGCTGTTGGCTGCCGTCGGTTCGCGTGCAACTTCGAATGACATACCGGATGACAATACCTACGTTTACGGGCAACAATGGGTGCTTTTAGTGGCTGGAACTAAGGGTTGGTCTAGCTACAGACATCAGGTATGGTAAGAATAGCTTGAACAGCAAATATGTATAATTGTATTTGTGTTTTCCTAGGCGGACATTGCTCATTCGTACCAGATAGCCATAAATAACGGGATACCAGGAGAGAACATCATTGTGATGATGTACAACGACGTGGTCAATAGTACCAAGTATGAAGTAAAGCTCATTGCGATAAAAAAAAATTACTTTTTATAAAATAACTATTGACCAGACACTTAATTATTAAAGTAGTTTTTCTCACAATATATAATTGTTTTTGATAAAAATGATTTATTTCAAATTAATATTAATAAACATTCTCATTAAATACAAACGATACTCTTAGTACTTATGTCTCTAAGAAAAGTATGGTTGAGAGAGAGAGAAATTAAGTTACAGTTATCCATTGACGTAAGAGCACAGACCATTTAAAAATAACATCTTTATTTTTGTTATTGTTACTTAGTTTTGTACATTTAATTTATACTGTATATTTTACAAATAAAAATGTGTATTACTCATGCAATTTTAATATATTTGTTTTTTCAATTTAAAACAAAGAAATCCAGCTCCAGGAACGATGATCAATCAACCGGACGGCCAAGACGTGTACGGCGACATTATTATTGACTACAGTGGCGAAGTAAGTGTAAACACATCTTGTGAGTTTCTTCTAAAAAATACAATAACAATCAACAGACATATTATATTTTAGGTTAATTTTAAATAAATAAAGTAAGGCAATATTACAATTTTTTTGAATTTTTAAAATACCAAATGATTTAGAAGATATAGATTGTGTAGGTTAAAATTAGACACATAATTTTCTTTTTACTATATAATACAGAATTTTTAAGAAAAAAAATTATTTTTATGATTTTTTTAATTCTGGAAATATGTATTTTTTCTACTCTGAATTTACATTATAAAAAAAATAATCAAGAAACGGACTCTTAAACTTAACTATAATTTGGGAAAGGAGTTTTAAAATATTTTTGGTTATACGACGTATGTATGATTGTGCTTACACAGCAATTAATAAATAATTATGTTTTTCACTATAGGACGTGACTGTAGAAAATTTCATTAAAATTTTGACGGGTGATTCAGATGGTATGAAGGGAATTGGATCTGGTAAAGTTATCGAGAGGTAAGTACATTACTGAAAAAATAATTAACAATTAATATTATATCCTATTTACAATTTCTCAATTCTCAACTGATAACTTCTCACAACTCTTGCCTAAACTATTAAGTTTAATATGTTACCACAAAAAAATATTAGTTAGGTAAAATATTTTGTTTACATTTATGCATCGGTTCTTAGTAGGAGAGTAATTGTTTCAAAAATATTTATTACAAAATGTTGTTGAAATATTATGAATGTATTTCCAATATTTTACTCATGATTTTAATTTTATTTAAACAACTTCATGTTTAATATTACATTTTTAACAAATAATCCTTTTACTAACTGAAACTTGGTAGAGCACTACCATTATTATAGAATAAAACATTTTTTTAACGAGTTCCAAATATATGAGGAATTAAAATTCCTTTCTTAAGTTTATAGGCCATTTTTCATGTTACATTCGTTTTGCACATAATAACTAATAAAATAATAATTTAGGATTTGTGTACCTCCCAAAGGTAAACGCAGAAGCCTAGTTTAATGATATATTGTAAAAAACATTTTTTTTTATTTTCTTGACATAGTACAATGTTCGACAACGTTTTTGTCAACCTTGAGAGCTTAGGAGTTAACGGCTTGGTAGTATTTCCTTCGGGCGAATTTTTGTACGGAGATCAACTGAATAGCGCGTTGGAAGAAATGTCAAACAATTACAAATTCAAAAAAGTAATCACAATTAACAATTATTATTTAAAAAAAATTAGCCATTAGGTTGTTATCGGAAATTCCATTATATACTATCAATAAAAAAAATATGTTACTTTGAGTATGTAATACTTTTTTTTGATAACCGGGAATTGAAAAGTTGGCGTTAAAAAATAAATAAAAACTAATTTTAAGTCTCTAATGCCATATCAATATTATTATCGAATAGATGTTGATTTACTTGGACTCCAGCAATTCGGGATCCATGTTCGACGGTCAACTACCCTCAGACAAAAAGAGTAAGTATACTCTTAAATATAAATCATTTAAATTAAACTCACAATAATTTTGTAAAAATTGTTAAGTTCTTGCTATGACGGCTTCGAATCCCAGAGAAGGATCTTACGCTTGTTACTGCGGCGAAGAGTCTGGCGAATACAGGACTTGCCTGGGTAATTTGTTCAGCACCACTTGGATGGAAAATATCAACAAAGTACGTTACCTTAGTATGACTCCTAGTATCCAAAAATAATGTAGTTATGGGTTTAACATTCATATCTTTAAAATGCTTGCAAACACCGCCTACTTGTTAAACATGTCTGATAAAAACTTGCGTTCTAAAGTGTAGCTTGGACGGTTTTAATGCAACTGTATATTTAAATACTGAAGTCTTAGATACTATAGGTAAATAATAAAAAAAAAAAATTATAAAACCAAATACTCATAGCTCCGCATCGAGACTAAATACTCAAGTAGGGGTTTTCAGCTAGTAGACCTAACATATTAGACACTAGACACCTGTCTTAACCTAACGTTTTTGCCCTCTTCTTCCCACAAATCCTAAGATTATTATTATTAACCAATAAATATATATATTTATATATAACAATAATATTTAAATTATATATATATATATATCTACACAGTCTTTGTCGGACAAACGAAGGGCTATATACAAAGACTATGAAGACATAAGAACAGCAGTGACTTGGAGCAACGTCATGATGTACGGAGACTTCGGAGTGAGCTTAAGTCCATTCTCTGCGTTCATGGGAAACCCCAGCGATAAGATTTCGCATTACATAAATTATTCTCCTAAGCAGGTATGATTAAGCGCCTTAGTAACCACTCAACAAATTATGTAGCAGCAAGTAAACGACTGCGCAAATGTATGTAATGATATGTCCTCAGAATGTCGAATCCAGCAAAGAGGGCGCATCCATCTCTATCGATGTTGGTCTTAAGAAAAAACTGGACGTCAGCGAAAGGTTGCAATTGCAGAAACAGATTCTCTATAACAGAAAAGTAATGAGTAGTTTATTTGTTAGACACTTTATTCACATATTTTATGATGACTATGATGATAAATGGCATGTAATACTCATAATTGTTTATTGTTATGTTGCAGATGCGTTTAACCGTGGACAAGGTATTCAGGCAGATCTACAAGAAAGTGGTAAAAGAGTGGCCGGAACTAGCAGATAAAGCAGGGGACATCCAGAACCCGGCTGTATTACAATTGACTGCAAATGATTATCCGTGCTACAGAAGTATCGTGAACCGCATATCCAGCAAATGTTTTTTCATAGACCAGGTAAACGCATACATTGTCTACTCAAATAAACACTAGACCTAAATATTTTTAGCAGCTTCTAATCTTGTGGTGACAACACCTTATGATTCCTCGAAACAAACATTTACACTTTTATAAGCACATGCTTTTACAAAGTCATTCGATTGTGTAAATATATAAAAGCGCAATGTTTTTCTACAGGACACTTATGCGCTAAGCCAATTGCCAGTGTTTGCCAATTTCTGTGTTATCGACAACGAAATAGACAGCAAGATCGCCCAAACCATAGATGATATCTGTTCGAAAGTAAAGATCCCAAAACATTTAGAATAAGTTTTGAAGGTGTAGTGTATACACAACATTGTAAAGTTTACCATCAATGTTCCGACCTATAATAAATTAATTTAAATTAAAAAAAAAATTTGTCTTATACTTCATTTATAATTAAAACATAATATAACCCAATACATTCAATGTAATTACGCTAGTCGGAAATAAACCATTTTCTCATAGAAAAAAGTGTTTTAAAAATTGATTTCCTTTTTATCCAAATTATAATTAGGTATGGTATACAACTAAAACGTAGAGGCGAGACTCTTGGTGGCTCAATACTTGGAAATTATCGATTAGTTTGTTTATGAAAAAACAAGTATGTATTTTTGCTTATCAGATATCGTCACTCACGCGATTGGCAATTACAGTTTGCTTCAATAATAATATTTTATGCAAATTATATAGTTTGAAACGAAACCGATAGTTGACTTTAACGGTATGCATAAACACAAATGAGTAAATAACGTTAACGGTATAGGAAAATATTAAGTTATTTTTTATTGAAAATAAATAATATTAACTAAGTAACTAGTTATTAATAACGTAATTTAAAGAAAGAGTTATCCATATTTTTTTGGTTTAAATTCATCTCCATTTTAGAAAAAACACAATTATTTTTCAAAATAATAACTAGCATTATTGTAATAATTTAAGTGTATTGATGATACATTAAGAGAATATCTATATCGATATTAGTGCATGTTCTGATTAGTTAGCTAAATAGTTATAAAAATCTGTTAGGAATTAAGATCATTAAACAATGATTTGCCCCAGGGGATTGATGCTTTTCCAGTAACAGAAAGACAGTTGTTAGCAATAAAATCTTATCTCTTAGACCATATTTTGTATGGTCTCAACCAACGTCTTTACTTGTCTTCAATTGAAATAAAATCACGTATAGGCTGCATGATATCCACCGTGTTTACCTCCGTCAAATTCATAACAACTGGGATGCAAACAGAATATTTTACAATCCTGTCATGACTGTTGAATAATAACCTTTATATTGGGTTTTTGTGATTAATTTGGGTTTACCTGTACAAACAAATTATAGTTTACAATTTAAATTAAAAAAAATAATGATAAAGTAAAAAATTATACAATATCTACACTAAAAATATTGATGTTTTAAATTGATTACTTATGTGATTGCAATATGATGTAAAACAAACATGTCTTAATACTGCGTTTAAATATTTTATGTGCTTAGAATTATAAGTCATCCAAAGTATATATTTTGATTGATATTACCTTTGTGTAATTCGTAAAATGAAGAAAGGTGAACTTACCCAATTACCATTTAATTATTGATCTTCTGCCGATAGTAAACGATAATCTCTGTGAGGTCTATAGAAAGATCAATCGACTGTCTGTTATTAAATACACAAAAACAAGTGATTACTCTTTCTTAGCCCTTCACAGAATGCGTTTTTTTTTTAAACAAACACTAAAATGTAGTTTTATTACTATTTAACATGGACTTCTGTGGTTTCATTATGTTAACAAACAGTAATTAGTAGTATTATAATAGTAGTTAATAGGTATCTATATCATATCTAATAATTAACACGAATACATTAAGAAATCAACTATAATAAATCTTAATAATAAAAAGTACTATTTCAGTCGGATCGTTTTGTTAAATACCAGAAATCGGTACAATCGTTGAACAACTAAATATTTTTGTAAGTTAATGTCGATCCAACAAGAGTACCTTATTTCAGGTATATAATACCTTTAATCAACTGCTAAGAAAATTAAATTTTTAAAAATACCCTCATTTGTTGTCGAGGTGAGGCCGCAAAAAAAACAGGCATCTAAGTCCAATTATTTTTAAAATATTTAATTGCCACTAGATGTCTGTTCCATAACACGCCTTCTTCTGTGAGTAGCGAGTTCTATAGTTATTATTAATAATATATAAATATGTTCTATACATAATAAAATAACCCCAAAAAATATATCTTAATAGATATTACAGTATAAACAGAAAATAATATTTACACATTCAAAAATATTCGTTCGATCCGAAGTACGGGAAATGGAAGACACAATGCAATTGAGCTACATCTTATTCAAAGTCAATTTGCATCATGTCTTACTATCACCAATACCCAAGAAATCTACCCAATGACAAATAATGGGTAATAATTACGGTTAATGAAACTATCCCATTTGTTGATTCACTGTAAGATCAAATGAAAGAATAACCGCTCTTTAAAAAAAATGATTGCTTATGGAAAAATTTGTATTTTTATAATATTTACATTAATATCATTGTCGCCTTTACGGCGAGTTAACATACAAACACATAATTACAGTTACATAATAATATTGAAAGCTTACAGGTGGGTTTTTTTTGAGTTACACTAAACATGCGAGAGTTGAGATAGAGGAAATGTGTAAATCCACCAATGTAGCTTTAATTGTTTATATCTAGTTTGGCAGCCTTACACAATTTCCAAATTTCCCAAAACGTATCGTGTCTTCTGAAGTTGATAAGTACATCCTGTCCAATACAACAAGAAACCGGACGGCTACTTTGTTTACACGCCTTCTCAGGTTCAAGTTGCACAGGACAGGTTATAGTTCACTATTATTTTATGGTATCATTAGAATTATATTATTATCATAGCGAGGTAAATAAAATACCAAACTCCGGTTTTCCATTCTTAATTACTGACGGGGACCAAGGTTTTAATCTTTTACTTTGGCCTTAATCAAATGCAAAAATATACTGAAAACAATATAAATCCAATACTATGATGCATTCTTAAAAAAAATTACAAACTATTTGCAATTAGGTAGGTATACAAAGAAAAAAAATGTGATACTGATAGTTTATACTTAAAAAATACAAAACGCCTTTAATTTATATGAGTACACTAAGTAAATTAATTTAAAGTAATATTAATACAATATAAAACAAATTAACTTATAAATATAAGATGCCAAGCAAGCCAATTTTATTAGAAACTTGCAAAATGAACATAATTATGCAACTGAGCTAAAACCAAAGTAGTTTACAATACTATAATAATTAAAAAAAAAAAAAAATTCTTAAAAAAATAAATAAATAATCGCTTCAATTTACTAAAACTACTAAAATTGGTGTTGCATTCCAAGATTAAAAGAGAAAACTATTATTTTCTAAAGTTTTTAGATTAGATAGACAAGTAATTTTTACTATTTTACTAAACACTATATTTTTATGGAAACATGTATTTTCAAACAAAAAGTAGATCTCTTCGACGTCCAAGCTAAGAATAACTACCAGTTTCTTAAGTAGGGTAACCCTGGCAGACAATTAATAGTTATTTTTGCTTTAGCTTTCGAAGATTTTTAAAAAGTTATTCCCGTTCAAATGTACATAAATTAAATTTGGCATTAGCAAATGATGTGCTTAAAAAAAAAAATGTAATATAAACGTTCTTTAAAATACAAACTAAATAATTCCAGTGGGTTCTATGAACACGGCCCTACCAATTGTTTGCCAATAAATAATAGACTTGGTAAGAGTTTAATTATTTTGTTGCATTCATTAAAATACTATCGGTTAACATTTTTTTTTATAAAATATTTTTTTTTTACTAAAAACAGAATAATAGTAAAATCACGGGAAATAGAGTACCAATATTACCCGGGCCTAGCCCAAGAGAGTTCGACCAGACATAATGATTTTTGCGGCTTTAAACATAATAGAAATATTTATAACTATTAACAATTTTACCGTTTGTGCCATTTGGCCTAAATTTATTGCTCAGTTTCAAAATTGTATTATTTATCACTCCCACTGCCGTTACTAGATTTAGCTACTTGTACATATGATATATTGTACAAGTTTCATTAAATATTTGCGTTGGGCAAACAATTAAAATTAAAAAGTAATAAAAACGTCAAAATGGTCTTTTCAAAAACAACGCATAGGTCGTTCGCATAACAGAAAGCATACCGCGACAAAGCTGTTGTCGTCGAATTAATTTCTTTAATCATATTTTATATGATAACTATTAACTATACATCGCCGCTTTTAAAGCCCTAAACCTTCTTCCGACTTAAAATGTTTTTCCACGTGTTGATCGGTGTATTGTTTTACGTGGTATTGACTTGTAAAGAAGCGTTCTGTGCTAGATCTTCACTTGTTGACCAACTAAATGCAGCTTTGAGCTATCCGGGATGAGAGCGGATCACCAAAGTGGCAGCCAAATATGGATTCGCCGTCAACGGAAATCAATCGTTCACCGGAAAAGATGTATTCATGATGGATAATTCGTTTCTTGATAACGAAAGCTCGGTTAACACATTGGTCGGTGACCACAACGAAAACGTAAAACATTACATGGTCACTCATTTGGTAGGGTGTGTTTACGCGAACGCGGTGATGAAATTTATCAGCTTATTAAAGAACATTTTAAAAGAGTGCAACAGAGCGAGAAAAAATGCCTTAAATGCCAAAAATATTATCATAAAAAAAAAGGAAGAATTTAGATGGTGCAAATGAGGAGGAAGAAGAAGACGAAGAAAAAGAAACCCCCGTTGACCAGTCACTCGAGAGCAACAACTCGGATGGTAGACTGACCAACGAGGGATTTCTCGACTTCAAAGTGTCTTGGGCGATTTTCAATTTCGCTTTGCTTCAGTTGGCCAATAGCAGTTCAATGTTCGATCTTATGTTCAGCGCAATGAGGTATTTAATCGGTACGGTACCGTCGGGCGAAAAGTACGGCGGATCCATACGGGATATGGTAGACATCCTGGTCGTACCTTGATCCGTCATTTAAAGATGTATCTAAAAATATACAGCTACTAAACTGCTATCTGCGTACTACGGACAAATAGACCCTAACTATAATAGCAAAGTGAGTGTGCTTTCTTGTAAATTGTCATGTTTTCTCAATGGCCTAGCCAAAACGAACATGCGGCTGTTCTTAGAAAATTATTGCACAGTATTGGAAACGGCTATTCCGAGTCTTATGATGGAAATACGTTTATTTAAAGACGAGTATAAAAAAAAACCACAACTACCGACATCGCCAATCAACTTGGAGAACAAAATCGGACATCTCGTGCACAAGGTGTGCAATAATTATTATTCGCAATTGGGTTTTATGTACAACAACAGCGACCAGACTACTTCTTTTCCTAATCCACCAACTCTATAG